AACTCTATGATTCTATGATTCTACAGGAAAGAAAGGAGATTCCACTTGAACATTAGGAAAAACTTCCTAACTATGTGAGCCGTTTGTTCAGCAGTGGAACCCTCTGCCCCAGAGTGTGGTGGAGGCTCCTTCTTTGGAGGCTTTTAAACAGGGGCTGGATGGCCATCTGTCTGGTGTGCTTTGAATGCAATTTTCCTGCTTCTTGGCAGAATGGGGTTGGACTGGATGGCCCACGAGATCTCTTCTAACTCTAGGATTCTAAGAGTTTGGATCACAAGCATTCACCAGGCCAAAGTAAAAAGGATTTCTAGCCCCCTGCGCTGCTTCCACGTCAAAAAGGAAACATGGCACCCTAGCCCTGGGCTCTATGCCTACCCTGGACTGGACAGTACTACTCTTTGCTTGCCCCACAAATAGCTGATTGATTTGGCTCCATTAGCCATACTAAGCTCCTTCCAAAACAGGAAGTAAACAGGAAGTAAACAGGAAGTAGTTCCTTGTCACTTCCTGCTCGGGGAAAAATCCCAGGGAGAAAAACACAAAATCACAGATCCCCCTAGAGGACATTTAGGGGTGAAACCATTTTGGTGATTTTTGCAAAGATGTGGGGAAAGGGTTTCCTGGGAGCCTCCCCCGGTTTCCTATCCCACCTTATGAAGTTGTGATTGAAACAAAGGTGCATACCTACTTCCATGCAATGAAAGGAAGGTGCCTCTACAGTGCAAGGGGAAAACTCAATGTGAGCGAAGGTCTCAAGCAATGCATTCCACAGACAATGGGATTTTGGCCTGCATCAATAGGAGCATAGTGTCTACATCTAGGGAAGTAATGCTACCCCTCTATTCCTCTTTGGTTAGACCACACCTGGAATATTGTGTCCAATTCTGGGCACCACAATTCAAGAGAGATATTGACAAGCTGGAATGTGTCCAGAGGAGGGCGACTAAAATGATCAAGGGTCTGGAGAACAAGCCCTATGAGGAGCGGCTTAAGGAGCTGGGCATGTTTAGCCTGAAGAAGAGAAGGCTGAGAGGAGATATGATAGCCATGTATAAATATGTGAAAGTCACAGGGAGGAGGGGCAAGCTTGTTTTCTGCTTCCCTGGAGACTAGGACGCGGAACAATGGCTTCAAACTACAAAGAGGAGATTCCATCTGAACATGAGGAAGAACTTCCTGACTGTGAGAGCCGTTCAGCAGTGGAACTCTCTGCCCGGAGTGTGGTGGAGGCTCCTTCTTTGGAAGCTTTTAAACAGAGGCTGGATGGCCATCTGTCAGGGGTGATTTGAATGCAATATTCCTGCTTCTTGGCAGAATGGGGTTGGACTGGATGGCCCATGAGGTCTCTTCCAATTCTTTGATTCTATGCTATTCTATGCTATCAGTGTAAAATTTTGTAAAATACAGAACCCTATTTTGGCAGCTAAAGGTGTTTTTGCTGGTTTTTAAAATTATTGTTATAACTTTTTGTTGATTAATCAAGGCATACAATTCACCATTTTGATCATAAGGTGGCAGGAAAGGTATAACGAATGCATATACAATCTATATAAATAAAAATGTAATGTTCGTTTGTGGTATTCACAGAACTCAAAAACCCCTGGATGAATTGGCACCAAATTTGGACACGATACACCTAACAACCCAATGTATGTTCTCCACTAAAAAAACCCACAAAAACAAAAAGCAGAAAGGACTTCTGAACTGCATGTCCACAAAGGAGAAACTGCATGTCTACAAAAACACCCATGGCCACGCCCCCTCCTCCTCCTTGTAGCGGGCCGTTAAAGCATGAGGAGCCAGGTGTGTGTGCATGCCCCCCCCCCACACACACAAAAGCAATAGTGGGCACCATGGGAGTGGAGGGGGAGGCTTGCTGCATGGAGCCCCTTCTCTTTCCCTGCTATGCCAGGAGGGCGGTCTCCTCCTCCTCCACCTTTCCCTGTTGGAAGAGGCCTGCGGGTGGGGCAGGGACTTTCTGTAGTCCCTTCTTTCTTTTTTAACTCTTTCCTTTCTGTCTGACCTGCTCGCCTGTCTCTGGCAACACGAGCACACATTTAACACACACACACACACACACACACACACACACACACACACACACACACACACACAGGAGGTAGCTGCCTCTGCCACACTCCACCCGAAAGGACTCCCTTCCCTTCTTTCCTCCCTCCCTTTCTTTCCTTTTCTTCCTTCCTTCCCCTTCCTTTCCTCCCCTCCTCCTTCCTTCCTGTCCCTCCCTCCTTCCTTCTCCTTCCTTTCCTTCTTTCCCTCCTTCCCTTCCTTCCTGTCCCTCCTTTCTTCTTCCTTTCCTTCCTTTCCTTCCTTCCTCCCTTCCTTTCCTCCTTCTTTCCCTTTCATTTCCTTCCCTTCTTCCTTTCTTCACCCCCTCCTTCCTTTCCCTCCTTTCCTTCCTTCTTTCCTTCCTGTCCCTCCTTCTTTCTTTTCCTTCCCTTCTTTCCCTCCTTCCTTCCTTCTTCCTTTCCTTTTTTCTATGTAAGATATAAATACGATATTTTATATATTGTTTTAGATTACTATATAATATTTTAGCATCTAATATATATATATATATATATATATATATATATATATATATATATATATATAACAATAATACAATGTCAGGAAATGCAATATTAAATTGAAGGGACAGTCAAGAAGTGAAGGAGGGAAGGGAAGGAAGAGAAAGGAGGAAAGAGAAAGAAAGAAAGAAGCAAGGAAGGAGAGAAGGAAATAAAAAGTGAAAGGAAAAAGAGAGGGAAAGAAGGAGAGAAGGAACAAAAGACAGGGAAGGAAGGAAGGAAGGAAGGAAGGAAGGAAGGAAGGAGGAAGGAAGGATGCAACCAAAGAGCAAAGAAGGGGGGAAAGAAACAGGTAGAGATGGAAGAAAGAAGAGAAATAGGAAGGGAAAGAAATAGAGGAAAGGAAGGAAAGAGGGAAGGAAGGAAAGAAAGAGGAGAGAAGTTTGGCCACAGTAAAGCGTGGCGGGTACAGCTAGTCTATATAAATAAAAATGTAATGTTCGTTTGTGGGATTAACAGAACTCAAAAACCACTGGATGAATTGACACCAAATTTGGACACAAGACACCTAACAACCCAATGTATGTCCTTCACTCAAAAATTGATTTTGTCATTTGGGAGTTGTAGTTGCTGGGATTTATAGTTCACCTACAATCAAAGAGCATTCTGAACCCCACCAATGATGGAATTGAACCAAACTTGGCACACAGTTCTCCCATGACCAACAGAAAATACTGGAAGGGTTTGGTGGGCAGTGTCCTTTGGTTTTGGAGTTGTAGTTCACCTACATCCAGAGATCACTGCGGACTCAAACAATGATGGATCTGGACCAAACTCTCCACGAATACTCAATATGCCCAAATGTGAACACTGGTGGAGTTTGGGGAGAAATAGAATCTTGAGATTTGGGAGTTGTAGTTGCTGAGATTTATAGTTCACCTACAATCACAGAGCATTCTGAACCCCACCATGCCAATGAGTGACCATCACTCATAAAAAATACTGAAAAATACAGCAGAAGAGACTTAAAAAGCCAAAAAACAAAAAAAAATACATTACAATGCATGCACAAAACCACATATGTACACAAAACACATATATACATATATACACACACAAAATACATACACAGACTGGGCCACAGCAATGCGTGGCAGGGGACGGCTAGTTACTCTACTAAAGGTGAAAATTCAAGTAATTTGAAGACCACTGTGAAGTTATTGTATGAATTACAATGGAGTTTTTACTGGGACCAGTAGTGATTTTTCTTTCTTTCTAAATATTACAAGGAAATTGTTGCCTTATATCATTAATAAACAGTGATACTAAGTTGTGAGTTTTCTGGGCTGTATGACCATGTTCCAGAAGCATTCTCTCCTGATGTTTGGCTCCCATCTGTAGCAGGCATCCTCACAGGTTGAGGAGTCTGTTGGAAATTAAGCAAGTGAGATTTAAATATCTTTGGAATGCCCAGGGTGAGGAAAGAACTCTTGTCTGCTTGAGGTAAATGTGAATGTTGCAATTTGCCACCTTGATTAGTATTAATGGCCTACAGTTTCAAGGCCTGGCTGGTAGCTGCCTGGGGAAATCCTTTGTTGGGAGGTGTTAGCTGAATGTTGTGATTAGCAAGCTTGAATTAATATTAGAATTAGCGTTTGAGTAGCCATGAAATTTGAAAAGTCAATCAGTGAGGGTATCTGCACAAAAAACACCATTCAGAAACAGGAGAACTCCAGAGAACAAACAACCATATGCCAGTTAACATCTCCCAAACAGAGGATGCTTCTAGGCAACAACTAGGCTACCTATAAGCAGATAACCTCACTGATTAACTTTGCAAATTTCATCACTACTCAAATGCGAATTCAAGTTTGCTAATCACAACATTCACAGTTTCTTAAAACAGACAAGGGTTCTTTCTCCCACCCTGGCCATTATTCCACAGGTATATATACACTCCATGTGCCCCACCCCCAAAAGAACCTCTGAAGATGCCAGCCACAGATGCAGGCAAAATGTCAGGAGAGAATGCTTCTGGAAAATGGCCAGATAGTCAGGAAAACTCAAAGCAAACCAAAGTTATTTCTGTAGCAAACTATTAGACACCAATGTCACCAAAAAGGATGATGGACTGAAGGTTTCAAAAGATGCAATCTGCAACATGGAGTCTGCTCTGGTCTTAGATTCTCCTGTGCTGTGTTTCACTCTGTTTTAGGCTTATCTTCTGGAAGGATGGGGCTTCCAGGTTGCCATAATACTGGGCACCTGTTCAGTAGAATCGATCCCCTTGTCTAGCCTCCAGGAAAGGTCCAGCCTTTGGCTTGATATCCCATAAACTGTATAGTTGCTGTGTGACCTTCCTGCCTGATCATATGTTTGTCTCCTTTCTCTCTTTATCTCCCTCCATGCTGTCCTCTGGCCTCCGTCCTTGTCTTTGATACCTATTTCTGTCTCTTCCCTTCCCTGCAACAGACAAGCCAGTAAAAGGCACACTCACCTGCCCAGGTAAGGGGGAAGGGGATTCAGGATGGATGATGTGATGTTCCTGTGTAGTTGTGTTCAGTACTGGGGTTTTGAAGAGAACCTTTCTATAGCTTTGGTTGTGGAGAGTGTGCAGTGAAAACACAACAATGCACATGAGAAGGGATGCTATCTGTGTGTGCAAATATAGGCCAAGGGTGTTTCCATAATGCGCCAGTATCTCCAAATCAGGGTCGAGTGTTTCCATAGTGTGCTAGCGTCTCCAAATCAGGATCGAGTGTTTCCATAGTGTGTTAGCGTCTCCAAATCAGGATCGAGTGTTTCCATAGTGTGCCAGTGTCTCCAAATCAGGATCGAGTGTTTCCATAGTGTGCCAGTGTCTCCAAATCAAGATCGAGTGTTTCCATAGTGTGCCAGTGTCTCCAAATCAGGATCGAGTGTTTCCATAGTGTACCAGTGTCTCCAAATCAAGATCGAGTGTTTCCATAGTGTGCCAGCGTCTCCAAATCAGGATCAAGTGTTCCCATAGTGTACCAGCGTCTCCAAATCAGGATCGAGTGTTTCCATAGTGTGCCAGTGTCTCCAAATCAGGATCGAGTGTTTCCACAGTGTGCCAGTGTCTCCAAATCAGGATCGAGTGTTTTCATAGTGTACCAGTGTCTCCAAATCAAGATCGAGTGTTTCCATAGTGTGCCAGTGTCTCCAAATCAGGATCAAGTGTTCCCATAGTGTACCAGCGTCTCCAAATCAGGATTGAGTGTTTCTATAGTGTGCCAGCGTATCCAAATCAGGATCAAGTGTTTCCATAGTGTACCAGTGTCTCCAAATCAGGATCGAGTGTTTCCATAGTGTGCCAGCGTCTCCAAATCAGGATCGAGTGTTTCCATAGTGTGCCAGTGTCTCCAAATCAGGGTTGAGTGTTTCCATAGTGTGCCAGTGTCTCCAAATCAGGATTGAGTGTCCCATAGTGTGCTAGTGTCTACAAATCAGGATTGAGTGTGTCCATAGTGTGCCAGCATCTCCAAATCACAGTTGAGCATTTCCATAGTGTGCCAGTGTCTCCAAATCAGGGTTGAGTGTTTCTATAGTGTGCCAGCATCTCCAAATCAGGGTTGAATGTTTCCATAGTGTGCCAGTGTTTCCAAATCAGGTTTCTATAGTGTGCCAGCATCTCCAAATCGGGATTGAGTGTTTCCATAGTGTGCCAGCATCTCCAAATCAGGGCTGAGTTTTTCCATAGTGTGCCAGTGTCTCCAAATCAGGTTTCCATAATGTGCCAGCGTCTCCAAATCAGGATTGAATGTTTCCATAGTGTGCCAGCGTCTCCAAATCACGATTGAGTGTGCCATACTGTGCCAGTGTCTACAAACCAGGATTGAGTGCTTTCATAGCATGCCAGCATCTCCGAATCATTGGTTGAGTGTTTCCATAGTGTGCCAGAGTCTCCAAATCAGGATTGAGTGTTTCCATAGTGTGCCAGTGTCTCCAAATCACAATTGAGTGTTTCCATAATGTGGCAGCATCTCCAAATCAGGATTGAGTGTTTCCATAGTGTGCCAGTGTCTCCAAATCAGGATTTTGCGTTTACGTAGGGTGCCAGTGTCTCCAAATCAGGGTTGAGTGTTTCCATGTGAAAACCAAAGCATACTATCTAGACAGTAACATATAACTACAAATTAAAAACATTAACCATATTAAAACATAAAGCATGAACAACATTTAAACTTTGAAATGTAGACATAGAATTAATACATCAACAATAAAATAACAATTTTATGAAAACCAATTTTAGTGTGATTAAAAAAAAACAAGAAGAGGCATAGATAACTGATCAAAAAGCATTCTGAAAAATTGAACGTTTTGAGGGTATTTTCAAACAAGCTTTGTGAAACTGGCCGTAGTAGGAGAAGAAAGTGTTTCCAAGATTGTGGGAATTGGTGGCTTCGTAATAAAGATGCTGGAGTGAAGAAGAGTGTCTGCCCACAGCGGACAGGAGGCTCTTTCTTGCACTCAAGGGCTGTTGGAAGCCCAGGACTTAACGTTCCCTTATTGTTTGTCTTTCCACCCATTGCCGCTTTGTCTTGTGTTCTTCCGTCAGCCCCATTGCAGCCTGGTAAGATCAGACGTTGCCGATCGCGCTGCTCTCGTCGTTTGCGCTCTTCTTGTGCCTTTTGCCTGGCTGCTGGGCTTGGCTTCCTCCTTTTCCCCATGTTTTGCAGCTATGTAGTTCTCCCTTCTTGCTCTCTGCTGAGGTTCAGAGCCTGAGATATTATGCCTCCCATGCTAGTAAAGTAAACGTTTCCCCTGACATTAGGTCTCTGGGGGTGGTGTTCATCTCCATTTCTAAGCCAAAGAGCTGGCGTTGTCCATAGACACCTCCAAGGTCATGTGGCCAGCATGACTACATGGAGCACGGTTGCCTTCCCACTGAAGCGGTACCTATTGATCTACTCACACTTGCATCTTTTCGAACTGCTAGGTTGGCAGGAGCTCAACCCGCTCCCCAGATTCGAACCACCAACCTTTCAGTCAGCAAGTTCAGCAGCTCAGCAGGAGGCCCTTGCCTCCTATGCTACACCTCTCTTTTTCCTTGGGATTTGATGTTGACTAGTGGGCTTTGCTACCCAGTTCCTATAAAAATGGAGGTGAAGCCAGGTCAGTGGCCCCAAGGAAGGCCAAGTCAGAGAGGAACAGCCAACCTTTTGAAGGGATCCAAACTTTTGCAAGGGATTTGTCGTTCTTGTTTTCTGACCCTGCCTTTCCAAATGACCAAAAGACTTTTGTCAGGGGACTTACCACACTGGATGTCTTGCAGTCACCTCCCCAGTGTCAGATTTTGTTGGGGGCTCTGGTGTGTTTTGGGGCACAGAGCTTCTGATTTTGTTGATGGAGCAACAAGATTGGGAGCTTAAGAGTTGCACCAGCCTGACTTCCACAGCAATCGGTTTGCTAGAGCATGGGGATTGGGGTTATGGAAAAGTAGGCTGCTTATGGGGCTCCTGACTGGGTCCTCTCTCCTCTTTTACTGAATGAGAACATGGAGTTTAGGGTTCTCGGTGGAGAAGTAGGTTTAGGACTACAACTCCCACACCTACTCTTAGTTTGGGAAAGCTCTGCATCTTGCCTATGCACCATCCCTCGCAATGCACACAAAGCCGGCCTTTTCCCACCATCTTCATCTTTTGCCACCTACTTTCCATGTCTGACCCTTTTCTCTTTTTTCTCACTCGTGCAGGTTGAGCAGCCTGTCTTCTCTGGGCGACTCGGCTCCGGAGCGGCGGTCACCGGGGCACCACCGCCAACCCTCTGACGCTAGCGAAACAACAGGTGAGCCTTTTGCTTTGTTGGGAAGGGGACGATGGACTTGCAGCCAGGGGCATTGTCAGAGGTTTTGCAGGAGGTGCCCTTTTCCTTGGAAAATCCCCATCAGCCTTTGCTTACGAACTGCCTGGCTTTTGCCATGAAAGTCTCAGGGTTAGCACGGAGGTTTAGCACAGCTGGTAATTCATCAGCAATTATAAGATCTATCAACCAAAAGGTTGCAAGTTCAAAGCCCTGGGTTGGCGTGAGCTGCCAACTGTCAGCCTAGCTCATTGTTTACCTAAGCAATTCAAAAACAGCTTTAGCTGTGATTAGAGAAATTAGGTACCGCTAAAAGCAGGGGAGGTGTTTTTTATGATGCCATAAAGAAAGAAGATCAGAAAATGCTTGATGACCAAAGAGTATAACAAAATATATGATAAACTATTACAATGGTCGACTGAAGGAGAGTCAATAAAAATTGTATGTTAAAATGGTCTGAATTTTTTAAAAGATTGATTGGCAAATTGGGAACTAATGTGGAACAAAAAATTAAATTATACATATGCAACGGACTTAAAAGAAAATTGGCTGAAAATGTTCCACCGGTGGTACATGACCCCCCGAAAAATAAATCAAATGTATAATCAACCTCTAAAAACTGTTGAAAATGCAATGAACATGAAGGGAGCTTCTACCACCTTTGATGGCCTTGCAGAGAAGCTCAGAGATAGTGGAAATTAATTCATGAAGGATGCCAACAAATCCTCTCAAAAAATATCCAAAAAAACCAGAGTACTACTTACTAGGAATTACAGATGGGTACATCAAACTAGACCCGAATGAAGACGTCTTGTTTATATACTTAACGACAGGCACTAGAATAATATATGCGAAAGTTTGGGAACAGAAGGAAATACCGGAAGGAGACCAATGGATAACAAAAATAAATGAAATTAAAGACATGGACAAATTAACTTTTTTAATTAAAAGAAACACGGGTAACCCAATTAAGCAAACAGACTGGACACAGGTGGAGAAGTACATAGAAAAGAACAGTAAGAATACCCAACTGTGAACAACATAACAAAATAGGACACAATGGAAGTAGAACCTCGGGCTTCATTCTCGCTTTCTTTTTTTGCTTCTATGCGTTACATTATGGATGTCCAAGTGGGTTACAAAGTTGAACTCGCAAAGAATTAGAAGGAAGTCTCGGAACTTTATTTTTTTAATTACCCCTTTTTCTTTCTTTTTTCCTTTTTTTTCCCTTTTTTCGGCATTTTTATTCTCTCTTTTTTCTTTCTATTTCTTTCTCCTTATTTTTTCATACTGTTTCCTACTTTTCTTTATACTGAATTGTTCTCCCTCTTTACTTGGAAACTTTATACATACTTAACATATCTTTCTTTATACCAAATAAAAATTTAGTTTAAAAAAAGAAAGAAAATGCTTGATGACCAAAAGGAAGGAGGAAGTCCTGATGGCTCTTTGTCATAGAGCAGGGGTCCCCAAACTACGGCCCACGGGCCACTTCCGGCCTGCCAAGGGCACTTATCCAGCCCGCAGAGGAGGAGCGCCCCCACCCCCACACACAGTGCCCCTCCCTTGGCTGGCTCACACTATCCATCAGGCCCGATGGGCAATGCGAGCCAGCCAAGGGCAGCTGCTCCATGTGGCCTACTCACGCGTAAAGCACCTCGCGAGGTGCTTTACGCGCGAGTTGTCCATGCGGTGCTGCTCCTCCCTTGGCAGGCTCACGCTATCCGTCAGGCCCGATGGGCAGCGTGAGCCAGCCAGGGAGGCTGCCCCGGCGCTCCATGCAGTTATGCCGGCCACGTGACCTTGGAGGTGTCTACGGACAACGCCAGCTCTTCGACTTAGAAATGCAGATGAGCACCACATCCCAGAGTCAGACACGACTGGACTTCATGTCAGAGGAAAACCTTTAACTAGGAAAATTGTGGAAGATCCAGGGTGGGAGAAAGAACTCTTGTCTGTTGGAGGTAGGTATGAATGCTTCAATTGGCCACCTTGATTACCATTTCATAGCCTGACAGTTTTTAGGGAGAATCCTTTGTTGAGAGGTGATTAGCTGGCCCTGATTGTTTCTTGTCTGGAGTTCCCCTGTGTTTGAGTCTTGTTCTTTATTTACAGTTATAATTTTAGAGTTTTTTTAATACTGGTAGCCAGATTTTGTTCAGACTAGAAACAGGAAGATTTCCCAATCTCTGCTCCTGGAATTACTGCCTAAAGAGGGCTAGAAAGAACCCCCGCTAAGGGCCCTTCCACACAGCAAAATAAGATATGTGCAATGTGCATAGGAATTTTTTATTGATTTTTTTAAAAAAACTATAGTCTGGCCCTCCAACGGTCTGAGGGACAGTGAACTGGCCCCCGGTTTAAAAGTTTGAGGACCCCTGGTTTAGATCCTGCTCTGTGCTACTACAATTTCTGAAATTAGGCTTATGGCTGCTGCCATCAGAAAGGGCGCTTCATGCACATGATGTGGGAATGTGAATATGTACAAGATTTTTGGCAGATTATACAAAATGGGTCAAATCAAATACTAGGAAATGAGTGGGTCATAACAAAGGAAATAGCGGTATTAGGGAAAAGAGAGGAAATGAGAAATAAAAGAAGCGATAATTGAATGTGCACAAGCAATAATAGTATTAGGGTGGAAAGATAAATCAAAATGGACAGTTAATAAATGGTACTAATATATGGTGGAGCAAATGGAATTCGAAATTATGAATGTGCAATTAAATGATTCAAAAATCAATGAAAATAGAATGAGAGAAATGGAAGAAAGATGGACAAGGGTAAAGAACTATATCATGAATCAATCTGGGGACCCACAGGTTGAGAACCACTGAGCTAGATAGTTTTAGACGTGTGTGTGTGTATGTCAGGAGTGACTTGAGAAACTGTGCGAGAGAATTGGCTGTTTGCAAGGATGTTGCCCAGGAAACGTTGCCCGGATGTTTTTATGTTTTACCATCCTTGTGGGAGGCTTCTCTCATGTCCTCGCATGGGGAGCCGGAGCTGACAGAGGGAGCTCATCCATGCTCTCCCCGGATTTGAACCTCCGACCTGTCGGTCTTCAGTCCTGCCGGCACAAGGGTTTAACTCATTGTGCCACCGGGGGCTCCTTTTAATTTTAGTTTTAGATTTATTTATTGTTTATTTTGTATCAAAAGCATTGCATAAATTAGTATAAAACTGATAAAAATAGACGGAGCGCAGGCGGTTAAATATCTTTTGACCAAAAACGGGCAACAACAATGGCATTGTCTGTAGCCTCCAACAATTCCTCCTCTGTACATGAGGCAGGGCACAATGGACAAGCATACAGATGTAGAGTTGTCTGTTCTGCTCCACAGTCACACAAGATATGTGGGATTCTTTTAGGTAGTGTCATTTTGCCAGGTTGTCTTTGGATCTGCCCACTCCACTTCTGAAGTTCAGGGACTTCCAGGTTGACTGAAAACAGGCAACAGCGACTGCATTGTCTGTAGCTTTAAACAATTCTTCCTCTGTGCATGAGGCAGGGCGTTGTGGGCAAGCATGCAGATGCTGAGTTGTTTGTTCTGCTCCACAGTCGCACAAGGTGGAGGATTCTTCTAGGAGGTTGTACCATTTTGCCAGATTGTCTTTTGATCTGCGCACACCACTTCTGAGACTGTTCAGGGATTTCCAAGTTGCCCATTCTTGGTTTGCCTCTGGAGGAAGACCCTCATGGGGAGCCATCCAGTTGGAATTGCCTGATTTTGCTGCATAGTGGATGCTCTTACTATCACTGGTGGAACATTTGGAGGAGTGGCGGTGAGAAGAGGCTCTGTGAGAGCGAAGCTGTTTATCTGCATGAGAAAGAAGCCCAGCGTGGAAGCAAAGAAGGAAGTATAAAGAACTTAATTTGGGTTATGGAAATCTTGTTCTTGTAAATAGTGCAACCATATTATTTTGCAATAAAGAAAAGCCTCCTATGGAAGATATAACATTGGTCTGTGTGTTTTGTTCTTTTTATCACTTTTGGGTCATGCTGCTGCTAATAAGTTACTCTGCCATCCGTTTATGAGGAGGATCTTTTGTTAATAAGCCCACTCGCCCAACAGAGTGCATCCTAACTAGCTGACAGTTACTTTGTTCCTCCCCCATCACTTTTCGTCTCTTTCTTTTAGGTTTGGTCCAGCGCTGTGTCATCATCCAGAAGGACCAGCATGGCTTTGGCTTCACTGTCAGTGGGGACCGGATCGTCCTGGTGCAGTCGGTTCGCCCTGGTGAGCAAAGGCTGTTGGGGGTAACTGTGGCAGCCCCTGCCCTCAGTATCTGTCTTATATGGATAGTAATTACTAGGCATGGTTAGGTTCGGTTGGAGATTTCGTAATTCGGAATAAATTCGGAAATATTTGTTTTTTGAAGTGATTTTGAAGTTTTTCAGAAAACCATAAGTCCCTTCGCCTTCCTGAAGCTTTTTCCGCCATTTCTCATCTTAAGCCAGAGAAGCAGTTTTAAACCAGAGTGGATGAATTTCCTCCCTGCCCCCACCCCCTTGCTTCTGGAGTAATACAACTACTTTCAAAGTAAAGATCTCCCAATGAAACAGGAAATAACACTTTCAAACCATTAATGAGGGATTCGGAAGTCTCGGAAGTTTCAAAAAGTTTTGAACATTTTTTTCTGTGAAAATCGGAATTGACTTTAGAATCGAACCACCAGCGGCCCCGACATCCAAAACGAGTTTTGAACCATTTTTTTGGGATCAAACAAGCCTACTAATTACATGAGAGGATGATGACTCCATTGCAGAGTCTGAGCATCTTGTTTCCACCAGACTGTGTTTGACGTATGCACCTTTTCCATGGTAGAATCTGACCAGCGTGACATTTCTTCTTTCTCTCTCCTCCCCTATCTCTGTGTTTGCTGTTGCTGGGGGTTTTTTTAGGAGGAGCCGCCATGAGGGCTGGGGTGCAAGAAGGCGATCGGATTGTCAAGGTGAGTAGTGGCACGGTCAAGGTACAGATGCCACAAAGTCAAGCCCAAATGCAAAGTAACAATAGTTTATTAAACTGTTTCCCAACCCTTTCCTACTTCCGCGCTGCCCACAACTGCTTTCCTCTCTCCTGGCTGCAGGTGAACGGGACAATGGTGACCAACAGTTCTCACCTGGAAGTGGTGAAGCTCATCAAATGTGAGTCAGCAAGGGCGGCACCAAGAGTGGGGTGGCCTTCCCCCAACTTTAGGTATTGCCTTACCCACCATTTACCCAGGGTCCTTTAGGGAGAAGATCTTTAGGGAGAAGATCAGAAACGTCCTTGTTGCACAAATGTCTGTAAAAGCAGGAGACACAATTGCAGCCCCCAGAACCATTTTGCACCTCTGGAGCCACTCCACATTCTTGACCACCATTATACGCGTAGTTTTAAAAACAGATTTGTGACCCCAAAGGACATTTTTTGCCTCTAGAACAGTGTTTCTCAACCTGGGGGTCGGGGGCCCTGGGGGGAGTGTTGCGAGGGGGTGTCAGAGGAGTCGCCAAAGACTACTAGAAAACAAAGTATTTTCTGTTGATCATGGGGGTGCTGTCTGGGAAGTTTGGCCCAATTTTAACTTTGGTGGAGTTCAGAATGCTCTTTGATTGTAGGTGAACTATAAATCCCTGCAACTACAACTCCCAAATGTCAAGGTCTATTTTCTGTACATTCCACGAGTGTTCACATTTGGCCATATTGAGTATTTGTGCCAAATTTGGTCCAGATCCATCATTGTTGGAGTCCACAGTGATCTCTGGATGTAGGCGAACTACAACTCCCAAACTCAAGGTCAATGCCCCACAAACTCTTCCAGTATTTTCTGTTAGTCATGGGAGTTCTTTGTGCCAAGTTTGGTTCAATTCTATGGTTGGTGGAGTTCAGAATGTTTATTTATTTATTTATTTGCTTCATTTATATACCGCTCTTCTCAGCCCTCAGGTGACTCAGAGCGGTTAACAACCAGTTTCAACAAGACAATACAAAATCAGTAATCAATTAAAACAGTAATATCAATTAATTAACACCAGAGTCAATACAACAGTACAGCAATATAACAATCCATCACGTCTCATTAATAGAATCAGCATCCATTCTCGTTGTCCATTATTCCATTCCAATAATCACTCAATTGTACTGCTTAGTTGAAAGCCTGTTCGAAAAGCCAGGTCTTCACACTCTTCCAGAATGCCAGACTGTTCTTTGATTGTAGGTGAACAATAAATCCCAGCAAGAAAGGGAAGAAAGAGGAAGGGGAAGGAAGGGAAGAGGGAGGAAGGAGAGAAGGAAAAAAAACAGGGACGGAAGGAGAGAAAGAAAGAAGGAGAGAAAGAGGGAGGAAAGGTTGGCCACAGCCTCTGTTTAAACAGCCTCTGTTTAAAAGCCTCCAAAGAAGGAGCCTCCACCACACTCCGGGGCAGAGAGTTCCACTGTTGAACGGCTCTCATAGTCAGGATGTTCTTCCTCATTTTCAGATGGAATCTCCTATCTTGTAGTTTGAAGCCATTGTTCCGCGTCCTAGTCTCCAAGGAAGCAGAAAACAAGCTTGCTCCCTCCTCCCTGTGGCTTCCTCTCACATATTTATACATGGCTATCATATCTCCTCTCAGCCTTCTCTTCTTCAGGCTAAACATGCCCAGCTTCTTAAGCCACTCCTCATAGGGCTCCAGATCCTTGATCATTTTAGTCGCCCTCCTCTGGACACATTCCAGCTTGTCAATATCTCTCTTGAATTGTGGTAGTCATCTGGGCCAGGTGCTTTACCAGTTTTACATCACTTAATAGCTCCTCTGAGTTCTTTCAGGTTTATGGGAGATGTCAACTGGTGGGTTTCAAATTCTGGCACCCTGTTGATTTTCACCTTTATTTTCCTGCAGTTGGTTTTCCCATTCTGAATTAGCTGGTGTGCTGTCTGGTCTGGTGTTACGTTTTCATGTCCACAACTGACCAAAGGGTCACTGTCCAGGCGTCTCAGTAATTGCCAGGCTCTTCGCCTACTCTTAGACATGTCAAGATTTTGGGCTAGGACTGGAGATGGTCCCGAGTCTCCCTAAAGTTCCCTCTCCCTGGGTCTCTTCCTTCAGTCTCTCACAGGAGAAAGTGGGGAGGCGTGCGTGCTTCGTGTTTTAATGCCTCTTTCCTTCTCTTTCTTCTTTTCCCTGCCTCTGCCTTTCTCTCCTCTGCTGGCTTCATTCGCCCACCAAGCTGGTGCTTACGTTGCCCTCACTCTCTTGGGCTCCCCGCCTGCCTCTGCAGGGCTCTCGGGCTCCCAGCAGGATGGGCACCAGACGGGGGCCCCTCAGGTCATGCCGGCGTGCCCTCCGCCACCCCCTCCACCGCCGCTGCCTCCGCCACACCACATCACCGAGCCCAAGCCCTTGCAGGTAGGTATCGGAGGGGCTCAGAGGATGGGGTGTGTGCATTGCCTGTCCTCTCCGGTGATGGGGTGTGGGAGTGGGAGGTAAAATCAGAAGCAGCACATAGTCCTGGTAGTCAGAGCTCAAACTGTCTCACTTTGTTTGCTTTCCAAACCTTAGGACCCCAAATTTCAGAAGCATGCCACGCAGATCCTCCGGAATATGCTGAGACAGGAGGAGGCCGAGCTACAGGTAGGGCTGGATTGATTGGAGACATAGAAGGACACTTGGTTGAAAATCCAGACCTGTTCATTTCTTCTCAAAAGAATGTCATGCAGGACTGATTTGCAGAGAAAGGAATGGAAGGGTCTGGACAAAGTCAAGGTTTATTAACTGGTGGGGATAACTGGTGCATTTGAGGAAGGGAAGCCTCTGCAGATATACCCACACTTTCTCTCTCTTTTCTCCAGCGGTGCTACGAGGTCTACAGCCGTAACCCAGCTTCTTTGATAGAGGAACAGATTGAAGGGGCCCGTCGGAGGGTCAGCCAACTCCAGCTGAAAATCCGGCAGGAGGGAGGAGGGCTCCCGGTGAGTGGGAAGCCGGAATGGACAGTGGGATATCAAATAGGATAGAAGGGATTCCTTTGGGAACCACCTCTGTACTTAACACACACTCCAGTCCAAGGTAAAATAGTAAAGCAGTTAATTAAAGACTATATACCATATATACTCGAGTATAAGCTGACCTGAATATAAGCCGAGTCACTTAATTTTACCACAAAAACTGGGAAAACGTATTGACTCAAGTATAAGCCGAGGATGAGAAATTCAGAAGCCTACTGGTACATTTCAAAATGAAAATAGATACCAATAAAATTACATTAATTGAGGCATCTAATTGAGGCAGTAGGTTAAATGTTTTTGAATATTTATATAAAATTGTAATTTAAGATAAGACTGCCCTAACCTTTTTCAATGTAAATGTGCTTATGTATCCTTCCAATAATAATAAAGACAGTAAACTAATAAATGGAATAATAATAGAGTGAAATAATAAATGGAATAACAATCATATAGTAAAATAATAAATTTAATGATAACACTGAAAAAATAAATGAATAAATGTAATAATAAAGTAAAATGATAACTATAATAATAATAAATAGAGTAAAATAATAAATGCAATAATAATAATAATAATAATAGTAATAATAACACTTAATTTGTACCCCGCTACCATCTCCCCAAGGGACTAGGTGTGGCTTACATGAGACCGAGCCCAAACACAACAATACAAGCAATAATCACAACAATACAAGCAATTAAAATAAAGAACATATTTATTTATTATTTATTTATTTACTTTGCTTATATACCGCTGTATCTCAAGCCCGAAGGCGACTCACAGCGGTTCACAAACAGTAAAAACAGTAGAAACAGCAGTGGTTCCATACAACATATAACAATTGACTTAACACATTATCCATAAATTACCAATAAGCAATTACAATGCACAATTATTACAAAAAACAACCGTACCCAATCTTCTCATCATCCAAGCGTTTGTAAAGTGCTTTGGAGGGACAAAGTGCTATGGGATCATTATTCCGGGAAGGCACACTGGAACAACCACGTCTTCAAGCTCCTCCTAAAGACTGCCAGGGTTGGGGCCTGCCTGATGTCTTTAGGGAGGGAGTTCCAGAGTCGAGGGGCCACCACTGAAAAGGTCCTCTCTCTCGTCCCCACCAATCGCGCCTGTGATGCTGGTGGGATCGAGAGCAGAGCCTCTCCAGGTGAATGAAGAGATCATGTGGGTTCATATACAGAGATGCGGTCATGCAGGTAGGCGGGTCCCAAACTGTTCAGGGCTTTGAAGGTAAGAACCTGCACCTTGAATTGGGTCTGGTAGATGAATGGCAGCCAGTGGATAATAATAATAATAATAATAATAATAATGACAGAATAAAATAATAAATAACCTTGACTCGAGTATAAGCCAAGGGGGACTTTTTCAGCCTAAAACAAGGGTTGAAAAACTAGGCTTATACTTGAGTATATACAGTATATATCTAGATAAATAAAAATGTAATGTTCGTTTGTGGGATTAATATAACTCAAAAACGACGGGACGAATTGCCACGGGACGAAGTTTTTCCTCCTGCCTTTCCACTTACAAAATCTTGGTAGCCTGGCTACAAAGATTCACTAAAGAGCAGAAGAAATGTTGAGAAAGCAAGCTCACATGGTTCTGAGTTCTGTGTCTCTTCCTTTTTTCAGGACTTCACCCGGCCAACAAGCGATTCCAGTTCCATCAATTCCCGCTTGACCGATGGTGGGTTGTGCTACTGATTGTCTCCTAATCGCATCCTCCCCATTGATTTATAATTAGCAAGCATATATTGTCCCAGACATCTCATTCGGTGTGTCCCAGAGGTGGTTGATTTTGGCTGGCGCCAGCCTTTGTTTTTCCAGATCCTGCAAGTGCAAACTCACATTTTCCTTCTTGGTTTGCTCCTGTGCCAGGCTGCTCCTGGCCTTGAGTTGCTTTAGTTCCATTTGCTAAATGACAGGCCTAATTATAAATCTGTGCATGCTGGTCCAGTTTTAACTAGGCATCAGTCAAGGCAAATAATATACTATAATAATATAATATGCTTTATTTATATTCCACCCTATCTCCTCGAGGGGACTCAGGGCGGATCACAGTACTCATATACGGCAAACATTCAATCTCGTTAGACAATTAAAGACAGATAGTACATAAACAGAGGTAAAGGCTTCCCATCTTTTTCCATCTCCGGCATCTGGAGGCTGTGCTCAACTCTGGCCATCGGGGGTGCTGTTGCTCCATCTTCCATGCCGAGGAGCTTTGTTGTCTTTAGACGCTCTCATGTGCTGGCGTGTCTGCATGGCACCTATTATTACCTATTATTACCTCCCTGACAAAGTGGTACCTATTTATCTACTGTTTTCGAACTGATAGGTGAGCAGAAGCTGGGCTGACGGTTGGGAGCTCACCCCAACGTGGGCTTGAACTATGGACAAGATTTTCTGCAACTGGAACTTTAACCCACTGTGCTAAAGCCCGGCCCATCAAGAGGGTTTCTGGTGTAACTGTCGATGGGATGAATGTTTGTCAAAATGGCAGAACTTTAAAGATATGACAGGTCGCAACTGCCTTTCCTGGTTGACGTGGAAAAGGCCTGTACCATCCTAGAAAGGGGTTTTGTGAGTTTGAAGCCTTGTATGGCCATCTCTGTGAGGAGGAGGCAATCGCTGGTGCTCTATTGGTCCATCCTTTGTCAAATTCTGATGGCAATTCCCCCATCCATCCGCAGGGCGTCTCTCTTTGGATTCCCAAGATGGAGACAGTGGCCTGGATTCAGGCACAGAGCGCTTCCCTTCTGTGAGTGAGGTAAGCGCTGAGGGGATCGCACACCTCTGTGCGAGAGGAGATTTACTAGCAGGCTGTTCGTATGAAAACTGAATGTGGTCATTTTTGGAACAGATCTCCCTGAACCGGAACTCGGTCCTCTCCGACCCCGGCCTGGACAGCCCCCATACCTCCCCTGTCATTGCCTCCAGGATGTTCCAGCACCATCAGCACCAGGGCTCAGACACGTCTTTCTCCCCCTCCTTGGCGGAACAGGTGAGCCGAGCCAGGAAGGACCTCTTCCATAGGAGGCTTTTCTATATAGCAAAATAATATGGTTGCATTATTTACAAAAAAACCCCAAGGTTTCCATAACACACATTTTTTTATACTTCCTTCTTTGCTTCCATGCTGGGCTTCTTTCTCATGCAGATAAACAGCTTCGCTCTCGCAGAGGCTCCTCTCACACTAGTGAGCTTTGCACACTAGCTTTTTACACACAGCAGCCTTTATACTGGAGCTTCACACATGAGCTTTACACACAAGGCCGTCAACCTGGGGCTTCTCTCACCAAAGCTTCTCATACCAGGTCTTCTCATGCTCAGCCTTCTCATAGGCTGAGGCCTACCTCACACTGTGAGGCCTTCTCTCACAGACAAAGGCCTACCTCACACTGTGAGGCCTTCTCACAGACTGAGACCTTTCTCCCACTGAGGTTTACCTCAGAGTGATGACTACTCACTCCCTAAGGACATCAGGCAGGCCCCAACTCTGGCAGTCTTCAGGAGGAGCTTGAAGACGTGGTTGTTCCAGTGTGCCTTCCTGGAATAATGATCCCATAGCACTTAGTCCCTCCAAAGCACTTTATTATTATTATTATTACTACTACTACTACTACTATTAAACTTTATTTGTACCCCGCTAGCATCTCCTGAAGGACTCGATGCGGCTTACAAAGGCCAAGGCCTTTATACTTTTAGGTCTGCTCGTATGTCTTCTACAAACGCCACTATCACCTTTTCGTCCATGCCTCAGCACTATTCCAATTTTAATTTCTACATTTGGCCTTCCCACAGTTTTAACTGTATGTTGTCTTATTGATAATGTTATATGTTTATCATTTATGTTTTATTTTAATTGCTTGTACTGTTGTGATTATTGCCTGTATTGTTGTGTTGGGCTCGGCCTCATGTACGCCGCACCGAGTCCCTTGGGGAGATGGTAGCGGGGTACAAATAAAGTGTTGTTGTTGTTATTATTACTACTACTACTACTACTACTACTACTACTACTACTACTACTGAGCTACAGGCACACCTGAAGCTTTTGCTGAGTCATTGCATCCATTTAACCCTTTCAGTGCTTGACCCTATCTCTCACTGAAGCTTCGCATACCAAGCCTACTCAAACTGAGACCTACTAACACTAAGACCTACCTCACACTGAGGCCTTTTCACATTGAGAGCTCTCTCAGACTGATGCCTCTCTCACACTGAGGCAAACTAACACTTAGGCATTCTTATACTGAGGCCTACTAACACTGAGGCCTTTTCACATTGAGGGCTCTCTCAGACTGATGCCTCTCTCACACTGAGGCGAACTAACACTGAGGCCTTCTCACACTGAGGGCTTTCTCAGACCAACACCTTTCTCACACTGAGATGAACTAACACTAAGGCCGACTAAGCTACAGGCACACCTGCTTATATAGAACTGCAGCTTTTGCTGAGTCATTGCATCCATTTAACCCTTTCAGTGCTTGGCCCACATTTTTGTAACTAAAAATACCTAGTTAATTTTTAATATTTCTGATGGAGGAACTGTAATGTGCACCTTTTTGGCCAAATGACAGAATGCATTACATTTGCCAGCAAATATTATTATTTTGTTTTATTTTTTTGTTTCAGGGTTTGGAAAATTAAGGTGTGCATTAGATTTGATGACTAATTAGACTTGAGTAAATAAAGTATTCCACTCTGCTGTTTGGGGCCCCAAACAACAGAGTGGAATACTTTATTTATATATTGCTTGTAGCTCCAATTTCTTTTCGATTCTCTCCTTCAGGGCTTTGACCAGTCTGGGAGGCCCCTCATTATCGCTCCTGAAGAGGATTATGATCCGGGATACTTTAACAACGAGGTAAAGCTCCCTTCTGGGATGGGATTTTGGACTCCTGGCATTTATTTATTTATTTCTTTATCGTGTCAGAAGCGAATTGATAATACAGTCATAATGTATAAATAAACTACAAAACAAAATTAATGTCCTTTGACCAGAAGCTGGCCACTTGGAGTGCCTCTGGTCTCACTGTAAGAAGGTCCTCCATTGTGCATGTGGCAGAGCTCAGACCACATTGTAGTCAGTAGTCTGTGGTGTGCTCTTCTCTGCACTCGCATGTCATGGATTCCACTTTGTAGCCCCATTTCTTAGGTTGGCTAAGCATCTTGTAGTCCCAGTCTGTTTAGCACCTTCCCAGTCTTCTGTGTGCCCAGGAGGGAATTTCTCATCCGGCATTGAGGTTCTGGGTTTCAGCCAGCCACTTTTGGACTCTTGCTTGCTGAGGTGTTCTTACAAGTATCTCTGTAGATCTTAGGAAGCTTTTTTCTTGATTTAAGACATTAGTATGCTGGCTGATAACCAAATAGGGGATGGGCCAGACATGTCAATGTCTTGGTCCTTTCATTACTGGCTGCTACTTCCCAGTGGATATCAGCTAAACAGTATAATTTCTCCAGCAGTGTAGGGCGGAGACATCCTGTGATAATGCTGCATGTCTCATTAAGAGCCACATCCACTGTTTTAACGTGGTGAGATGTATTCCACACTGGGCATGCATATTCAGCAGCAAAGTAGCAAAGCGCAAGGACAGATGTCTTCACTATGATCCCCAGGTTGTGCCAGTCGGCTTTCGTATTATATTATTTCTAGCAGCCACTTTTTGCTTGATATTCAAGCAGTGCTTCTTGTAAATCAGAGCACGGTCCAGGGTAACTCCCAGGTATTTGGGTGTGTTGCAATGCCCCAGTGGGATTCCTTCTCAGGTAATCCTGGTGAGATTCTTTGTCTCCTTCTCCTCTGCATGATATCATGACACTTTTATTGTCTTTTCTCTCCCCCACCCAATCCCAGTGTGACTCCCTCTTCCAGGATCTGGGGAAGCTGAAGACGCGCCCAGCTCACCTGGGAGTGTTCCTGCGATACATCTTCTCTCAGGCAGACCCAAGTCCTTTGGTAGGGCCCCAGGGGGGCTTTGGGTGGGTGGAGGGCACCGAGTCCAAAAATCATAGTCCTAGAAGAATAGAGTTGGAAATAAATATATATATACTACAATATAATGGAGCCCCCAGTGGTGCAGTGGGTTAAAGCATTGAGCTGCAGAGCTTGTTGACCGAAAGGTCGCAGGTTCAAATCCGGGGAGCGGCGTGAGCTTCCGCTGTCAGCCCCAGCTTCTGCCAACCTAGCAGTTTGAAAACATGCAAATGGGAGTAGATCAATAGGTCGGGAAGGTAATTATTTTATTGATTTATTTATTTACAGTATTTATATTCCGCCCTTTTCACCCCGCAGGGGACTCAGGGCGGATTACAGTGTACACATATATGGCAAACATTCAGTTCCATAGACACACAACACATATAGACAGACATACACAGAGGCTATTTAACTTTTTTCTGGCTGCCAGGGGAGCTGTCTCTTTCATCGTCCATCTGCGGCGCTGATGAAGCACTTCCGCATTCCCCGCATGCTTCCCCCACTGGAATGCTTTGCTGGAGTCTTCTTTATGGCCTCATAAATCAGTTAATTTAGCCTCCCCACACTTTAAGGTGGTACCTAATTTTCCTACTTGACAGATGCAACTGTCTTTCAGGTTGCAAAGGTCGACAACAGGCTACACACAATTGGTTGGAAACCCACTCCAACCCGGGCTGGCTTCGAACTCATGACCTTTTGGTCAGAGTGATCTTAATGCAGCTGACACACAGCCAGCTGCGCCACAATCCCGGTAAGGGTACTCCATTCAGTCATGCTGGCCACATGACCTTGGAGGTGTCTACGGACAACACTGGCTCTTCGGCTTAGAAATGGAGATGAGTTAGCCAAAAATTGGCCTGAGTCAGACACAACTGGACTTCATGTCAGGGAAAAACCTTCACCTTTACCTTTAATACAATATAATACTACTAATAATATATTATAATTATATATTTTACATTACATGTAACATTACTAATAATATTATAATATAATGGTATAGTACAAGGGTCCTCAAACTTTTTAAACAGAGGGCCAGGTCACAGTCCCTCAAACTGTTGGAGGGCCGGATTATAATTTGAAAAAAAATGTAATTTGAATTCCGATGCACACTGCACATATTTTATTTGTAGTGCAAAAAACACTTTAAAACAATACAATAATTAAAATGAAGAACAATTTTAACAAATATACATTTATTAGTATTTCAATGGGAAGTGTGGGCCTGCTTTTGGCTGATGAGATAGGTTTGTTGTTGTTGTTGAGTGCTTTCAAGTCGTTTCAGAGGGCCGTGTAAATGACCTTGGAGGGCCGTATCCGGCCGCCGGGCCTTACTTTGAGGACCCCTGGTATAGTACAATATAGCAATATATAATACTGATATTGTACTATGCTAATAATATAATATATTGTGTGTGTGTGTGTCCCCTTCGGGTTGACAAGGGCGGCATATAAATGTCGTAAATAAATAAAGAAATAAAATAAGGTACTACATGGGCCATCTAGTTCAACCCGTCATACAGGAAAAGCACAAAGTATCCCCGACAGATGGCCATCCAGCAGCAGCGTGTCCCAGCACCAGTAGCCAAAAGTGATAGAACAAAAACAGACCAGTGTTGTCTCTTCCATAGGAGGCTTTTCTTTGTAGTACATTAGTATGGTTGCACTATTTACAACAACAAGGTTTCCATAACACAAATAAAGTTCATTATACTTCTTTCTTTGAACAGCTTCCACGCTGGGCTTCTTTGTCATGCAGATAAACACCTTCACTTTCACAGAGCCTCCTCTCACACCAAAGTTACACAAGAGCTTCACACAGTAGCTTTTTACAAGTTACACATGAGCTTTACACACGAGGCCTTTAACTTGGGGCTTCCTCTCACAGAAACTTCTCCCACCAGGACTTTTCAAACTGAGGCCTCCTAACATTGAGGCCTACCTCACACAGAGGCCGTCTCACACTGAGGGCTCTCTGACTGACACCTCTCTCACACTGAGGTGAATCTCAGAGTTGGAATATTCTAGTATTTAATGGCTTTAGTAAACTCAGGATTGGAAGTTTTGTTTCATAGAAGTGATGGACTGCCCTTGGATGATGATTTAAACTGGTGACCGCTGACTACTTGATTGTTTTTATACTGTTTTATACTGTTTTATTATATTGCTGTTAAATAGTATATTTATGTTTTTTTATCTGGGCGCCATGGGGTGCCGATTTGTTAGCCGTTCTGACTCCCTCTGCGGAGGTTGAGATAGGACGGGATATAAAAGCCCTAAATAAATAAATCTATATAAATAAATATGTAATGAACTCAAAAACCACTGGACGAATTGACACCAAATTTGGACACAAGACACCTAACAACCCAATGTATGTCCTTCACTCAAAAAACATTGATTTTGTCATTTGGGAGTTGTAGTTGCTGGGATTTATAGTTCACCTACAATCAAAGAGCATTCTGAATCCCACCGACGATAGAATTGGGCCAAACCTCTCACACAGAACCCCCATATAGGCCACAGCAATGCGTGGCAGGGGACGGCTAGTAAATAAATAAATTTTGTAGTAAGTCTTTACTTTTTTTGCATTTAGTTCCTTAATTCCATGTAGGAATCTGCATCTACATCACCATTAAATTCAAGGTGCAGGTTCTTACCTACAAAGCCCTGAACGGTTTGGGGCCCGCCTACCTGCGTGACCGTATTTCTGTGTATGTATCCACACGATCTCTTCGATCATCTGGAGATGCCCTGCTCACGCTCCCACCTCCCTCACAGGCGCGATTGGTGGGAACGAGGGAGAGGGTCTTCTCGGTGCTGGCCCCTCGACTCTGGAATTCACTTCCCAGGGACATTAGACATGCCCCAACGTTGGCAGTCTTTAGGAGGAGCTTGAAAACGTGGTTGTTCCGGTGTGCCTTCTCAGAATAAGGAGAACTCTCAGCAATATGCCCTCACAATGCACTTTAATACTGACTTAGGATGGATTGCATTCCCTCATTTCTCTCTGAAAAATCCTATCCCAGTTACATTTTACCTATTCACGTCAGCATATTCTCAATTTTAATCTATTACATTTGGCCCGGCCATTTTTTAATATTTCTTTATTGATTGTTGCTTTTGTTATGTGATTTATATGATTTGTATTTTATTGATTGATTATTAATGTTGTGTTATTGATGTTTGTTTGATGTACTTCGGGCTTGGCCTCATGTAAGCCGCACCGAGTCCCTTGGGGAGATGGTAGCGGGGTACAAATAAAGATTATTATTATTATTATTATTATTATTATTATTATTATTATTATTAAAGATGGCCCTCACACCTCTCATTTAAAGACTCCAAAGAATGAGTTCAAATTACAGGAAAGGAGATTCTACCTGAACATTAGGAAGAACTTCTTGACTGTAAGAGCTGTTCAGCAGTGGAACTCTCTGCCCCTGGAGTGAGGTGGAGGCTCCTTCCTTGGAGGCTTTTAAACAGAGGCTGGATGGCCATCTGTCAGGGGTGCTTTGATTGTGCTTTTCCTGAATGGCAGGAGGTTGGACTAGATGGCTCATGTGGTCTCTTCCAACTCTATTATTGAATTGTGGGCACCACAATTCAAGAGAGATATTGACAAGCTGGAATGTGTCCAGAGGAGGGCGACTAAAATGATCAAGGGTCTGGAGAACAAGCCCTATGAGGAGCGGCTTAAGGAGCTGGGCATGTTTAGCCTCAAGAAGAGAAGGCTGAGAGGAGATATGATAGCCATGTATAAATATGTGAGAGGAAGCCACAGGGAGGAGGGAGCAAGCTTGTTTTCTGCTTCCCTTGGAGACTAGGACGAGAACAATGGCTTCAAACTACAAGAGAGGAGATTCCATCTGAACATGAGGAAGAACTTCCTGACTGTGAGAGCCGTTCAGCAGTGGAACTCTCTGCCCCAGAGTGGGGTGGAGGCTCCTTCTTTGGAAGCTTTTAAACAGAGGCTGGATGGCCATCTGTCAGGGGTGATTTGAATGCAATATTCCTGCTTCTTGGCAGGGGGTTGGACTGGATGGCCCATGAGGTCTCTTCCAACTCTTTGATTCGATGATTCGATGAAGGAGAGTCAACCATCCTCTCAAGAAGCTCATTCCACTCTCAGCGATTCCCTTGGCTTTATATTGAGGATACTTTTCCTCGCTTCCTTCCCCTTCCTTCCCTCCCTTGAGGTTTCCTTGTGGGCATTTCATCACCCCCTCGTTCCTGGCTGTGTGCCAGGGGTTGCTCACTCTGCTTCTCTTTTTCCTTCCTGCTCTCCCTCCTCCTTGCCCTCCTTGTGCAGCTCTTGTACTTGTGTGCCGATGTTTACCAGCAGATGAACCCCAAGGAGGGCCGTGGTCTTGGGAAGGAGATCTGGAGCATCTTCCTGGAGAAAACTGCGGTGAGCCCTTGTGGTGGGTGAGGCTTTGGTGGCGGGTGGCCTGGCCTTAAAAAAAATGTTGGTGATATGGGGTGGGATTTAAAGAACGGCACGATTTGGGCCTTCTCGGGGCCACTCCCTGATGGTTCCGTCCTGTGTTTTCTTTTCCTCCTCCAGCCTCTGAGGGTCAGAGTATCTGATCAGTTATTGGCTGAAATAGGTAAGTCAACCCCTGGGTGCTGGATATTCAGGCTAAGGAATGTTTCTATGTTTCTCATCCTGGGGGTCTGGGTTTCAGAGAGGTCCCCAAAGACCATCAGCAAACACATTATTATTATTATTATTATTATTATTATTATTATTATTATTACATAATAATAACAATAATATATATATATCATGTAAGCCGCTCTGAGTCCCCTTCAGGGTGAGAAGGGCGGCATATAATTGTCGTAATAAAATAAATTAAATTAAATAATCAGTGGTTATTGCCATTTTTTTATCTTGTTAATTTATATGCCTGGTTTTTAAATGCGTTATTGGTTTTAATGTTGATATGTTGTATTTTATGTTGTACGGCACCATTGTGTGTGCTATTTGTAAGCTGCACTGAGTCCCTATGGGAGATGGTGGTGGGGTATAAATAAAATTATCATTATAATTATTGTTATTATTATACTTGGTGCAATCGGTTAAACCCTTGTGCTGACATGGCTGCTGACCAAAAGGTCGGTGGTTCGAATCCAGGGAGTGGGGCGGGCTCCTGTTTGTCAGCTCCAGGTTCCCATGCGGGGACATGAGAGAACCCTCCCACAGGATGGTAAAACATCAGGGCGTCCCCTGGGCGACGCCCTTGCAGACAGCCAATTCTCTCACACCAGAAGAGACTTGCAGTTTCTCAAATCACTCCTGACACACCAAAAAAATTGCATTATTATTCTCCTCTCTGCCAGAGACTCGCCTACGGAACGGGGAGGATCTCAGGAATGCTTTCTTAGAGCTGCAAGAGGCTGTCATGCCAGAGATCCAGGAGCAGATCCAGGATTACAGGTGAACCCCACTGGCTCCAAAGAAGTGGCTCTTTTCTCTCCTTCGTCTCCCAACCCTTTGCTTCTTCATATATTTTTGATTTCAACTGCAAGGCTATTCAGTGCTAATCAAGGTGATCAGTTGCCACATTCATACTTGGCTCAAGCAGACAAGAGTTCTTTCTCCCACTCTAGACATTTTTCCACAGATAGATAAACCTCACTTGCCTAGTTTCCAACAGACCTCACAACCTCTGAGGATGCCTGCCATAGATGTGGGTGAAATGTCAGGAGAGAATGATTCTGGAACATGGCCAGACAGCCCAGAAAACTCACAGCAACCCATTGATTCTGGCAAGGAAAGTCTTCAACAATGCATTAATTCAGAAGTGTTTTTTCATTCATTTAAATAACCAGATAACAAATTAGAAAACCAAAGAAAACATTTGAATACACACACACACACACACAAGGGTTGAATGAAAAGTAATGCCTCCACCTTCGTAACTCCTCAACAGATGGCAGTACTGATATGCAGCAGGTACTGGCTTGTTCAGTAGACTCCCCTCTACAGTTCCATTTTAGCAGGAAACCTTACCATTGAATGATTGTGTTGTTAAACTGCGAAGTATGGAACCCTGTGCAGATGGTCAGTCAATGTGACTTAAGCAACGTGCAGTCATTGAATTATTGACAGCAGAAGGTGTCACCCCAAAGGAGATTCATCAGAGAATGCAAGCTGTTTATGGTGATTGTGTTGATTTGAGTACTGTGCGTCGTTGGGTGAGTAAGTTTAAAGATGTTGAGGTGGGAAATCTGACTTGCGTGACAAACAAGGAGTTGGACGTCCTGTGACAGCAACAACCGAGTTTCACAAGCAAAAGGTTGACAGATTGATTCAGGATGATTGTGGTATCACTCAGATAGAAATTTCAAGCATAATCGGCATTTCACAAGAGTGTGTGGGTCACATTATTGCTTTGCTTGGCTATCGGAAGATCTGTGCACAATGGGTTGCAATTTCTGGAGTCAATTTCTGACGGCATGAAGACATCACAAATTCTCTCTGAAGCCAGCAGAGTGCACTGGAAACCATGTTATGGAACTTATGAAGAAACAAGTTCTAATAAGGAAACTGAGAAGAGGGGGAGATGGGCAGAAAAGGTGTATAAAAGGAAGTGGTCGTGGGAAAAAGTCAGTAGTATCTTTGCTGCGGAGATACAAGCAATATATCCATTTCAAAGCAAGCTTGCTTGTGAGTGGTTATTTACTATTGCTATTTAGATCCTACAGTCTGACATACGGAAAGAGAGTGTCGACTTCTTCAGTGACGGCTTCAGAAAACCTGTTCATCATTGGCAGAAATGTCTGGTGATTATGTGGAAAAGTCAATAGTGGTAGTTAAAGAACACATTCTAAGGATTATTTCTGCATTTGATTTATTAAAATATTCCCATCCAAACCCAAGTAACGAAAGTGGAGGTATTACTTTTCATTCAATCCTCATATAAACTTGGCAAGGTAGAAGGCAATAGAAAAGAGGAAGGCCTCACTGCAGGTGGATTGACTCCATCAAGAAAGACATGGCTGCTGTCCTAAGCTTGCAAGACCCGATGATGAAGTGACCTAGGCCCCTTCCGCACAGCTGAATAAAATCCCATGTTATCTGCTTTGAACTGGGTTATATGGGAGTGTAGACTCAGCCCAGTTCGAAGTAGATACTGGGAATTCTATACCTTGATATTCTGGGTTATATTGCTGTGTTTCCAATTGGGAGCAATTGGGAAGGGGACTTATCTGCTCAGGCCCTTAGAAATCTGTTGTTCTTAATGGTCACCATAATCTGAAGCTGATTATGGTAGGTAAGAACAACAAAACTTCCAAAATGAGCACATGCATCAGCAAAGGCATGCCCATTTCTCTCTCCCTTTTGTCTATCTTGTTTATCTTTTTTCCAGCATGTCCACACACACATACACACACACAGGTGGGGATGCCTCTAGTCGACCAATGCCTGCAACAGCACACACCTGTTTGTTACCAATGATTCTAGGGACTTATCAGGTGGTTTCGCAGGCCTTCCCAAAGCAATGATTTTGTGGCAAGCGGTTTGAAATGCAAGGCCACCGTAGGTAGGCGTTTATTGGGGAAAGGACTGGGGTGATCAGAGTTGTCGCTGGAGTGCACTGTTCAGATGTGGGAAGGCAGGCAGGATGCAAGGCAAGCGCGCCCAAGGCCTGACACAGCCAAATGTCTCTGCTCACAGGACAAAGCGCACCATGGGGCTGGGAAGCCTGTACGGGGAGAATGACTTGCTGGACCTGGATGGAGACCCCCAGAAGGAACGGCAGGTGGCCGAGAAGCAGATTGCTCAGCTTGGGGACATCCTGTGAGTGTCATACGTGTCTGGGGAGGAGGGTATATGGGGAAAGGATGCTGGGGAGCAATTGGGAAGGGGAGTCAGCAGCTCAGTTGGATGTTCTGTGGTTCTGGATGAGGTCCGTCCTTCCTTCCTTCTTTTTAACCTCCCTCCCTCCTTCCTTCTCTTTCTTTCTTTCTTTCTTTCTTTCTTCTTTTCTTCTTTTCTTTCTTTCTTTCTTTCCGTCTTTTGGTCCTTCCTTCCTTCCGTTCTTCTCTCCTTCCTCCCTTCCTTTCTCCTTTCCTTCCTCCTTTTCTTCCTCCCTTCTGTCTTTCCTTCTTTCTTCCCTTCTTCCTTCCTTCATTCTTTCCTCCCTTTCTTCTTTCCTTCCTTCCTTCCTTCCTTCTTTTTAACTTTCCTTCCTTCCTTCTCCCTTCCTTTTCTTTCTTTCTTTCCTTCTTTCTTTCTATCCTTTTTGTCCTTCCTTCCTTTTTGTCCTTCCTTCCTTCTATCTTTCCTTCCTTCTTCGCTTCTTCCTTCCTTCATTCTTTCCTCCCTTTCTTCTTTCTTTCCTTCCTTCTGTTTTTCTCTCCTTCCTTCCTTCCTTCCTTCCTTCCTTCCTTCCTTCATCCCTTCCTTCCTTCCTTCTGTATTTCCTTCCTTCTTACCTTCTCCCTTCCTTCATTCTTTCCTTCCTTCCTTCTTTTTGTCCTTCGTTCTTTCCTTCCTTTCTTCTTTGCTTTTTTCCTTTCCTTTCCTTTTTTGTCCTTCCTTCCTTCTTTCTTTTCTTCCTTCCTTCTATCTTTCCTTCCTTCTTCCTTCCTTCCTTCGTTCTTTCCTCCTCCCTCCCTTCCTTCCTTCCTTCTGTTTTTCTCTCCTTCCTTCCTTCCTTCCTTCCTTCCTTCCTTCCTTCCTTCCTTCCTTCCTTCTGTATTTCCTCCCTTCTTCCCTTCTTCCTTCCTTCATTCTTTCCTTCCTTCCTTCTTTTTGTCCTTCCTTCTTTCTTTCTTCCTTTCTTCTTTACTTTTTTCCTTCTTTCCTTTCCTTTCCTTTTTTGTCCTTCCTTCCTTCATTCTTTTCTTCCTTCCTTCGATCTTTCCTTCCTTCTTCCTTCCTTCATTCTTTCCTCCCTTTCTTCTTTTCTTCCTTCCTCCCTCCCTCCTTCCCTCCCTCTATCCCTCTTTTCCTCCCTCCCTTCCTTCCTTCCTTTCGTATTTCCTTCCTTCTTCCCTTCTTCCTTCCTTTTTTCTTTCTTCCCTTCCTTTCTTCTTTCCTTTCCTTTCCTTTTTTCCCTCTCTCCCTCCTTTTTTCCTTTCCTTCTTTCCTTCTTCTGCTGGACTCTCAGAGGCTCAGAACAAACAACAACTTCTCAATTGCTTGATAGATTTCTTGGATGAAAAGAACAATTTGGGGAGAAGCTGTGGATTTTCTCCACTTGAGAATCGAGAGTGTACCTTCAAGCTAGGATGCAGGATTCATTGGAGGTCGCGGTTGGGCCATTGAAAGCCATCCTGTTGGGAGGTTGCTGGACCAAAAGTGGGGACAACATAAGGAGTTCAGGGGTATGCCCCCTTTAGTAGTGTCTTTGTTAGAGTTGACTGAGGATAAGAAATTTGATGTGGCCTTGCTAGCCGGCTGCAAAACGTGGCTGACTAACTTGTTCTTCTCACTTTTCATTTCAGATCCAAATATGAAGAGGACAGGAGGTGAGTGGAGCCCTTGGAATCATCTCGCAGAAATGTTGTTTTCAGCCTAGCTAATTGTTTTAATTCAGATTGATCAATGTTCAGACTTCAATGTGTCTCTTGTTATTCTGGATTATTCATATATCTATATAAATACGAGGGTTGAATGAAAAGTAATGCCTCCACCTTCGTAACTTCTCAACAGATGGCAGTACTGGTATGCAGCAGATACTGGCTTGTTCAGTAGACTCTCCTCTACAGTTCCATTTTGGCGGGAAGCCTTAGCATTGAACGGATGTTAAAGTGTGAAGTATGGAACCCTGTGCAGACAGTTGGTCAATGTGACTTAAACAATGTGCAGTCATTGAATTCTTGACAGCAGAAGGTGTCGTTCCAAAGGAGATTCCTCAGAGAATGCAAGCTGTTTACGGTGATTGTGTTGATGTGAGTACTGTTCATTGTTGGACGAGTAAGTTTAAAAATGTTGAGGTGGGAACATCTGACTTGCGTGACAAACAAAGAGTTGGACGTCCTGTGACAGCAACCACCAAGTTTCACAAGCAAAGGGTTGACAGATTGATTCAGGAGGATTGTCGTATCACTCAGAGAGAAATTTCAAGCATAATTGGCATTTCACAAGAACGTGTGGGTCACATTATTGCTTTGCTTGGCTATCGGAAGATCTGTGCACGATGGGTACCCAGGATGCTGATGCCTGAAATGAAAGAGCACAGACTTGAAATTTGCCAGGAACTCCTCTCGCGTTACGAGAATGAAGATGAAGCTTTTCTCCATTCAATTGTGACAGGAGACCAAACGTGGGTACACCATTATGACCCGGAGACAAAGCGTCAGTCTATGGAATATTGACACAAAGACTCGCCCCAGAAAAAGAAATTCAAGACACACACCTCAGCAGGAAAAATCATGGCAACAGTGTTCAGGGATGCAGATGGTGTTATCCATGTTGATTTCCTTGAATGTGGAACAACAACAAATTCAGTGCATTACATCACAATGCTGCGAACTTTGAAACGACGGCTAACAAGGCTTCGAAAGTAAAAGAGAAATGTTTTCTTGCAGCATGACAATGCCAGACCACACACTTTACATGCCACCACAGCAGAACTTCAGAGACTGGATCTCACCACCATACGGCATCCTCCACACAGTCCAGATTTAGCACCGTCTGACTTCCATCTGTTCCCGATAATGAAAGAAGATCTGTGGGGACATCATTATGCTTCTGATGAAGATGTTGAGAGAACTGTGAGACGCTGGTTGCGGAAACACAGTGTCGACTTCTTCCGTGACGGCTTCAGAAAACTTGTTCATTGTTGGCAGAAATGTATCCAATTGTCTGGTGATTATGTGGAAAAATGAATAATGGTAGTTAAAGAGAATTTGATGTATTAAAATATTCCCATCCACTCTGTGCATGATGGGTACCCAGGATGCTGACGCCTGAAATGAAAGCGCACAGACTTGAAACTTCAGAAACTGGATCTCACCACCATACGGCATCCTCCACACAGTCCAGATTTAGCACCGTCTGACTTCCATCTGTTCCCGATAATGAAAGAAGATCTGCGGGGACATCATGACGCTTCTGAGAGAACTGCGAAATGCTAGTTGCGGAAACAGGGTGTCGACTTCTTCTGTGACATCTTCAGAAAACTTGTTCATCATTGCCAGAAATGTATCCAGTTGTCTGGTGATTATGTGGAAAAGTGAATAGTGGTAGTTAAAGAGCACATTCTAAGGATTATTTCCGTATTTGATTTATTAAAATATTCCCACCCAAATCCAAGTAACGAAGGTGGAGGCATTACTTTTCATTTCAAAATGGAACTGTAGAGGAGAGTCTTCTGAACAAGCCAGTACCTGCCGGATACCAGTTACGAAGGTGGAGGCATTACTTTCTTGTCTTCCTTGCATCTCCCTCTCCCAGTTCTCCCATGAGCTTTGCCCTGAACGCCTACATGGGGAATGCTGGAATCCGTTTGCGGGAGTCACGCCTGGTCAGCGTTGTGGAGAAGTCCCAGGAGAAAGACAAGTGGCTGCCCTTCTTCCCCAAGACCAAGAAGGTGTGTGAGAGAGACAAAACAGGGTGGGAAGCAGGCAGGAGGACCTGGGCGGACCTTTGAGGTTCCTCCAGACCCTTTGTATATTGTTTGACGTGTTTATTTTGATGTATTTTGTTTATATGCTCCTTGTAGGCATTGAATTTTTTTGCCTTATGTCTTGGAAACTGTCCTGAGTTCCTTTGGGAAGATAGGACAGCCTACAAATAAATTATTATTATTATTATTATTATTATTATTATTATTATTATTATTATTTTACTGACACAAAAACAGTATGTCACAGCAAATGAGATCTAAATGCTGGATTTCGTATCACAAAATCACAAGTTGAACACTTCCCAAGCATTTAGGACTCTGTGAATTATTATTCTTGTTGATATTATTATTATTTTATTGACACAAAAACCCAGTATGATACAGCAAACAAAATACATATGCTGGATTTCGTATCACAAAATCACAAGTCGAACACTTCCCAAGTGTTTAGGACCATGTGATGTATTATTATTATTATTATTGTTATTATTATTATTATTATTTTATTGACATAAAAACACAGTATGTCACAGCAAACGAGATCTATATGCTGGATTTCGTATCACAAAATCACAAGTCGAACACTTCCCAAGCATTTACGACTTCTGATGATTTATTGTTGTTATTAAACAAGTTGAACACTTCCCAAGCGTCTAGGACTGTGTGATGTATTTTCAAATGATGTGCACAAATCCAAGTAAGGTGGCCTTTTGCAGTTGACAGATCATGATGATGATGATGATGACTATTATTATTATTATTATTATTATTATTATTATTAGAAACACAGCAAGATGAGTCCACAGCAAATAAGATCTCTCTGCTGGTTGTTTTGTACTGGATCACATGTCGGACACTTCCCAAGTGTCTATGACTGTGTGATGTATTGGCAAATAATGCATGCAGATTATTATTATTATTATTATTATTATTATTATTATTATTATTATTATGGGGCCCTGGTGGCACAGTGGGTTAAACCACTGAGCTTCTAAACTTGCTAACTAAAAGGTTGGCAGTTTGAATCCGAAGAGCAAGGTGAGCTCCCGCTGTTAACCCCAGCTCCTGCCAACCTAGCAATTTGAAAACATGCAAATGTGAGTAGGTACCGTTCTGGCAGGAAGGTAACGGCACTCCATGCAGTCTGCTGGCCACATGACCTTGGAGGTGTCTGTGGGCAATGCCAGGTCTTCGGCTTAGAAATGGAGATGAGCACCAACCCCCAGAGTTGGACACGACTAGACTTAATATCAGAGGAAACCTTTACCTTTACCTATTATTATTATTATTATTCTTTTCCCCTGTGTGGGCTGTCCTCTGTGCCCCTTCTGACTCTGCTCCTCTTCCTCCCTCCTGGGTCAACAGAGCAGCAGCACAAAGAAAGACAAAGAGACCTTGGCCGAGGACAAGAAGCGCAACCCCATCCTGAAATACATCGGAAAGCCCAAAAGCTCCTCCCAGAGCAGTGAGTCTGGGGGCTGAGGGTGGGACTGTGTGTATCCATGGCAGTGATTCCTCTAACCCTATGGGCTTGGTCCCAAAGTGGGTGGCAGGGTGCAGGAGGGTGTGAATTGTTTTTCCAAGCTCCCCTCCTTTGAGAGCATCTCCTTCCCTTTTGGCATCACTTTGTTTGGTCACCCACCGGTGCTGTGCCAGCTTGATTTTGACATTCCATTTTGTGTTTTTTTTTTCTTTTCAGCATTTCATATCCCTTTGTCCCCTGTCGAAGGTAAAAAAACAACAACAACATCTCCCTCACTCATCCTATTCACAGCTTTCTTTTCCCTGCTCTTCCTCCTCCTGCTTATTTAAGTCAAAAACGCTGCTGGGTAAAATCTGACCAAGTGAGGGGGTCAAAGACAGTTCTAAAGTTTCCCACCTTGCGTTTGCTTTCTGCAGTGCCTATTTATGATTTGACCTCAGTATTTAATGCCCTGGTTAAGAGTTGTTCTGTGTGTGCTACCCATCTTCTTCTCTCCACCTCTCCAGAAAATATCATTGTATCTATTTGGTAATAATGGCTGATATACTCTTCTGGTCTGACTGCTGTCCTCACCTCATTATTGGCACATTTTTGGGCATCAAAGGGCCTGATGTCAGTGGTTTATTCCTTCTTTCACAATCCTGAAAAGACGGTTCTAAAGTTTTCCCACTCAGAACCTCAGAATGCCTATGTTCCTCAAGACCTAAAGCACCGGGACTGTGGTGCAGCTGGCTGGGAGTCAGCTGCATTAAATCACTACTGACCCAAAGGTCATGAGTTTGAAGCCAGCCCAGGTTGGAGTGAGCTTCTGACCATTTGTAGCTCGCTGTCAACCTTTGCAGCCCAAAAGACAGTTGCATCTGTCAAGTAGAAAATTTAGATATCGCTTATGCGGGGAGGCTAATTTAACTAATTTATCTATATCTATAAATTTCCTACTGGCGTCCAACGGGGAAGCAAAACTCTAAAACCCCTCCACAAAACCACCAAAATTGCCATGCCCCAAGGACAACCCACTAGGTACAAACTAATCCAGTCAGAAATCAAAACAACACAACCACACACAGAAAAAACGGCAAAACAACTGAGCATGCGCACTGGCGCAAAGTCCCCAGCGCGCGCGCACACATGGCCGAACGGCCAACGCACTTCCCTCCCTCCCTCGCCCCGCCCAGCGCGAACACGTCACCGCACTTCCCCACGGCACACACACACACACAAAGAACGCAACTTCCCCCCGCCCCCTTCCCTCCACCCCCTCCTTCATCTTACTCCTCCCACGCTGCCTCCAAGCCCCGCTCCACACACTCCAAGCCTCGCCGCGCCGCATCCCCACTGGAAAGACACGCCCCCTCCCTTCGCCCCACCCCTTCCCTCCCTGAGACACTCCTGGAAGGAAAGGGGTGGGGCGAAGGGAGGGGGCGTGTCTAACCGGAGAGGGAGGGAGGAGGGAAGGAGTGAGTCACGGAGGAAAGGGGTGGGGCGAAGGGAGGGGGCGTGTCTTCAAAGTCGCCCCCTCCCTTCTCCCCACCCCTTCCCTCCCTGAGTCACTCCTTCCCTCCTCCCACCCCCTCCGGAAAGACACGCCCCCTCCCTTTCCCCCCAGGAGTCAATCAGGGAGGGAAGGGGTGGGGCAAAGGGAGGGGGCGTGTCTTTCCGGAGGGGGTGGGAGGAGGGAAGGAGTGACTCAGGGAGGGAAGGGGTGGGGAGAAGGGAGGGGGCGACTTTGAAGACACAATGATGGATCCGGACCAAAGCATTCAATACGCCCAAATATCCACACAGATGGAGTTTGAGGGAAATAGACCTTGACATTTGGGAGTTGTAGTCACTGGGATTCAGAGTTCACCAACACTCAAAGAGCATCCTGAACCCCACCAACGACAGAATTGGGGCAAACATGCCACACTGAACCCCCATGACCAACAGAAGATACTCAAGTTTACACACAAGCATAAAGAAGGGGGAGGAAGGAGGGATGCCAGAGAGAGAGAGAGAGAGAAAGAGGGGAAAGGAAGGAGTGTGAGAGAGAGAAAGAGGGAAAGAGGGCGAGTGAAGGAAGGAAGAGAGGCCAGGCAGAGACTTCAAAACTCTTACTAAAGGCCACAGCAACGCGTGGCAGGGCACAGCTAGTGACACCATAAAATTATCTAGCGAGCATGCAAAGAATAAGGAAGGTCTCCATCAGTGTCACAAATGGATGGTGAAACGACAGCTCCCCTGGTGGCCAGAATACCGTCATGAAGCTGGAATGTTAAATGGCCTCTATTTGTCAGTCTATATATGTTGTGTGTCTATGGCATTGAATGTTTGCCATGTATATGTACATTGTAATCCGCCCTGAGTCCCCTGCAGGGTGAGAAGGGCGGAATATAAATACTGTAAATAAATAAATAAATAATAAAGCACTTTGATTCAATCCTCCCAGGTGGCAGATTCTGGAATATCTTGGAGCTAAAATGAAGTTCACAACAATAAAACAATGAAGACAAGTTTTTTATTCCTTCTTTCCACAATCCCTAAAAAAGACAGTTCTAAAGTTTCCTGCGCAAACCTGCTGTATATATCCGCTCCAACTCCCATCCGCCCTCTAGTGGGCAAACATTGTGCGCACAGTCTGTTAACTGCGGTTTCAATTTCCCTAACAACATAGATGTCTTATTTACACTACCTTCCCCAACTGTTCCCAGCCTCCGTTACCCTCACCTCCAACCTTTATGACAGAGAACCAAAACAGCCAGTCCCAGGCTGATTCAGCGATCCTGACATCACAAGGGCACAGTGTTTGTCCACAAAGGGGCGGATGGAAGTTGGGGATGATATATACAGGAAGTTGGAGTGGGAAAACTTTAGAACTGTCTTTTTAGGATTGTGGAAAGAAGGAATAAACCACTTGTCTTCAACATTTTACTGTTGCGAGCTTGATTTTAACTCAAAAGATCTTCCAGAGTCTGACACCTGGAAGGATTGAATCAAGGTGCTTTAGGGCTTGAGGAACATAGGCATTCTGAGATTTCTGCTTAGAATGGGGTTTCTGCATTAGTGGGAGACCAGAGTTAGTGGGTCCCTCTGTCCTTTTCTGCTTGGGTGGAAACATTGGGGAATAGATTGTTTTCTGCAGCTTCGGCTTTCCTTTCGGCTGTGTGACTCGCTATTTCAGCTGCGAAAAACCCAAAGTGACCAAGCCTTTACCCAGGGCTCTGAGAAGTCATTTCCTGAGATTGTAACTTTCAGCATTCTCCAGGATTCCAGGAGATTTGGGTGTAGTGTAGGCTTGGGTAACCACGGAAAAATTTGGTTCTAAACTCGTTTTGTTTTTAGGGGGCCCTTGCGTTTCGTTTTTTTTAATAATTCCGAAATTTTCCTTTTAAAAATTTCGAAATATACGAAATTTTGTATAATTACAAATTGATTCGTTAATGGCAGACGCGATTGCGCAATATGCTAAAAAAAACCTCCAAATGGAACAGGGGGAACTTCTGAAGCTTCCCTCTCCCTCTGTTGTTGACTGTTGGTGTGATAAAACAAACAACAACTATAAAACTTGCACCAGACATGCGAAAATAATTACGAAATAATTACGAAATAATTACGAAATAATTACGAAATAATTACGAAATAAATTGAAAAAATTGTTTCAGATCTAATTTACTCCTCACACTATTCCTGCATGGCTCAATATTGGATCATAAGCTAATTTAAATATGAATTAATAACGAATTACGAAATTAACGAATGAAACCGCCCAAGCCTAGTGTAGTGTAGTCTTTTTAAAGGGAGCCCCCAGTGGCACAGTGGGTTAAAGTGCTGAGCTGCAGAATTTGCGGGCTGAAAGGTCAGCGGTTCGAATCTGGGGAGGGGGGAGCTCCTGCTATTAGGCCCAGCTTCTGCCAACCTAGATGCAATTGTTAGTAGATCAATAGGTACCGCTTCGACGGGAAGGGAATGGCGCTCCATTCAGTCATGCTGGCCACATAACCTTGGAGTTGTCAACAGATATGAGCACCACCCCTGCCCCCAGAGTCGGACACAACTAGACTTAATGTCAAGGGAAAACCTTTACTTACTTTTAATCTTTTTTAAAAAGCTGCCTCACCCAAGTTGTGCCCTCAGACCCTCTGCTAGGACAGAGCCTGGTTCTCCCCGGAGACCCTGTGATCATTGAGCCCCCAGCAGAGAGAGCGGGAAGCCTGCTAATACTTTGCCTTCTCCCCTTCCCTTGGATCAGTTAAGCCTGGCAACGTGAGGAACATCATTCAGCACTTTGAGAACAACCAACATTATGATCCCCAGCAGCTTGACCTGCAGCGCCTCTCCACAGGGAGCTTCCCAGAAGACCTCCTGGATATGGAAAGGTAGGATGCAAGGCTGTGCCAGCTCTAGTGGACCAGGAGTATGCAAACAGGCAGGTTTTGAGGGCAAATTTGAGCAGCCCAAAACTCATTCTTTACTTTCCAATATAGTTGACTATCTGAAAGGTTTCCCAGGTACATACAGATCAAAGATGTTCAATATAGACCTTGTGTGTAGTACAAAAAGGAAGGGATAGGTTGTTGTTGTTGTTATTGAGCAACAACAACAACAACAAGAAAGTGCTGCCGCTGCTACTGCTCTTGGGAACATAGCCATCAATCTAAATTATTGGTAAAAGCTAAGGTTGTGACTGCCACAATTTCCAAGTCGGAGCAAGATGCACAAAGTCTCAGGAAAATAGCAGCAACTTGGGAGTGGAAAATCCACCTGAATTTTCTGTTTGGGATGGTCCACTAGTGAGCATTTTCACCCACATTGAGAAGAAAACTTCATTCTCCAACTTGGTCCCTGTGAAATTGCACCTATGGTATTTCCTACGTCTGCATGAGAGGGCCTACAGTTGAGATGCTTGTAGCCATCACCATATTCTTCAAGGGAGACCCTCCAGGCTTCCAAATGCTTAGCTCTCTTTTCTTCCCAGTTTCCCACGTTTACCCCATCATATCCCTTTAGTTCCAGGTCTGAGGTCAAGCTTGGTCGGTCGGAGAGCTTGAAAGGCCGAGAAGAGCTGAAGCGACTCCGGAAGGCAGACAACGTGCCTCGCTCCCGGAGCGATGTGGACATGGATGCGGCGGCAGAAGCCACCCGTCTCCACCAGTCGGCCTCCTCATCCGCCTCCAGCCTCTCTGCCAGGTAAGTCACCCCCCTGAAGCCGAATGGACCGACGCATTGATTGGTTAGGTGGCCAGTGTTGCACTCCAGAACAGGGAAAGCCCTCTGACTTTAAATACCATACAGTTGATTAGGAAAACAATCCTTTTATTGAAGATAATTATAAAGCAGTAAAGTAAAAAAGCACTTAAAAGGAACAGGTAAATCCAATTAGGTAAGAAGATAAGCAGGAACAAAATAGTCTAGCGTAATAGTCCAGCAAAGTTCATGAAAACAGAGGCAAAACTTCTCTAATAAATCCAGGAAACCGGGATTGTGGCGCAGCTGACTGAGTGTCAGATGCATTAAGATCACTCTGACCAAAAGGTCATGAGTTCGAAGCCAGCCCGGGTTGGAGTGGGTTTCCAACCATTGTGTAGCCCGTTGTTGACCTTTGCAACCCGAAAGACAGTTGCATCTGTCAAGTAGGAAAATAAGGTACCACCTTAAAAGTGTGGGGAGGCTAAAATTAACTAATTTATGAGGCCATAAAAAAGAACTCCAGTGGGGAAGCATGCGAGGAATGCGGAAGGTACTTCATCAGTGTCGCAGATAGACGATGAAAGCGACAGCTCCCCTGGCAGCCAGAAAAAGTTAAATAGCCTCTGTGTATGTCTTGTATATGTTGTAAGTCAAAATTTATTTATTTATTAATTTACTTTACTTCTATACCGCTGTTCTCAGCCCGAAGGCGACTCACAGCGGTTCACAAGGCACAAAACACAGCAAAATTCAACATCAATATAAAACAGTTAATAACCTAATCTAATACATAATTACTATAGTAACCATTCCCAAGCATCTCATCACTAAAAACATGATCCAGGTTTGTCGTCCATTGTTCCATTCCTATGTCGTTACCAGTCTTTGCACCAATCATTCGAATGCCTGCGCAAATAACCAGGTCTTTACTCTTTTGCGGAAAACCATCAGAGATGGTGCCAAGCAGAAAATTGGCATTGAATGTTTGCCATATATGGGTACACTGTAATCCGCCCTGAGTCCCCTGCGGGGTGAGAAGGGCGGAATATAAAAGCTGTAAATAAATAAATAAACATGAATTCAAGGCATGAAAATATAAAACCATAAAATCCAAGAATCAAAACCATGAAACAAAAGGCACTTAAGCATGAATCTTCCAAACAAAGCTTCCATGAAACAAGGATGAGATCTTGACTTGATTCCAAACGATGCTTCATCTGACTACATTTCCTGTACTTGGAACTTTTATCTCCTTGTTAAGCTATGTCCCAAGTGCTCAGAAATTGATTTCGCTTTAGCTTAGAATCTTTTATCTTTTTCTCTCTGAGCCTGGCAGAACAGCAAAGCCGCTGTTCGGCTTTTCTGTTTTGACGAATCTCCTCCCATCTATCTATTTTCTCATTAATTTCTGTATCTGGGCCAGGTGCCAAGCTGTTTTCAAGCTCCAAATCATGGGAATTCTCTGGTAGCAATTAAGGGAGCACACCATCATCCCCACACCCTTCAAGGACATTCTCATGGGAAACTACACTTTGAACAGGAATCTCCTCGTCATTCTCTGCATCCATATCATTGACCAAACCATTGCAATCTTGAAACCCATTGACATTACATGTGTTTCAGGATCAAGCACCCTGATCCTGAAACACAATCACAGACTGAGCTTCAGTGCTTATAGAATGACTGACCAAGGGGAGAAGACACAGTTCAGAGGTGGTATAGCTGACCAGCACACTCTCGTCTTCTTCCTCTAGGTCCCTGGAAAACCCCACCCCTCCTTACACTCCCAAAATGGGCCGCAGGTGAGATTTTTCTTGTTCCAATGGGACAAGGGGCAGTCTTCCATGGCTTGGACGAACCCCCTGGCACACATCCCTCTGGCATCTCTCCACTTTTGTTCCTGCAGGAGCATCGAGTCCCCCAGCCTGGGCTTCGGCACGGACGTCTTCCTTCCTCACTTGCTGGAGGACGAACTGGGCCAACTCTCGGACTTGGAGCCGGAGCCGGACTCGCAGAACTGGCAGCACACCTTCGGCCGGGAGGTCGCGGCTTCCCTGCCGCAGCGAGAGGTGGACCGCCAGGAGGTCATCAACGGTAAGTAAGGCTTCGGCCACTGTTTTAAGAAGAGACACATTCCTCTGTTGTATGGGGTGGGTTCCCCTTGGGAAAGCTGCAAAAGGGTGGGGTAGGAATTCCAGATTGCTTTGGGTGATAGGAATGACAATGTTAGGTTGTTGTAGGTTTTTTCGGGCTACATGGCCATGTTTTCCAGAGGCATTCTCTCCTGACGTTTCACCTGCATCTATGGCAAGCATCCTCAGATGTAGTGAGGTCTGTTGGAACTAGGAAAATGGGTTTATATATCTGTGGAATGACCAGGGTGGGGCAAAGAACTCTTGTCTACTGGAGCTAGGTGTGAATGTTTCAACTGACCACCTTGATTAGCATATAACGGCCTGACGGTGCCTGGGGAATCTTTTGTTGAGAGGTGATTAGATGTGCCTGATTGTGTCCCCTGTTTTGCTGTTCTAATTTTAGAGTTTTTAAATACTGGTAGCCAGATTTTGTTCATTTTCATGGTCTCCTCCTTTCTGTTGAAATTGTCCACATGCTTGTGGATTTCAATGGCTTCTCTGTGTAGTCTGACATGGTGGTTGTGAGAGTGGTCCAGCATTTCTGTATTCTCAAATAATATGCTGTGTCCAAGTTGGTTCATCAGGTGCTCTGCTATGGCAGACTTTTCTGGTTGAAGTAGTCTGCAGTTCCAACAGATCTCACTACATCTGAGGATGCTTGCCATAGATGCAGGCGAAACGTCAGGAGAAAATGTCTCTAGAACATGGCCATATAGCCCGAAAAAACCTACAACAACCTAGTGATTCCAGCTATGAAAGCCTTCGATAATACAATGACAATGTTGTCCATGTTCAAGTTGATTCCTCTGATGGGAATGGGGATGCTGTCCATGAAGATGTTCCTGAAGGGAATGGGGATGATGGTCTCTTTCCTTGGCCTGCTTTTAGAGATATGGGGCCTGAATGCAGTTCAGATGTTGGGAAAAGCTCTGTGCCGCAGTCCCCTGGCCAGTTATTTATTTATTTACGACATTTATATGCCGCCCTTCTCACCCCGAAGGGGACTCAGAGCAGCTTACAAGATATATATACATACAAAAAAATATATATTATTAGCATGGTACAATATCAGTATTATACTATTATATTGTAATATTATTAGTAATATTACATGTAATATAAAAATATAATTATATCATATTATTATTATTATTATTATCATCATCATCATATTACATTATATTATATTATATGTATATGCAATAAATTATATTACATTACATTACATTATATTATATTATTAGCATAGCACAGGAGACAAGGTGGAACTGTCACCTGGCCCCTCTCTTCACTCTGGCCCAGAGTATCACCTGGTGCTACTGATTTTAATGAAGCCTTGAACAGAAAAAGGGTTTTAGCCAGCAAAGATAAAAAAAAAAACAATTACGGCACTCAGCCAGATTCCAGCAGAAGTTAGAATTGAAACCAAAATTAAGGAAAAATCAGTTCTTCGCTGTTTGGGAAATAGGGCAGGAATATGTGCCAAGTACAGAATCTAAGCTTCAGATGAAGCAACATTGGATTCACGTTAAGTTCTACATGCCAAGTTCTTGGACCCGTGTCTTTATTTAATTCCTGTGTTAAGTGCCTTTTCTGATATTTGCCTTTGAAATAAAGCATCTAGTTTCATGGATTTCTTTGGACTAAAAGGACTAAATGCTCCTTTTTCTTCCTAATCAATTGGATTTACCTTTTACTGTGGATTACTTTTCATTGCTTTGGGTTTTATTACCATCAATAAACTGTTTGCTATTTCAACTCAACTGTATGGTGTTTAAAGGCGGAACTATTTAATACCTTCTTTGCCTCGGCCTTCTCACAAAAAGAAAGTCATCTTCAACCTCAGCAAGACGGAGTGGATGAGGGATTTGAGGACATCCAACCCCAAATTGGGAAACAAGTCGTACAGGAATACCTGGCCGCTCTAAATGAGTTGTAGTTCAGCCTTTGATTGTGCCTGCACCTGATTTCTCTGGGGATTCTGGAGCTGTTAGTCAGCCTGTTGACACAGGATTCTGGGTCTGCATGTCAGCAAGAAAGCAGGAGTAGCTAGAGATTTTAGGTCCTGAAAAGGAGCTGAAGCTTTCTGAAAGCCACATTCCAGCAGAACTGAACTTAGAGGATAATAGTGAAAATCCAGTTGGAAATCTAATGAGCAGTTAGATAGAAGACTTATGTTTCGTCAACATAGAGTTTCACATGAAAAAGTCCAAAGGTCAAGTTGCTTGTTAGCAAGGAAGTCGTTATCAGTTTCCCAAGGGAAAAGGCACACTTTTCTCTCAATATTACAGAATCTCTGGTCAGTGGAAGCAATGTTGGAAATTGAGGATAGAACTCCTATCAGGTCAAGGAATTTCTAGTGCCATGTTCATGTTTTCCTGTTTGTTCCTATTTTATATTTTATTTATTATTTATTTAGAAGTTTTATATACCGATCTTCTCACCTCCAAGGAGGGATTCAGGCCCGTTCACAACATGTGTTCATATACAGTAATATACAAAACAGCACAATGCATCATCATTATACATTAAAATATAAGTACAATAAAAACATCATCATCACACTACACAAGCCAAGTTGTCAATACAGTCACAATTCATCGTCATACTTCCATGTGGACAAGGGTTATTGACTCAATCCAAAAATGCCATATTCCAAAGCCAGGTTTTTATTAGTTTCCCAAAGGTCAGGAGGGAAGGAGCAGATCTAATCTCTGGTGGGAGGGAATCCCAAAGCCGAGGGGCCACCACCGAGAAGGCCCTGTCCCTTGTTCCCACCAAACGCGATTGCGAAGGTGGTGGGACTGAGAGCAGGGCCCCTCCGGAAGATCTTAGTAACCTTGATGGTTCATAGGGGAGAATCCATTCGGACAGGTAAACTGGGCCGGAGTCGTTTAGGGCTTTATATGTCAAAACCAGCACTTTGAATTGTGCTCGGAAGCTAATCAGCAGCCAGTGGAGCTGGTGTAACAGAGGGGTCGTATGGTCTCTGTACCCCGCTCCTGTTAGCAATCTGGCTGCTGCACATTGGACTAATTGAAGCTTCCGGGCAGTCTTCAGAGGCAACCCCAAGTAGAGAGCGTTGCAGTAGTCTAAACGGGATGTAACCAGAACGTGGACCACCGTGGCCAAGTCAGACTTCCCAAGGTACGGGCGCAGCTCCAAGTGTTCGTATATCTCCAAGTGTTGAAGACTGTTCATGAATTTCATGTTTTGGACTTATTCCACTCTTGTATTCCTGGTTTTTGGAGAGATAGATAGATAGATAAATAGATTCATGTCAGGAGCGACTTGAGAAACTGCAGTGGTTCTTGGATGTAACTTGCTTTTTGGGGATTATCTCTAATTTTTGAACTTTGGTTTCTGACACTATTTTGCTGAATTGCTTACTATATTTTCTTCAATAAACTGCTTGCTATTTTACCTTGGCCTGGAGTGTGTGTTAAGTGCAAAGGTGCTTCCCAGCCTTGGAGTACAACAATGGGACAGAATAGAATGGGTGGGTTAACTTCAGAACATGAGGTTTCAGGTCCATATCTGCATCCTTTCCAGAGAGTGTTGGGCTCTGACCCCTTTTAGATGCGCACCCCTCCCTGGTGAGTGAGCTGGCATCCCTCTCTGTCCCTCTTTGTCCAGAACTGTTTGTGACGGAGGCTTCCCACCTACGGATCCTGCGTGTCATGGATGTTGTCTTCTATCAGCGCATGAAGAAGGAGAACCTTCTCTCCCGGGAAGAGCTGGGCCTGATTTTTCCAAATTTACCAGAGGTCATCGAGATCCACAGTAGGTTTCCTTCCCTGGGTGGAGGCCATGAGTGAATTTTAGAGCATCCTGCCAATGTATTGCAAATGCTTTTGAGTCTCCATGGGTGTTTACAGTGAAAGCGTTGGGAGTAGTCTTTCGACTGGGCCTTCCTGTCCATTCTGTCCATTTTCACAGAAATGTGCTGGGCCCATGTAAACATAGTGTGCCAGTCACAGACAGGCTCCCACTTCCACAAACAGTTATGATCCCCACCTATGGGGAGCCACCAATGGTGTTGCAGGTTATAGCAAGCACTGTGAACATGTCCAGGAGCCCTGCCAGTGTCTTCCACATACACAATACTGCTCACCACCCAAGTGAAGGCTTTCATGGGGGGACCATTTCATCCTAGATTTTCTGTTTTTCCTCCACCACAGATATCCCAGTGTCTCTTGCTCTCTCCATTGGTGTGGAATTTGCATGACCCCGCCTACTCCCTCTCCCATTAACCCTTTCCTATTCTTTTTATGGCATCCAGCAAACAGAGGAATTGATCAGCAACTGAACATACTAGAGAGGTTTGGGGAGAATTCACCATGATTTATAGGAGTTGTAGATACAGGGATGTATAGTTCACCTGCAATCTAAGAACACTCTGAACTCCACCAACTATAGACCTGGAGCTAACTTGGCACACAGAACCCCCCATGGCCAACAAAAAATACTGGAGGTCTTCGGAGGGATTTAGAGGAGTTGTAGTTCACCTATATCCAGAGCGTATTACAAGCCCAAACAATGATGGATTTGGACCAAACTTGGGATGCATATCTGATATGCTCAAATTTGAATACTGGTGTGTTTTGAGGGGAATTTGAAGTTGAACATGCTGTGATTTATAGTTCACCCACAACTATAGAAACAGAGATCCTCACCAATGATGGATCTGGACCAAACTTGGCAGACAGAGCCCCCACGACCAGCAAAAAATAATGGATGTCTCTGGGTGAAATTCACTTTGATTTGGGGGAGTTGTAGTTCACCTACATCCAGAGAGCACTGTGAATCCAAACAGTGATGGTTCTGGACCAAACTAGGCACACATGCCTGATATGCATAAATTTGATGACTGGAGGGGTTTTTTTTGGGGGGGGGGGAGCTGACCTTTATTTCTGGGAGTTGTATTCCCCCCCCCCCCAGGGAAACGGTGACCTCCACCGATGATGGACCTGGACCAAACTTGGCAAACAAAACGCTCATGACTAAGTCAACCTACTAGAGGGGTTTGAGGGGACTGACTCACCATAGTGGGAGTTGTAGTTTACCCTACAGCCAGAGAGCACATTGAACCCCACCCATGATGCATCTAGAGAAAACTTGCCCAACATAGCAAACTTTTAAGTACTGATGGAGGTTTTTTAGGGTTAACCTGGCATGTTGAGAGTTGTAGTTCACCCACAACCTTATGCATTTCGTACAATTAAAAAAATATTTTTCAAATAACCCAAGCAATGCCAGGTCCCCAATCTAGTAAAATAGAAAATAATATTTAAGGAGATACCACTGAAGACAAAATACAAGTACAATTCACTCCTGTTTGTTTTTTTCCATCAGATTCTCTGTCAGAAGCCATGAAGAAGCTCCGAGAGGACGGTCCAGTCGTGAAAGAAATTGGGGACCTAATGCTCTCTCGGGTAACCCTCTTGGGGAGCTCCTGGGGCTGGGTCTCTTCAGCTGACTTCCCAATGAGATAATAATTGACCCGGATTCTTTCCCTACCTCCACTTGTTCCAGTTTGATGGAGTTGCCCGTGAGGAGATCCAACAAGTGGCCGCGGACTTCTGCGCTTACCAGTCTGTGGCCCTTGAGCTGATCAAGACCAAGAAGCGGAAGGAGACGCGATTCCAGCTCTTCATGCAGGTAGGCTGCCATTGGAGGCCTCACTTTGGCCTTGGAGAGTGGTCAAAAGGTTGGGATCATGTACTTATTGTAGTACTTAAGGAGTAACTCCTCCTTACCTGGTAACTTACCTAGTAACTGGGCCGGGCTTTAGCCCAACTGGTTAATCACCAGCAGAGATGCTTACTTCCCTGACATTAAGTCCAGTCGTGTCCGACTCTGGGTGTTGGAATCACAGACACCTTAAAGGGCCAGACTCAAAAGTGGCTTCCAAACAGAGTTTATTAAAACAAAGGAAAAAGGATGCAGAGGCACTTAAATGCAGTGCCACTGGTCAAAGCTCAGGAAACAAATCAGACCTGGTCCAAAAAGGTTAACAGAAAAATAATCCAGATCAAACAAGGAGCTTTGAGGCAAAACAAAAGGCAGTACACAACTGGTAAACAAAAAAGGAGGGGCCGCAGGAAGGGAAGCGTCGTCAGCTGAATTTCAGAGTCGAAGCGGGAGAAATCCGAAATAGCGCTGCTCCAGTGTTCGCAGAAGCAGCGTCTTTAGCCAAACTGGTCCAGGTCCAAGAAGGGAGAAGTCCACATTCACGAGAAGCCAGTCCGGGTCAATAACACGCGAACGAACAGGAGGTCCAAACTGCAGATCCCCAACCAACGCCGAACACGAAACAGGCAGCAACAAGTCTACAAGAATCTTTCCCAATACACAGCAGCCAACACACGAACACTCATCAACACCTTGCCTTCTGCAAGGACCCCTCACCCCTGAACCCACTTTTATTTACAAATCATCATCAGAAGATGAACTGACCACCGCCCCATCATTGTCCCCCGCAGCTGCCCCCAGCTCTTCACATGAATTCCCTTGTCCTTCAATCCAATTCCTCCATCTCCTGTCAAGACTTAGGTCCCCCCAAGACTGGCAATCCCCTGATTGCCAGTCTTCACCCCCAGAGAACCCCACAAATGTATCACTAGTTGTTGGCTCCTCACAAATAGCTTGCACTTTTCTTATCTTAGTGTAATCCACGGTGTCTTCTTCTTCTTCTTCACCTTCACTCATTGACCCATCATCCCCAGAGAATCCCTGAAATGATTCCTCATCTGTAGGTGCTGTAAGTATGTCCCGGATCCTCTTTCTCTGCTGCTAATCATCAGATTCCTGCTCCCGAGTAACCCTTTTTCCCCTTCTGGCCCCACACTGCTGTTTGTAACATTACTCACAGGCTCTACTACAACACTGATGTACTGCATTATATTATTATCAATATTATATGTGTATACAATATATTATATTATTAGCACAGCACAACATCAGTCATATATTAATACTATATTATATCTTCTGGTCGCTTTTGGAGAATTATGGAAAAAATAGACCCATGTCTGATTCCACAGCAAGCTGGCTTCAGGAAAGGCAAAAGCTGCACATCGCAAGTGCTGAACCTGACTCAGCACATAGGAGATGGCTTTGAAAGGCAGCAGATCACAGGAGTTGTCTTCATAGACCTGTCAGCAGCCTATGAGACTGTGAACCACTGCCTCCTCCTGAAAAAAATGTATAATATCACAAAGGACTACCACCTCACCTGACTCATAGGAAGCCTGCTACAAAGCTTTTTTGTTGAGTTCCAGGGCCAGAGAAGCAGATGGCGGAAACAGAAGAACGGCCTGCCTCAGGGGAGCGTGCTTGCTCCATCCATGTTCAACATTTACACAAATGACCAGCCACTGCCAGAAGGGACACAGAGTTTCATCTATGCTGATGATCGTGCCATTACTGCTCAAGCAGGGAGCTTTGAGATGGTTGAACAGAAGCTCTCCAAAGCACTAGGTGTACTTACCGCCTACTACAGGGAAAACCAGCTGATCCAAAATCCATCTAAAACACAGACGTGCTTTTTTTAAGAATAGACAAGCATCCCGAGCTCTGAGGATGACCTGGGAAGGAATCCCACTGGAGCACTGCAGCGCACCCAAATACCTGGGAGTCACTCTGGACCGTGGTCTGACCTATTATTATTATTATTATTATTATTATTATTATTATTATTATTTACAGCTTTTATATTCCTCCCTTCTCACCCTGCAGGGGACTCAGGGCTGATTACGGTGTACACATATATGGCAAACATTCAATGCCAATTTTTGACATACAAACATATACAGACATACACAGAGGCTATTTAACTTTTTTCTGGCCGCCGGGGAGCTGTCGCTTTCATTGTCCATCTGCGACGCTGATGAAGCACTTCCGCATTCCCGCATACTTCCCCGCTGGAATGCTTGCTGGAGTCTTCTTTATGGCCTCATAAATCGGTTAATTTTGCCTCCCCACACTTTAAGGTGGTACCTAATTTTCCTACTTGACAGATGCAACTGTCTTTCGACCTACACTGCCTGAATCTCAAGCAAAAAGTGGGTGCTAGAAACAATATCATACGAAAGCTGACTGGCACAACCTGGGGATCACAACCAGACACAGTGAAGACATCTGCCCTTGCGCTATGCTACTCTGCTGCTGAGTACGCATGCCCAGTGTGGAACACATCTCGACCACACTAAAACAGTAGATGTGGCTCTTAATGAGACATGCCGCATTATCACGGGGTGTCTGCACTGTTAACCTCACAGCGACAACAAACAGTATGGTGCAAACTTTTAGTACAGTCGTATTTTCTTATAAGTAGCTTGTGTAACAGCCTACCACAATTCAACAACAGTATATATACATGCTGCACTGTTAACCCCACAGCGACAACAAACAATGTGATGCAAACTTTTAGTACAGTCGTGTCTTCTTATAGTAGCTTGTGGGACAGCCGACCACGACCGGTTTCGGCCTACCTCAGGCCTTCCTCTGGTGGAAAAATTATGCACATGAAAGTATGTTCTCCACGGGAGATACAAATCTTTTTGGGTTGGTATGAGATACTCTGCTTTGAGTTTAGTTCTGGCTGCGAGTAACCTGGGAGGGAATCCCACTGGAGCATTGCAGTGCACCCAAATACCTGGGAGTCACTCTGGACCGTGCTCTTACCTACAAGAAGCACTGCCTGAACATCAAACAAAAAGTGGGCGCTAGAAACAATATCATACGAAAGCTGACTGGCACAACCTGGGGATCACAACCAGATACAGTGACGACATCTGCCCTTGCGCTATGCTACTCTGCTGCTGAGTATGCATGCCCAGTGTGGAACACATCTCACCCCACTAAAACAGTGGATGTGGCTCTTAATGAGACATGCCGCATTATCCCGGGGTGTCTGCGCCCTACACCACTGGAGAAATTACACTGCTTAGCCGGTATTGCACCACCTGACATCCGCCGGGAAGTAGCAACCAATAGTGAATGGACCAAGGCAGAGACATCTCCAGCTCATCCCCTGTTTGGGTATCAGCCAACACGTCAATGACTTAAATCAAGAAATAGTTTTCTAAGATCTACAGAGACACTCGCTGGAACACCTCAGCAAGCGAGAGTCCAAAAGTGGCAGGCTCAAACCCAGAACCTCAACCAATGGCTGATACCAAATGAGAGACTCCCTCCTGGGCACACAGAAGACTGGGTGACTTGGAAGGCGCTGAACAGACTGGGCTCTGGCACCACGAGATGCAGAGCCAACCTTCAGAAATGGGGCTACAGAGTGGAATCCATGACATGTGAGTATGGAGAAGAGCAAGCTACAGACTACCTGCTGCGATGCAACCTGAGCCCTGCCACATGCACAATGGAGGACCTTCTTGCGGCAACACCAGAGGCACTCCAAGTGGCCAGATACTGGTCAAAGGACATTTAATCAACTACCAAGCTTGCAAACTTTGTGTTTTGTCTGTTTGTTTGTTTTGTTAAAAATGTAATAAAACAGTCTGGTTGCTCCTGGCATGATAAATAAAAAAACTATATTATATTATATTATATTAATATATAAGCCTTAAAGTGCCAGTTTGAATAGCAGTAAAAGTTCAACAGCTCTTGGTCTGCGATCTTTCTATCCACTTCTATCTCAGGATACGTTGGTCTCACAACCTCCTGGATGCCTTGGCCTCTCGCTCCTCTCTTTTCGTTTCTTTTGTACATCACCAATGGTTTCTTCCTTCCTTTCTCTCCTTCTATCCTTGCTAGGAAGCAGAGAGCAATCCCCAGTGCCGGCGCCTTCAGCTAAAAGACCTTATCATCTCAGAGATGCAGCGCCTGACCAAGTATCCATTGCTGCTGGAGAACATCATCAAGTACACTCATGGTACAGTATTGCCTTCACTGTAAAATGGCTTCTAATTTCAGTACAACCACCACCAACAAAAATTCCATGTTTCATCGCATAATAGTCACACTGAAAAAAGACAGGTGCGACTATTATGCAGAAAAACCTGCCTTTGATTCTCTGGTTTCTGTTTGTTTTTAAACGAACTGCCTTAACTCTGAGACCAAGAGTTTAAAGAAACAGCTTCTTTTCTGGAAATTTTAAACTCCTTGTAGAAAGGAGGAAAGAGGAGGGAAAATTCCCCCCTTTCTCCCTTCTTTCTCTGAAAATAAGGCAGTTTACAAAATCTGAAGTTGAGCTCTTTGGCAATAGGAGGACTGAGGAAAAGTCCATGTCCAGGGAGTTCCATTCCAGGTTTTTAAAACTGCCTTGCCTTGAAGGAAGAACAAAGCTCCAGATACCTCAATATCATTGTTCTTAAACAGGAAGGGAGGGAAGGGCAATCAGCCCTAATTGGCTCTGCGACTATTAAGCGAGGAAATCAAAATACCAGTTTTTCTACCTACCCAAAACATGGGAGAGGTGGAACTGTCTTACTGTCTTTCTCTGAAGGTAAGGGAGTTTACAAAATCTGAAGTTGAGCTCTTTGGCAAAAGGAGAACAGAGGGAAGGGCCAGGTTCCAGGGACTTCCATTCCAGGTTTTTAAAACCACCTCACCTTGAAGGACGGAGGAAAGAACAAAGCTCCAGATATCTCCATTTCATTGTTTTTAAACAAGGAGGGAGGGAAGGCCAATCAGCCCCAATTGGCTATGCGACTGTTACGCGAGGAAATCAAAATACCAGTTTTTCCTCCTACCCAAAACATTTTTTTGTCATGTCAGTAGAGACTTGAGAAACTGCAACTCGCTTCTGGTGTGAGAGAATTGGCCGTCTGCAAGGACGTTGCCCAGGGGACACCTGGATGATTTGATTTTTTTATCATCCTTGTGGGAAGCTTCTCTCATGTCCCCGCATGAGGAGCTGGAGCTGGTAGAGGGAGCTCATCTGCCTCTCCCCGGATTCGAACCTGCGACCTGTCGGTCTTCAGTCCTGCTGGCACAGAGGTTTAACCCACTGCGCCACTGGGGGCTCCAAAACATGGGGTGTGGTTATTATACGAGGGCAATACGGTACATAAGATACACCCAGGATTCCATTTGTAGAGATGTTTACCTAGGAAAAAAGTGAACTTTAGAACTGAGGGCTGGTTTTAACACAACAGGTTAATCACCAGCTGCAGTAAATCTTACCAATCGAAACATTGACAGTTCGAAGCTGGGTCAGGGTGACTTCCTGACCTTCAGCCAAGCTTCCTGCCCACCTAGCGGATCAAAAACAGCAATATGAGTAGATGGGAGGTATTTTAGGCATGGTGTTTCGTTTCAGGGGAAAGTTTATGAACATAGAAAGTTCTTTGGCAAAGGAGAAAGAGATAGAGCGACATCACCCCCATGTAGTCGAAACTGAGCACAGCCTCCAAAAGATGCCAAATGATGAGAAAAAGCCTCTATCTGTTGTGTTGAGATTAACTTCACAATTCAGCAGCAGATCAGTTGCACAACTTCAGCGCTTTCAGTAGCTTCTTCCTGCACAGTATTTTCAGTCAACTGCTCCCACAGCCTGCAGTCTTGAGCACATGGCCGGCCATTGTCAGTTTTACCATTGTCTTTCCCCCAGTCTAGATGATATTACAAACTTACCACAGCATACAGTTATATCTTGTATTTGCAGACAAGTTCTTTTAATTACATATAGCCTTCGACAAACAACAGCACAGCACAAGGAGAGAAAATACACTATACATGACTTCCTTATATACAATTCATTTACACATAGCAATCTCTGATTGGTTCCCAACTCATTGACTTAATTTGAACCCAGGATTGCATCATTCACAATCACATGGACTAGGCCAGAACACATTCCCCAAATGAAGTTCTATATACAGTTAATGCATGACTCAGTATTTCCAATAGAAGCCCATTAGCAGTGCATGACTCAGCTATATTACATTACAATACATTGTAAAACCTAACATGTTGTCTGTCTTGTCATTGTATAATTGGCATTGAATGTTTGCTGTATATGTGTTCAGTGATCCGCCCTGAGTCATCTTCGGATTTTTGTTTGTTTTGTTTGTTTTATGTCAGGAGTGACTTGAAAAACTGCAAGTCACTTCTGGTGTGAGAGAATTGGCCGTCTGAAAGGACGTTGCCCAGGGGGACGTTGCCCGAATGTTTTGACATTTTACCATCCTTGTGGGAGGCTTCACTCATGTCCCCTCATGGGGAGCTGGAGCTGACAGAGGGAGCTCATCCACGCTCTCCCCTGATTTGAACCACTGATCTGTCGATCAGCAGTCCTGCCAGCACAAAGGTTTAACCCATTGTGCCACCAGGGGCTCCCTTCGGGATGAGAAGGGCAGAGTATAAGTACTGTAAATAATAATAATAATAATAATAATAATAATAATAATAATAGCAGCAATGGAAGAAATACAGTAAATTGGATGGAGCTCCCAAGATAGCCGTTGTCTTTCCCCCAGCATGTGCACAGGTGAACATATGCCAACTGGCTTTAGAGAGTTGTGGGGCAGTTTCTGTTGGAGCTGTGTCTCCTTCCTAATCGGGCCTGCTTTTGTCTGTTTGAGATCTCAGCCTTTGCCTCTTTACTTAGAAGAGACGTCGGAGCACCAGAAACTGTGCCGGGCCAGGAACCACTGCCGGGAGATCCTCCGGTACGTGAATGAGGCAGTGAAGCGGGCAGAGAACCAACACCGTCTGGAGGCCTACCAGAAGCGCCTAGATGCCACCTCTCTGGAGAGGACTAGCAACCCCTTGGCAGCCGAGTTCAAGGTGGGGCCTACGTTCCTCCGGCGTTTCTTTTGCCCTCTTCCGCTTTGGCTTTCTGCTCTCCTCTCTTGAAAACCTTGCCTTTTTCTACTTCTTCTGACTAGAATCTTGACCTCCGAAGCCGGCGCATGATCCACGAGGGACTCCTGAGTTGGCGCATCAGCAAAGACAAGACTGTGGGTCTGTAACCGACACTGAGAACTGTCTCAGGGGAACCCAGGGAGTCAGTGGGAGGTGGATGCTCCCTGTCTTTATTGGTGTCTATAATACGAGGGTTGAATGAAAAGTAATGCCTCCACCTTCGTTACTTGGGTTTGGATGGGAATATTTTAGTCATTCCACCCCCCCTCCTCCTCCTCAATGGGCCACACTTTGAAATCTCGAAACATGATCCTCAAGTTCTCTCTCTACTGTCTCTTCTCCCAGCTAAACATCCCCCAGGAGAGGAAAGGATGAAGGAAAAAGAGAAGGAAGGGAATGGAAGGAGGGAGGGGAGGGGAGGGGAGGAGGAATGAAACAAATAGAGAAGGAAGGAAAGACAAAGGAAGGAAGGAAGGAAGGAAGGAAGGAGAAAGTGAGAAGGAAGGAGGGAGAAAGAGGGAAGGAAGGGAGAGAGGGAAGGAAGGAAAGAGATGGGAGGGAGGAAAGGAATGGAAGGAGGGAGGGGAGGGAGAGAGTGACAAAAGAGAGAAGGAAGGAAGAACAATGGAAGGAAGGAATGAAAGAGAAAGAGCTAGGGAAGGAGGGAGGAAAGAGGGAACGATGAAAGAGTGGAAGAGACGGAAGAAGGGAGAAAGAGGGAAGGGAGGGAGGGAAGAGAGGAGGAAAGGAATGGAAGGAGGGAGGGAGGGAAGGAGAAAGGAGAGAGAGGAGGGAGGGAGGAAAGGAATGGAACGAGGGAGGGGAGGGAGGAAAGAGAAGGAAGGAAAGACAAAGGAAGGAATGAAGGAGAAAGAGGGAAGAAGGGAGGAAAGGGGGAAGGAAAGAAGGACGAAAGGGTGAAAGAGAAGGAAGGAGGGAGAAAGAGGGAAGGAAGGGAGGGAGGGAAGGAGGAAAGAGAGAGGGAAGGAAGGGAGGAAAGGAATGGAAGGAGGGAGGGGAGGGAGAGAGGGATGAAAAAGAGAAGGAAAGAAAAGGGAAAGAAGGAATGAAGTAGAAAGAGAGAGGGAAGGAGGAAGGAAGGAAGGCAAGAAGGAAGGAAGGATAGGATGGTGAGAGAGAGGAGGGCTTGAGAAAAGAGCTCAAGGGGCCACATCCGGTCCCCGAGCCTAGGTTTGCTTCAAAATGTGACTAGGATACAAAACCAATGCCATGGGTCAAGTCACAGTTGCAAACCTGGGAAAGCTCACCCAAAAATGGGAGAAAACAGGGCTGTTTTGGTTGTTGTCCAGTTTCCCAGAAGGAAGGCCCGTTTCAAGTCAAAATGCCCAAGTGGGGAGGCTTCTGAGAAATCAAATGAGGCGTATGTGTGCCCTGCCACTCGTCACTGGGACACTTCAAAATTTGACAGTGTTCTCAGTTGTCACCCAAGTTGCAAACACCTCTCTCAACAGGAGGGTGTGTTCCTGTTCAGCTTCCAGTTCCATCCTAAGGATGCTTAGTTGGTGTTTTCCCTCCCTCCCTCCCTCCCTTTTGTGCTTCCTTCCCGTCTGGCAGATGTCCACGTGCTGCTCCTGGAAGACCTCCTGGTCCTCCTCCAGCGACAGGATGAGAAGCTGGTCCTGAAGTGCCACAGCAAGATGACGCTGGGCTCCTCGGACATCAAGCAGACTTTCAGCCCTGTACTCAAGCTCAACTCGGTCCTCATCCGCTCTGTGGCCACAGGTAAACAGCTTTTGCACCTCACTCTGTGTCCTGTTCTTTCCACCTTGTGTCTCCTGCTCAGCTCTGACCTCACCCTTGCCCATGTGGTGGGGTCAGAAAATGATCATTTGCATAATCTTAGGAGCAAAAGGAATAGCCATATGGTGTGTTTATGGAGACGAGATGTTCCTTGCGTACAGCCAAACTCAGTGGTTGTCCCTAGACTCTAGAACTCTCTTCCTGGTGAAACCGGAATGGCTTCATGCTTGCTGCGCTTCCGTTGGCAGGCAAAGACTTTATTTAGAGTGTATGTTTGAAAATGTTTAGTAATTTAATTCAGATTGAAAGTTTTTGATGTTAACCTTTTAAATGCTCTGGCTGTTTTGAATCCTGTGCTGAAAGGCAATAATAATAACAATATTTATTATAACAATAGCGATAATAATAATAATAATAATAATAATAATAATAATAATAATAATCCATTCCGTACATGGATGATCTAAAGCTTTACGAAAGATCAGCTTCTAAGTGACAAAATGATACTGGAGTATTGCAAAAGCTGCAAAACAAACCTCTATACAACTTGGATTGATTACAAAAAAGCATTTGACTCACTGGCACATTGTTGGATTATCAAATGTCTAGATGTCATCGGGGTTTGTGAAAATATTAGAAAGTTCACCGAAAATGCAATGAAACAATGGAAAGCCGAGTTGTTCATGGGAAATGAAAGCTACGGAACTGTTAACATCAAGAGAGGAATTTTCCAGGGTGACTCATCATTGCAATGATCCCTCTGTCAGTCATTTTACAGAAAACAAACCTGGGCTACCAAACAGCACGAAATTCAAAAAAAATGTCCTACTTGCTGTACATGGATGATCTAAAGCTTTACAGAAAATCAGAAACTGAAATCCAGTCATTGACCGAACAAACATTGAGGGAAGTCAATAGTAGAAAACTGCTTCAAATGCGAAAGACAGAATAAATACCATAAAAACACAATTCAGTGCAGAAGAGAAAACTGGCAAAAGAAGACTCTCCATGGACAGTTCCTGAGAAAAACTGAGAGCCAAATTGACAAAGAAAAAACATGGCTGTGGCTCACAAATGGGACTCTGAAAAAGGAGACAAAGAAGGGCCTGATTCTGGCAGCTCAAGAGCAAGCCATTGGAACAAATGACATCAAAGCCAGAATTGAAAAATCGACGACAGATTCCAAGTGTAGACTCTGCAAGGAAGCAGATGAAACAATAGATCACATCCTCAGCTGCTGCAAGAAGATTGCGCAGACAGACTACAAGCCGAGGCTTAATACCATTGCTCAGATGATCTATAGGAACTTGGACCACAAATACCATCTGCCTGCAACAACAACAACAAAAAAGCCTGAAAAAGTTACGGAAAATGAACATGTCAAACTGCTCTGGGACTTCTGAATTCAGATTGACAGAGTTTTGGAGCACAAGACTCCTGACCTCACGATTGTGGAAATAAATTGTTGATGTTGCAATCCCAGCTGACAGCAAGACTGAAGAGAAATAACTGGAAAGTTGACACGATATGAGGATTTAAAGATCGAACTGCAAAGACACAAGCCAGTAAAGGTGGTCCCAGTGGTGATCAGCACACTGGGTGCAGTGCCTCAAGACCATGGCCTGCACTTAAAAATAATCGGTGCTGACAAAATTACCATCTGCCAGATGCAGAAGGCCACCCTACTGGGATCTGTGCATATTATTCTCCGATACATCACACAGTCCTAGGCACTTGGGAAGTGTGGGACGTGTGATCGAATACAAAAGCCAGCAGAGTGATCTTGTTTGCTGTTTACTAATCTTGTTGTATATAATAATAATAATAATAATAATAATAATAATAATACAGTTAAAACTTGTGCACCAGCTGCCCTTGTACCTTGAGATGCCAGACTTGGCCATGGTAGTCCACGCCTTAAGTCACATCCCGTCTCCCCCTAGATAAGCGAGCGCTCTTCATCATCTGCACATCTGAACTGGGACCTCAGATCTATGAGCTGGCTGCCTCGACGTCATCAGAGAAGAACACGTAAGGTTTCAACTTCGCAAATGGGTGAGAGAGGAAGAGTGCAAGACAGTGTGTGTCTGAATTGTAAGTTTTCCGAGCTGTCTGGCCATGTTCCAGAAGCATTCTCTCCTGACGTTTCGCCTGCATCTATGGCAGGCATCCTCAGAGGTTGTGAGGTCTGTTGGAAACTAGGCAAGTGACGTATATATATCTGTGGAATAATATCCAGGGTGGGAGAAAGAACTCTTGTCTGTTGGAGGTAGGTGTGAATGTTTCAATTGGCCACCTTGATTAGCATTTAAAGCCTGGCTGGTTGCTGCTTGGGGGAATCCTTTGTTGGGAGGTGTTAGCTGACCTATTAAATGCTAATCAAGGCGACTAATGGCAGCAGGGGAATTCCAGACAGGAAACAATCAGGGCCAGCTAACACCTCTCAACAGCAAACACCTCCCAGTTTTCAAGGTGTGGCTTCTTACTGCCTGGGGGAATCCTTTGTTGAGAGATCTAATTCGTTTTCATGGAGGGAGACATCAGCCTTATGGTTGCCTTCAAAGGGCCACTGAATCTATGGATAGAGAATCTGTGGATAAGAAGGGCCAACTATAATCGCTTTACGTAGTGCTCTTTAGTTTTTACCCAGTTTGGGTCCCCCAGATGTTATGTAATGATCCCTCCCATCAATTTTCATTATCTGCTATGCGGAATAGGGATAATGGGAATGGCAACCCAACATCACTGGTGGCTGTGAAGTTGGGGAAAGGTTAAAGGGCATTTTAAAGCACAACCTCAAATCCACAAGCCTTGGGTGTTGTTTTATCTCAGCTCCCATCAGGTCTAGTCATTATGTCTGATGATTTTTTTTGTGTGTCAAGAGCAACTTGAGAAACTGCAAGTCGCTTATGGTGTGAGTGTCAGGAGTGAGTAAAGGCTTATGGTGTGAGTGTCAGAATGGAAGACGGCATTTAACTGTCCACTAGGGGCATTTCAGTACCTTTTGGCTTGACTGGAGCTCCTTGAGTATTCATGCAGATGATAAACGAGGTCCTACACCCATTGTTGTATAGGGAGTTTTGGTTTACTTAGATGACATCTTAATCTATTCTTGAACGGTGGAAGAACACATTCTGCTAGTGAAGCAAGTGTTACAAAACCTAAGACAAGCATAGCTCTATGCAAAATTGTCAAAGTGTGAGTTTCACAAAGAAAGACTGGATTATTTGGGGTATCGTATATCCTGTGACGGGATAGAAATGGACCCCAATAAAGTACAGGATGTATTAGATTGGGAATCACCCAAAACTAGAAGGCAGTTGCAAAGTTTTTTGGGGTTTGCAAATTTCTATAGGCAGTTTATCCAAGGCTTTGCCAAAATAGCAGCCCCTCTTACAGAATTGTTGAAAACTAAGGGAAGGGGAGAGTCTGTTAAAGTGAAGTCCCCGGGTGCTAAGCTACGTTGGACTGAGTAGTGTCTTAATGTAAGACTGTAGGTTTTATATAGCAATATTAAATGATCACTCACAAGCCAGTTTTGCTTTGAAATGAATATATTGCAACAAGCTCTAATAAGGAAACTGAGAAGAGGGGGGAGATGGGCAGGAAAGAGATATAAAAGGAAATGGTGGTGGGAAAAAGTCAGTAGTGTCTTTCTTTGCTGCAGAGATACAAGCAATATATTCATTTCAAAGCAAAACCGGCTTGTGAGTGATCATTTAATATTGCTATATAAAACCTACAGTCTTACAGTGAGAGAATTGGGCGTCTAAAAGGACGTTACCCAGGGGACACCTGGATGTTTTGATGTTTTACCATCCTGTGGGAGGCTTCTCTCATGTCCCCGCATGGGGAGCTGGAGCTAACAGAGGGAGCTCAACCTGCTCTTCCCAGATTGGAACCACTGACCAGTCGGTCAGCAGTCCTGCTGGCACAAGGGTTTAACCCATTGCACTACACAAGTCTCCATGTCTGATGATAACACAGGAGTTGTCATCCAGCATCTGAAAGGCCACATGAAATGATATCGAGGGCTGGATTCGGCCCATGGGCCTTGAGTGTAAAACATGTGGTTTAGACAGTGGGAGCTGAGGAAGAGGAAGAACAGTGAGAGGGGTTGCTGAAGTGCCATCTGAGCAGGGTAAACGGAAGGGAGATGGGAATGGGTGATGTGGGGAAACCAAAGGGGAGGCACATAATCGCTGTGGGATTCCCTGCTGTGCCCTTTTTCAGGGAGTCTGTCCTTGCTTGGCAGGTGGATGGGACATTTGGATGAGGCGGTGAAGAACGCCACTCGGAACGCCACTCTGCCCCCCAAGCGCCACTCCCAGGAGGTGCCTCTGCCCCCGGCAGCCCCATCTAGGTGAGGAAGAGGAAGGACACTTGGGGTCCCAACCTGGGTGAAGAAGTTGGTGGGAGAGGGAATCTTGAGCAGACGGTGGCCTAAAACATGTCTAATTGTATAATACTAATATATATAATATTATAATACTAATAAATACATAATACTAATATTGTGCTATGCTAATATAATATATTGTATATACATATAATATTGATAATAATATAAAGTTATACAATACTAATAATAATACAATATAATAATTATATATTACATTTAATCTATATAAATAAAAATGTAATGTTCGTTTGTGGGATTAACAGAACTCAAAAACCACTGGACGAATTGACACCAAATTTGGACACAAGACACCCAACAGTCCAATGAATGTCCTTCACTAAAAAAAATGATTTTGTCATTTGGGAGTTGTAGTTGCTGGGATTTATAGTTCACCTACAATCAAAGAGCATTCTGAACCCCACCAACGATGGAATTGAACCAAACTTGGCACACAGTTCTCCCATGACCAACAGAAAATACTAGAAGCGTTTGATGGGCAGTGTCCTTTGGTTTTGGAGTTGTAGTTCACCTTCATCCAGAGATCACTGTGCACTCAAACAGTGATGGATCTGGACCAAACTCTGTACCAAACTCTACGCTAATACTCAATATGCCCAAATGTGAACACTGGTGGAGTTTGGGGAAACATTAAAGCAATAAACAGTAAACATTAAACAATAACATCATGACACATTTAAAAACAAGGGGCTGGGCCAAATGCAATGAATAAAATTAAAAGTGCTGGACATGACAGGTGAAATGTAAGAGCCATCCAGCCATAGATATAGATACACAATTGACAAATTATATAAGAAGTTGTGGGCTTCCTGTCTCCTGCGCCTCAAATGACCAAGTCAGAAAGGGTGCTATACAAAGAATTTTGGATATAGAAGCACAAAAAGGTATAGCCACCCTCAGTAAGACTGCTAACCTAAAATGGCTGAGTCAATATAAATGTACCTTTCAAACTGCTAACTACCTAAAAATGCAAATACCAAAACATCTCAGAGAAGTATTCACTCGAGCCAGATTTGGTTAGATACGGGAGATTTAACAGCATCCCTTATAACAGTGGTTCTCAACCTTCCTAATGCTGTGACCCCTTAATACGGTTCCTCATGTTGTGGTGACCCCCAACCATAACCCTAACATTATGAATTGCCATGTAAATAATGATTTGCAGGATGTATTTTCATTCACTGGAGCAAATTTGGCACAAATACCCAGTATGCCCAAATTTGAATACTGGTGGGGTTGTCGGGGGGATTGATTTCGTTATTTGGGAGTTGTAGTTTATATGTAAACAAAGAGCATTCTGAACCCCACCAACAATGGAATTGAACCAAAGTTGGCACAGAGGACTCCCATGATCAACAGAAAATACTGGGTTTGGTGGGTGTTGAGTTTGGGAGTTGTAGTTCGCCTACATCCAGAGAGCACTGTGGGCTCAAACAATGATGGATCTGGACCAAACTTGGTACGTATACTCAGTATGCCCAAATGTGAACACTGATGGGATTTGGGGAACATAGACTTTGACATTTGGGAGTTGTAGATACTGGGATTTATAGTTCACCTACAATCAAGGAGCGTTCTGAACCCCAACAATGATAGAATTGGGCCAAACTTCCCACACAGAACCCCCATGACCAACAGAAAATACTGTGTTTTCTGATGGTCTTTGGCGACCCCTCTGACACCCCTTCGCGACCCCCTCAGGGGTCCCGACCCCCAGGTTGAGAAACACTGCCTTATAATGAATGAAGTTGTATTTGTGGGGCACCTGAAATTGAGGATATAGCACACATATTGTTTGATTGCAAATTGTATCAAAAGGTGAGAGACTTCCACCTTGGTCCATATATCAAACGGACAATGTATTGGGATTCCCACATCAGAACAACATATTTTATGTGTGGCCAAGACCCAAAAATAACATATAAAACATCTCTGTACTTAAGCAAAACAATACGTCTGAGAACCACATATGTAGGGCTGATTGGGGTAAATTGTAGGGGTGATAATGAAATATGATGTATATACTCAGCTTGATCAGTTTATCAGTTTTATCATGTCTTATCATATGTATTTACTGTATTATTATAAGTGTCTTATTTTAACTTACTATGCGGAGTGTGATCAGGTCTTGTCAGGCCTTGTTGTTCTGTTTCTTGTTGTGATATGGCCGAAGGGCTAATCAATAAAATATCATAGATTTGAAAGGGACCCCTAAAGAAGAACAACAGTATGTTCCAGAGAAGGCAAACCAGACAATCTCTACATCAACACTGACAAAGAAACAACATAGAATCATAGAATCATAGAATCCTAGAGTTGGAAGAGACCTCATGGGCTATCCAGTCCAACCCCATTCTGCCAAGAAGCAGGAATATTGCATTCAAATTACCCCTGACAGATGGCCATCCAGCCTCTGTTTAAAAGCTTCCAAAGAAGGAGCCTCCACCACACTCCGGGGCAGAGAGTTCCACTGCTGAACGGCTCTCACAGTCAGGAGGTTCTTCCTCGTGTTCAGATGGAATCTCCTCTCTTGTAGTTTGAAGCCATTGTTCCGCGTCCTAGTCTCCAAGGAAGCAGAAAACAAGCTTGCTCCCTCCTCCCTGTGGCTTCCTCTCACATATTTATACATGGCTATCATATCCCCTCTCAGCCTTCTCTTCTTCAGGCTAAACATGCCCAGCTCCTTAAGCCGCTCCTCATAGGGCTTGTTCTCCAGACCTTTTGTCATTTTAGTCGCTCTTTTTTTTACCCACAAGCATAAAGAAATCACATATATTAGAAACCAACATTTACTCATTACTTTATTTTCCTGATCACTATTCTGGGCCACAGCAACGCGCGGCAGGGGACAGCTAGTATTAACATATAATACTAATATTGTGCTAGGCTAATAATATAATGTATATACATATAACTTGTAAGTCGCTCTGAGTCCCCTTCGAGGTGAGAAGGGCTGGATATAAATGTTATAAATGGATAAATAAATAATACCCTCTTCCCTTTCTTGTCCTCAGCCTGGTGCTCCAGGATGCGGACATGACCCAGGACAGCTGCGCCTCAAGCCAAGATGCAGAGGAGGAGCAGGAGGAAGTTGAGGAGCAGGAAGAGGAGGAGCAGGTGGAGGAAGAAGAAGAAGAAGCAGGAGGTTCAGGTGCACAGCTAGTGGATGATCCACGGGAAAAGTGGGCTCCAACAACTGGAAGTAGCCCTTCCACCCTGCAAGTTGGCCCAGGGTAGTGACACAAATGGCATCTCCCTTCCAGGGGTTGAGCACAGGAGGGGAGGGGAGGAGAAGAGAAGAGAAGACCCCACCACCAGCCCCTTGTTGGTTATTTGACCTCAGAGCGTCTGCTAAGAGGCACAAAACAAATGAAGCGTACTGGCTTCAGCTCTTAGAATCCTAGAGTTGGAAGAGACCTCATGGGCCATCCAGTCCAACCCCATTCTGCCAAGAAGCAGGAAAATCACATTCAAAGCACCCCTGACAGATGGCCATCCAGCCTCTGTTTAAAAGCTTCCAAAGAATGAGCTTCCACCACACTCCAGGCCAGAGAGTTCCACTGCTGAACGGCCCTCACAGGAAGTTCTTTCTCATGTTCAGATGGAATCTCCTTTCTTGTAGTTTGAAGCCGTTGTCCCATTGTGTCCTAGTCTCCAGGGCAGCAGAAAACGAGCTTGCTCCCTCCTCCCTGTGACTTCCTCTCACATATTTATACATGGCTATCATATCTCCTCTCAGCCTTCTCTTCTGCAGGCTAAACATGCCCAGCTCTTTAAGCCGCTCCTCATAGGGCTTGTTCTGCAGACCCTTGATATTGCAGTAGCCCTAAAAGATTTATTGATTTATTGACTTAAAGATTTATTGCTGTTTTTTTCTAAAAACTACGTACACAGAAGTAGCCAAAGACACATCTTTCCTCTTGACCGGACATTGGTAAAAGAAGAACATGTGCTGGAATGTGTGACAGGACAGGAACAGTGCAGAGTTACGCTTTAGGCAAAAATCATAGCTCTGTGCAATTAACCCTTGCACAACATTACATTTCTTACATCGAACACAGAGTTTAAACCAGTGGTTCTCAACCTTCCTAATGCCGCAACCCCTTAAAACAGTTCCTCAGAACTTCCTGACTGTGAGAGCCATTCAGCAGTGGAACTCTCTGCCCTGGAGTGTGGTGGAGGCTCCTTCTCTGGAAGCTTTTAAACAGAGGCTGGATGGCCATCTGTCAGGGGTGATTTGAATGCAATATTCCTGCTTCTTGGCAGAATGGGGTTGGACTGGATGGCCCATGAGGTCTCTTCCAACTCTTTGATTCTATGATTCTATGTTGTGGTGACCCCCAAACATAACATTATTTTCGTGGCTACTTCATAATTGTAATTTTGCTACTTTTATTAATTGTAATGTAAATACATGATATGCAGGATGTATTTTCATTTACTGGACCAAATATGGCACAAATACCCGATATGCCCAAATTAGAATACTGGGGGGGGGGGGGGGGGGGGGGATTGATTTTGTTGTTTGGGAGTTGTAGTTGCTGGGATTTATAGTTCACCTACAATCAAAGAGCATTCTGAACTCCACCAATGATGGAATTGAAGCAAACTTGGCACACAGAACTCCCATGACCAACAGAAAATACTGGAAGGGTTTGGTGGGCATTGACCTTGAGTTTGGGAGTTGTAGTTCACCTACATCCAGAGAGCACTGTGGACTCAACAATGATGGATCTGGACAAAACTTGCCACAAGCACGCAATACGCCCAAATATGAACTGTATGTCCTTTGATTTTGTCATTTGGGAGTTGTAGTTGCTGGGATTTATAGTTCACCAATCAAAGAGCATTCTGAACCCCCAATTAGAATTGGGCCAAACTTCCCACACAGAACCCCCATGACCAATAAAGTGTTTTCTGATGGTCTTAGCGACCCCTCTGATACCCCCCTGACCCCCCCCCCCCGCTCCCAGGGGTCCTGACCCCCAGGTTGAGAAACGCAGGTTTAAATGATAAACAATATTTTCACCACATTTAAACCACAGTACTGACACCCCTTTCCTAAAATATTTGAATTGGAAATGGGCCGTTTGAAAGGCTTCTATGACCCTCCTCTCTCTCGCCAATTGTCCCCCTCAGATGAGACCCCGACGGACACCCTTCTTGAAGAAACGCTTCCTGTCCCAATGGAGGTGAGACGCAATGAGGAGGAGGAGGAGGAGGAAGAGGAAGGCCAGCCGCCGACTGCTTCGCCGCAGATGCCCAGGGCAGTGGAACGGCTTCCGTTGGAGGATGGGATGGAGCCGAGCAGGTCCTCACAACCCTCTCCCCAAAGACAGCCTGCCTTTTCGGAGAGTCTGGCCGAATCGGCCATGGAGGATGGTGAGGCTCCCCTGAGTTTTCCCAGAGTTTTGTCCCCTAATGCTTTTCTGTGTCCTTCCAAAGGTCTGGACTTACATCTAGGACTGAGGGGAAAGGGGGCTGACCTTGCTGTATGGGGAACATGTCTCTGTGGGTTGCTGTTGAGGGTCTGCTTCCGACTGAGAGGTTGATTCTGTTGATTCTGCAGCTGATTCTTTCCTTGGTTGGAGCAGTTAGTGGAAATGACAGGATTGTCAAAGGCTGGGGCGTTGTGTGGTTTCTAGGCTGTACGACCATGTTCCAGCAGCATTTTCTCCTGACGTTTTGCCTGTATCTGTGGCTGGCATCTTCAGAGGATCTTCGAAAGACGTCAGCCACAGATCCAGGCGAAACATCAGGTGAAAATGCTGCTTATTTTGCCCAGCCATAGCAACACCAATGACTCCTTGCATATTTATTTGTTTTATTTTATTTATTAATCAATTTTATATACCGCCACTCCCCGAAGGCTCAGAGCGGTTTACAATATACAAATGCGATACATTACATTTAAAATCAAAGAAAATTTTCAGTTTATAGTATAAGATCAAGACCAGATTGAAGTCCAAAGAAAATAGCACAAAAATAAGAAACAATTATAAACTTGTAAGACGCACTGAGTCCCCTTCAGGGTGAGAAGGGCGGCATATAAATGTAGTAAATGTTCACAGGAACACCTCAGCAAGTGAGAGTCCAAAAGTGGCAGGCTCAGACCCAGGACTTCAATCATTGGCTGAGACTGGATGAGAAACTCCCTCCTGGGTGCACAATAAATAAATTATTTATTTATTGTGTCAGAAGCGAGTTGAGGGTACAGTTAAAATGCATTTAAAAACACAAACAAAAGAACTTGGCATGATGCTAAATGTCCTTTGAGCAGAAGCTGTCCACTTGGAGTGCCTCTGTTGTTGATATAAGAAGGTCCTCCATTGTGCATGTGGCAGGGCTGAGCTTGCATTGTAGTACATGGTCTGTGGTTTGCTGTTCTCCACACTCGCATGTCGTGGACTCCATTTTGTGGCCCCATTTCTTAAGGTTAGCTCTGCATCTTGTGGTGCCAGATTGCAGTCTGTTCAATGCCTTCCAGGTTGTCCACTCTTCTGTGTGCCCAGGAGGGAGTTTCTCATCCGGTCTCGGCTAATGATTGAAGTGCTGGGTTTGAGCCTGCCACTTTTGGACTCTCACTTGCTGAAGTGTTCCTGCGAGTATTTCTGTAGATCTTAAGAAGCTATTTCTTGATTTAAGGTGTTGCCTTACTGGCTGATATCTGAACAGAGGATGGGCCGGAGATGTCAATGCCTTGGTCCTTTCATAACAAGCTGCTACTTCCCGGCAGATGTCAGGTGGTGCAATACCAACTAAACAGTGTTATTTCTCCAGCAATGTGGTGTATAGATATCCTGGGCTAATGCAGCATGTCTCATTGAGAGTGTCATCCACTGTTTTGACGTGGTGAGATGTATTCCACATGGGCATGCGTATTCAGCAGCATAGTAGCAAAGCGCAAGGGCAGATGTCTTCACTGTGTCTGGTTGTGATTCCCAGGTTCTGCCAGTCAGCTTTCGTATGCTATTATTTCTAACACCCACTTTTTGTTTGCTAGTCAAGCAGTGTTTCTTCTAAGTCAGAGCTTGGTCCAGAGTGACTCCCAGGTATCTGGGTGTACTCCAATGCTCCAGTGGGATTCCTTCCCAGGAAATTCTCAGAACTTGAGATACTTGTCTGTTCTTAAGATGAAAAGTACACATCTGCATTTTAGATAGATTAGGAATCAGCTGTTTATCCCTGTAATAGGCAGTAAGAGCACCTAAAGCTTCAGAGAGCTTCTGTTCAGCCATTTCAAAGCTCCCTGCTTGAGCGGTGATGGCACAATGTCCCTTCATGCACTGGCTGGTCATATGTGTAAATGTTAAACATTGATGGAGCAAGCACGCTCCCCTGAGGCAGGCTGTTCTTCTGACTTCGCTATCTGCTTCTCTGACTCTGGAACTCAACAAAAAAGCTCCTGTTTTGTAGCAGATTTCCTATGAAGCGGGTGGGGTGGTAGTCCTTTGTGATATTATACATTTTCTCAGGTAATGATGTACAGTATCATATGCTGCTGAGAGGTCTATGAAGACACCTCCTGTAATCTGCTGCCTTTCAAAACCATCTTCTATGTGCTGAGTCAAGTTTAGCACTTGTGATGTGCAAGATCAGGTTCTGCACTTGTGATGTACTAGAACAGAAACCACACAACATCCCAGTGACTTGTGTGGCGACTCAAGAACAGAAGGGGATGGTGGCTTGAGGAGGGCTTTGCCCATTCTTCGCCCTCCTTTCCATTGCTCTGCTCATTGCCCTTTTCCTCCTCCTCTGCTTCCTCTTGCAGTGGAAACCCTTCGCCACCTGCTCCTGCGAAGCTTCCTCCCCTGCCGAGACCCCGATGAGGACGTGACCCCCACGCCATCTGTGGCTGGCGCCCATCCTCACTGGGATTCAGTGCTGGCCAGCCAGGACTCAGGGAGTCAGGAAGAGCCAACGGAGCCCGCAGAGAGCAGCAGTCCCTCAGAGTTTGTGGAATCGGGAGGCCTCCGGACTGGGCTTGAGGCAGGAGGCCCCCAGAGAGCGGGCATGGAGGGGGAGGGGGAGGTTGGCAAGGGCCTGGAAAAGGAGGATTGTGTGGGCCAGAGCGAGGTGGAAACATCCCTCACGCCAGCACCCGCTGCGGAGGCCGAGGGGCACGGTGGCTACCAAGTGGTGCGGAAAGGTAAGGTTGCTGCTCCTCCTTTGAGACCTTAACAGAGATACATCTCCTCTGAGTGACAAGAAAGCACTTGTGGTTCCATGTATTGTCAAAGACTTTCGTAGTTGGAATCATGTGAGTTTTCCAGGCTGTATGGCCATATTCCAGAAGCATTCTCTCCTGATGTTTCGCCCACATGTATGGCAGGTATCCTTAGAGGTTGTGAGGTCCGTTGGGGTTTACGTATCTGTAATAATGTCCAGTGTGGGAGAAAGAACTCTTGTTCTGCTTGAGGCATGTGTGAATGTTGCCCTTGTTTGTTTGTTTGTTTGTTTGTTTTTTAGTTGTGTCAGGAGCAACCTGAGAAACTGCAAGTCGCTTCTGGTGTGAGAGAATTGGCCGTCTGCAAGGACGTTGCCCATGGGACGCCCGGATGATTTGATGTTTTTTTTTATCATCCTTGTGGGAGGCTTCTCTCATGTCCCTGCATGAGGAGCTAGAACTGATAGAGGGAGCTCATCCGCCTCTCCCCGGATACGAACCTGCGACCTGTCGGTCTTCAGTCCTGCCGGCACAGGGGTTTAACCCACTGCGCCACCAGGGGCTCCTTGTTGCCCTTGGTCACCTTGATTAATAATAATAATAATAATAATAATAATACTTTATTTATGTACCACCCTATTTCCCCTAGAAGACTCAGAGCGCTTTCCACATATGCAAAATAATACAAAAACTTACAATATAAAACAAAAACATAGGCATAATATTAATCAAGGTGACCAAGGGCAACATTCACACATGCCTCAAGCAGAACAAGAGTTCTTTCTCCCACACTGAGCAATATTCCACAGATACGTAAACCCCATTTGCCTAGTTTCCAACAAACCTCACAACCTCTAAGGATGCCTGTCGTAGATGCAGGTGAAACGTCAGGAGAGAATGCTTCTGTCACTTGGCCATACACCTCATAAAACTCACAGCAACCCAGTTGTGGTTCCCCCTGAGCTTGGATTTGATTTATCGCCTGTGTTCCCTCCAAGGCAGCTTAGAAATGTGAACTGCAGTGAGCTAAACATCGTACAGAAGGGATTGCATCTCCCTCTCTGAACCTGCCTGCGTCATGAGTCCTTCTGGCTGCAAACTAACATGCTTCTCTATGGCCCTTCTGAAGGGAAAACGAGACAGTCAGGAAGGGAAAAGAAGGCCCAGTGGGGTTGGTTTTGAACTGAAGCACTGCGAACCCAAGACTTCTTTTTTCTCTTTAGTCTGTCCCGACGGGGCTTGGTTGCTCTTTTCTTCTCAGTCTCTGGGATTTTGATTGGAATGTGCATGCTGCAAATCCCTGCCTTCTTTTCCTCCCTCCCTGATTCCCTCCCTGTCCTCTCTGGATGCTTTCTGTGGGTGTTGGGCACTAACAGGCTCCTTTTGATTTTGGGGTTTGATCATAGTAATGTCTCTCTCTCTCTTCTCTCCCCCTTCCCCACATTTTCTCCCCTTCGACACCACACTCTTTCCTTCTTTCCGGTGTTTCTTGCACAGCCGAGGTGGTGGAGGGGACAGGCGGTGCTTGGCCCTTGCCAGAGGGCAGCCGGTCAGGAACTGATGCTGGAGAGGCGGATAATGTGGATGGTAAAGAAAAAGAAATTGGCACTTCTTTGTTCCCAAGAACCAGAAAGGGCTTCCAGAGGGGCGGGGAGACCACAGTGTCGCTTCTTGAAGGGTGCAGACCCTATTAGCAGACCCCAAGGCAGTGTGGCTCTTAAGGAATAGGAAACTGGATGAGTCTTAAGAGATACTCCACAGCAAACAGAAAACATGCATGCCTCTGTTGGCATGAGAGAACTGTCAGAAGAGAGCAAAATGAAGCACACCACCTTTCTCATGCTGCAGCTCCCCCAACACATCCATTCCGACCCCACAACATCCTCTCCAAAGGCTGCTGGCTCCTCAGGGATGCTAAAACAGGGGTCAAGAACACCTTGCGTTCAGTCTTGTGTTGCAAACTCATAGTCTTCTATGGCCAGCTACTCATTACACTGCGCTTTTGCGACACCTAGTGTTCTGCCTCATATTGAAAGCTCATAGACTTCTATGGGCGGCTACTCGTTGCTAGTGCTCAGCCTTATATTGCAAGCTCATAGTCTTCTATGGCTTGTATTACGGAAATGTGAGTCTGCTGTGTTTTAAAGCCCAAAACAACAAGCTGTAAGGAAAGCTGGAACTTTCTTCTGTCCGAAAACCCTTTTTAAAAACCCTCTGGCCGCCACCAAAACTTAAAAGCACTGATAAGCCCTTGTCTTACTGGAAGTATCTTAGGCAAGAATGTGTTGCACTAGCCCTCAGGCTTGTGTTCTGAGGTAACACTAAAAGGTTGTTCTTTAAATTATACGCTGCCACCATAGACTCTTGTTTGCTGCATGAAACTGCTTTTTAAAACTTCACCCACAGAGGCACATGTGAGGCAGGTGTTGTGAACAACAAAACAATGATGTTTATTTAAGAGAACTGGAACAATACAGGTATAAAGCTTAGCTGTTTCAGAGTATTCACTTAAAAACGTGGAGTTACTTTAAGCAGTTCAGACTTAGTTACACAGGAACACCTCTCTCCCTCCATAGAATTTACTACAGGAATGCTTCTCTAAAAGTAATTCTAAACAGTAGCACAGATAGTCCTAGCCTGGATCTATCTCTTCTTTACCCCACCAGCTATTCCCCTAATAGCTGTAGAAATCTTTTCACTAGCTATCTCTGCTAGCCAACTGACCAATTTCAGGCCTCTCTCACTAACTCTTCATCACTCCTAACTCCTAGTTCCTTCTTCTTTGAAACCCCCAGCCAATCTGCCTGACAGGGTTTCAAAACATCCCCTTAAAGTCATTTTTTTCCTTTTGCCAAGTTAGGCTCCGTCCACTCTCACTCAACCTAGTACAGCCTTCCCTGATTTCCCTCCAAAGCTGCTCTTTCTAAACAGGAAATGAGTAACTAAAAGGGATTCCCCCGGCACCCTTTCCAAAATGACTGCCAAACTTCCTGGACCTTCTTTTCTAGGCTTTTCCTAGCCTAACAGGTAGGGAATTCACTACGGCCAGCTACTCATTACATTGCGCTTTGGCGACACCTAGTATTCAGCCTTATATTGCAAGCTCATAGTTTTTATGGCAAGCTATTCATTACATTGCGCTTTGGCGACACCTAGTGTTTAGCCTTATATTGCAAGCTCATAGTCTTCTATGGCCGGCTATTCATTACATTGCGCTTTGGCAACACCTAGTGTTCAGCCTTATATTGCAACCTCATAGTCTTCTATGCCCGGTTACTCATTACATTGCGCTTTGGTGACACCTAGAGTTCAGCCTTAGATTGCAAGCTTTGGAAAAACCCAGCATTATCCACAACTCCCAAACCAAAATACCTTCTAAGGGTAGGAAAAGAAACCAGATTAGCCCCAGCAATGTTACAGGGGTTCATAAATCCTTCTAACCAGCAAAACAAATGAGAATTTACTCCTACCTACTAGGTGTCACCAAAGGGCAATGCAATGAATAGACTATGAGCTTGCAATATAAGACTGAACACTAAGTGGCAGCAAAGGAAATCTGAACACTAGGTGGCAGCAAAGGGCAATGCAATGAATAGCTGGGCATAGAAAACTCTGAGCCTGCCATATCACATGGAATTCTAGGTGGCAGCAAAAAGCAATGCAATGAATAGCATGCCATAGAAGACTATGAGCTTGCATTATAAGACTGAACACTAGGTGTCGCCAAGGCGCAATGTAATGAATAGCTGGCCATAGAAGACTATGAGCTTGCCATAGAAGAGTGAACACTAGGTGTCACCAAAGTGCAATTTAATGAATAGTTTGCTATAGAAGACTATGAACTTGCAATATAAGGCTGAGCACTAGGTGTCGCCAAAGCGCAATGTAATGAATAGCTTACCATAGAGGACTATGAGTTTCACCCCTCTCAGCTTTGCTACCTTTATGTAACTCCTTCAGACTTCTCTCCGCTTGACAGGTCTTGGCTCTCCTAGCTCTACTATATGCTACAGTTCCCTTTTCTCCAAATGCAGCCAGTGACCTAGAGCCTCTGCTGCTGAGTGGGGCAGTCTATTGGTGGAGGAAGTTCCCTCTCCCAGCATGCCCTGGGGCTGCTTTCTCTTAGGCTGGCCACCTCCTTGAACTCAGCTAGATTAGCTCTTCCTCTGATTTCTGGAAGCCTTTGGGCAGAATGAACACCTAGCCTTCTAAGGGCTAGGTGAAGGGTTGTGATTAGTTGTTGCTCTCCCTAAAACCAACCAAGTGGGGTTTTCTGCCTTTTCTCCCTCCTTTTCTGGGACAAGCGAGAAAGATGTTATATCTCCAGATCTTTCTTCCAAATCCCAATCCAATTGGTCCTCTCTTGCCTTCAGGAAACTGCTTCTACTTGAGTCTGCCAGCTGGTTTGGGAGAGTCCCACACAGATGCTGGGAGCACCAGTCCGGCAGCGGCACCCGATGCCTCCTGCCAAGTCAAAAGCTTGTCTCCTGCCGGGCCCTCGCCTGCGTCTCAGGGCCCTTCCAAGGAGAGCTTGGCCTCCTGGCTTGGTGCCCCAGAAGGCCCGCCACTCCCTTCGGACCTTTCTCCCTCCAGCCAAGCCATTCAGGATGTGGACGCAATCTTCCGGACGATAGAGCAGCTGACTTTGAAGCTGACCAGGCTGAAGGTGAGTCAGGAATCCAAGAGCGGAGGCTGTGGAGAGCGAGGAACTGTGGGATGCTAATGGAGGCAGAGCCATCCTCAGTCACTAGTTTTAGATAAAGGACATTCACATTGTTGTCGACGGCTTCCATGCCTGGAATCACTGGGTTGGTGTGAGTTTTCCAGACTGTCTGGCCATGTTCCAGAAGCATTCTCTCCTGATGTTTCGGATGTTTCGCCCACATCTATGGCAGGCATCCTCAGAGGTTGTGAAGTCTGTTGAAAACTAGGCAAGTGGGGTTTATATACCTGTGGAATGATGTCCAGGGTGGGAGAAAGAACTCTTGGCTGCTTGAGGCAAGTGTGAATGTTGCAATTGACCACCTTGATTATTTAATTAATGTAATGTTTGTATATATTTATGGTTTTATGTCGCGGCATTGAATGTTTGCTGTATATATGTTGTGCTCTGCCCTGAGTCCCCTGTGGGGTGAGAAGGGTGGAATATAAATGTTTTAAATAAATTAATAAATAAATTTACTATATTTATATCTTGCCTTTCTCTATCCCGGAGGGGACTCAAGGCGGTTTACAAATAGGGAATAGTTCAATGCCTTGACAAAAATATACAGTCAAAATACATTTAGATTAAAATTAAAATCAAAATTAAATACATTAGCATTGAATAGCCTTGCAGCTTCAAATTCCGGCTGCTTCCTGCCTGGGGGAATCCTTTGTTGGGAGGTGTTAGCTGGCCCTTACTGTTTCTTGTCAGGAATTCCCCTGTTATGTTGTTGTTGTTATTATTATTATTATTATTATTATTATTATTATTATTAACTTTATACCCCGCAAAATCTCCCGAAGGACTTGATGCGGCTTACAAACAATACACAGTAAAACTCATAAGCAAATAATAAAACATCAAGCAAAACAACAGAACAGTAAAACAATGACACAGTGACGCAATTAAAAACCTGGACAAAATGGACAAAATTTAAAAGTGCTAAACTTGACAGGTAATATAGAGAGGTATTTGGCGGTAGGTGCAATGTGCAGATAATCCTGAATCTCTAACAAAGTGCGTTTGGGACTTGAAGCCAGGAGTTTCCTATTCTGGGAAGGTACACTGGAACAGCCAGGTCTTTGGGCTCTTCCTAAAGACAGCCAACGTTGGGGCCTGTCTGATGTCCTTAGGGAGAGAAGTTCCAGAGTCAGGGGGCCACTACAGAGAAGGCCCTGTCCCTCGTCCCCACCAAACGCGCCTGCGACGCAGGTGGGATTGTGAGCAGGGCCTCTCCAGACGATCGGAGGGAGCGTGCGGGTTCATAAACGGAGATGCGGTCACGCAGGTAGGCAGGTCCCAAACCTTTTAGGGCTTTGTAGGTGAGTACCTGCACCTTGAATTGGTTAGTGTTCCTCTTTAAAATCAGGACAGCAAATAAAGAGCAACATTAAAAATAGCAGGGGACTTCCAGGCAGGAAACAATCAGGGCCAGCTAACACCTCCCAACAAAGGATTCAGCCACGCTTTGAAGCTGCAAGGCTATTCAATGCTAATCAAGGTGGCCAATTGCAACATACACACATGCCCCAAACAGACGAGTTTTTTTCTCACACTCTGGACATTATTCCACAGATATATTAACTCCATTGGCATTGGATAGACCACATCAGCTCTATTTTCTGATAGAGAATATATGCCATCCACTAGTTGTCATCTGCTCGCCCACAGAAAACCATAATTAATAAGCCTCGGCACTATAAGAGGGTTTCGAGAGACTAATTGCTGTCGTTGCAACAGTGTAGTAATGGTGAGGCCACGGACCATATTTAGTTCTTGCGTACCACTGGTGCTCCACAGACCACAGGCTGGGAACCACTGAGTTAGGGAGTCCCCCATCACAGTTGCTGCTGCCCTTCTCAGGGACCCCGTCCTCCTTGCTGCCTTTCTTTGTAGGAGGTGGAAATGGCCCACCAGCAGTTGCTGCAATCACTGAGCACTGCCACGGATGCAACACCAATGGGAAATGCACTGCATGAACCTAGCTGGATGTCACCTGATGGCCACCCTGAGTCTGGAGAGAGCGTCCTTCCATCCTCCCTGCCCTCCTCAGTGGTTGTTGAGCCTGGTAAGTATCTCCCATTGATCTGGGTAGCCCTGTCTGCTCAGCAATGCCACAGTTGCTGTTGGGTGAGTGGTCTTATAAACAAAAGACCCTCCCCATAAATATGCAGCAAAGCAACTTAACAGCATCAGCATGACTCAGCACCAGTAGCCCAAAGTGACAAAAAGAACAAAAACACACAGACCAATGTTATTTCTTCCATAGGAGGCTTTTCTTTGTAGTAAAATAATATGGTTGCACTATTTACAAGAACAAGGTTTCCATAACATGAGCAAAGTTCTTTATACTTCCTTCTTTACTTCCATACTGGGCTTCTTTCTTGCTTCGCTCTCACACTGAACTTACACAGAAGCTTCACACAGTAGCTTTACACACGAAGCCTTTACCCTGGGGCTTCTCTCATCTCACCGAAGCTTCTCACAGCAGGCCTTCTCATAGACTAAGGCCTAATTCTCACTCTGAGGCCTCCTCTCACAGATTAAGCCACACTATGAAGCCTTCTCACAGACTAAGGCGTATCTCACATTGTGAGGCCTTCTTACAGACTAAGGCGCATCTCACACTATGAGGCCTTCTCACAGACTAAGGCATATCTCACACTGTGAGGCCTTCTCACAGACTAAGGCATATCTCACACTGTGAGACCTTCTCACTGATTAAGGCCTACCTCACACTGTGAGGTCTTCTCACAGACTAAGGTGTATCTCACACTGTGAGGTCTTCTCACAGACTAAGGCGTATCTCACACTGTGAGGCCTTCTCACAGACTAAGGTGTATCTCACACTGTGAGGCCTTCTCACAGACTAAGGTGTATCTCACACTGTGAGGCCTTCTCACAGACTAAGGCATATCTCACACTGTGAGGCCTTCTCATAGACTGAGACCTTTCTCCCACTGAGATTCACTTAAGACTAAGGGCTACTGAACTCCTGGCACACCTGCTTATATTGAACTGCAGCCTAACTCACACAGAGGCTTCTCTCACAGACTGAGACCTTTCTCCCACTGAGGTTTACCTCAAACTGACTGCTACTAAGCTACCGGCACACCTGCTTATATAGAACTGCAGCTTTTGCTGAGTCATTGCATCCATTTAACCCTTTCAATAATTGACTCACATTTTGTAATTTAAAATACCTGGTTAATTTATAATATTTCTGACAATTGCCTGCTTGCATCTTTTCCCTCTGCTGTTTCTTGCTCTCCTTACCAGGCCAAGTCCTCCTTTTGGAAGAGAGCCCCCAAGAAGTGACTCTTTAGGGAGGGAGAGGGGAAAAGAAGACCCCTCCCCTCCTCTTCAAGGCCCCCCTGGGGTCTCCTGCAGCCAACTGGTTCAATCTGAGGAAGGAGGCCCAAACTGCAATGTGGAAACTGAGGCAGAGGAAGAGACAAAAACTGGAACGTTCCTCCCTCTCTTATCCACTTCTGTTTTCTTTCTCAGAAAGCACACCTTGGATTAATTTGAACTGTTTCTGACCCGATACCTGGAGTTTTTCCCGTTCGGGGCTTTTTCCCAGAGGCACCTCAGAGCCTGCCTTGAGGACTCTGGTTTATGCTTTAAGTGGAGAGAGAGCCCCCTCTGAAACCGCATGTCTCTTCCACTTTGGGGTCGAGGCTCTCCCTCGGGCTGGGTTGGAAACGTTCCGATCCATGGGACACAGCCTTGCGGAGGTGCTTTCCCACCAAACGTGGCGGAACGCGGGAACGCCCCCGTATTATGAATTGCACTTTCCGTTCGTTTTTTTTTTAAGGCCACTCAGAGGGCCCTCGGGTGCTTCCTGACCTCCTCCTTGATTATAAATATGTATGTATGTGTATTGAATGGTTGTAAATACGATAGACAGTTGCAGTTGTTATTGTTGTTGTTTTAATTTGCCTTCATACCCCAATGGATGACAAGAAAACCCCCCAAAGGCCATGACCACTGTAGCCACAGCCTGGTTGGGGTGGCCTGGGTGAAGTGGGGCCAAAGTAGGAGGCTGGCTGTGATCCAGTAGCAACAATTGGCCGGCCCCTTTCCCCAATCTCTCAGGTTTTCCTTGGCATCTTCCGCTCCAACCTTTAGGGTGGAGATAATTACCTCAATAGAGACTCTTGTGGGTCGTGGTGGCACCCAGCAAGCTCTTGAGTCGGCCTTCCCAACAGATTGATCACACGGGCATCTGCTGGGAAGATTGTCAAGACAGTCTGCCCTTCCATCAGCTCCAGTCGATCCAAGACGTCTACTGCAGCCTCTCCTGGAGGAAGACCTGCAGTGCCTGAGGGAGCCCTGAGACCCCGGCCCTGATCCCGTTGTGGGTCGAGAGGGGTTATGGGCCCGGCAAACGTGAACCCAGCAGTCACCCCACGTGCTGCACCAGGTGTATGAATTATATCAGAGTATATATAGATATATATATAGATATATATATTAAAAAAACAATGCCAGACTCTGCTGTTCAATTCGCTCAAAGCCAATTTTATTTTCTTCCTGTCGATGGTAAAGATTTTTTTTAAAGAAAAATGGAAAAGTAAAATATTCTTCATTCTCCTCTCCTGCGTGACTTTTTAAATATATATATATATATACACTAGCTCGGGGACCTGGTGCTGCCCAAGTTATTTGAGAAAGGCAGTGTTTGTCTGGGCTCCAAGTTTAGTCTAGATCCAATGAGGGCTGGGTTCAGTGGGTGCAGGTAAAGTATAGCTCCATGGTCATCCTCTTCCAAATCACACCAAAATGTAGAAGGCTCATGGGGGCTCAAGGTACCAAGTTAGGTCTTGATCAGTCTTAGGTGTGGGTCCCAATGGTCTTAGGAAGTGAGTGAAGGTACTGCAAGTCCCATCATCCATGGTTCATTGGTCCACAAACCCCACCCAGACGTCGAGTGGGTCATGGGGGCTCTGTGTGCCAAGTTTGCTCTTGATCAGTCATTGGTGTGGATTGCAGTGATCTCTGGAAGTGACTGAAAGTACTGCAAGTCCCATCATCCATGGTCTGCCCTCCTCCAAACTGCAGCAGAATGTAGAGTGGGTCACGGGGGCTCTGTGTATCAAGTTTGGTCTTTATTGGTCATTGAATTAAAGTCGCAGTGGTCTCAGAAAGTGAGTGAAGGTACTGCAAGTCCAATCATCCATGGTCTGCCCTCCTCCAAACTGCTGAGCCATGGGGGCTCTGTGCCAAGTTTGGTCTTTATCGGACATTGGATGGGGTTCGCAGTGCTCTCAGGATGTGAGTGAAGGTACTGCATCTTCCATGATCTGTCCTGCTTCAAACTGCACCAGAATGTAGAGTAGATCATGGGGGCTCTGTTTGCCAATTTCAGTCTTGATCTGTCATTGTTGAGGGCCGGTGTGGTCTGTGGGTGCCCAAGCGTTTTAAAGAGCTACAAACCCTTTCCAGAGGGTTTAAAAGAGGCGGTGGTCTCTCCTTTGCTGAAGAAACCAGATTTAGATCCCTCGGTTCCCTCCAGTTACCGCCCAGTTTCAAATCTCTCGTTCCTGGGCAAGGTGATGGAGAGGGGAGCAGCGGAGCAGTTGCAGCAATTCCTAGACGACACAGCCAGACTAGATCCCTTCCAATCCGGCTTCCGTGCGGGGCACGGGACAGAGACTGTGCTGGTCTCCATCACGGATCACCTTCGATGCCAGCTTGACCAGGGCGGGTCAGCGCTGCTTGTGCTATTGGATCTCACAGCAGCATTTGACACAGTCGACCACAATCTCTTGACCCACCGCCTTGCTGTTGCTGGAATCAGGGGGACAGCTTTAAACTGGCTGTCCTCCTTTCTTCACAACCGTGGACAGCGAGTGGAGAGGGGAGGCCTGGTCTCTGAGAGGTCCCCTCTCTCTTGTGGGGTTCCTCAGGGGGCCATTCTCTCCCCTCTGTTGTTTAACATCTATATGCGACCACTTGCTCAGCTGGTTTGAGGTTTTGGGCTTGAGTGTTATCAGTACGCTGATGACACTCAGCTGGTGCTGAAGATGGAAGGCCGACCGGACTCTGTACCCGATTGTTTCCATCAGTGCCTTGAAGCCATTACTGGATGGCTGCGTGCCAGCAGGTTGAGGGTGAATCCAGCAAAGACGGAGATCCTATGGCTGGGTGGATCGGGCAGTGGGGACATCCATCTGCCCACCCTGGATGGCGAGGCGTTACGCCCGTCATCATTGGTAAAGAGTCTGGGAGTCCTTTTGGACCCTCTGCTGACAATGGAGGCCCAGGTCTCCGCCGTGAGCAGAACCGCCTTCTTTCACCTGCGGCAGGCTAGATGGCTGGCCCCCTCCCTGTCCAGGGACGACCTAGCTACGGTGATCCAGGCCACGGTCATCTCAAGACTGGACTACTGTAACGCCCTCTACATTGGCCTTCCTCTGTCGGTGATCCGGAAGCTCAAGTTGGTACAAAACGCAGCTGCTCGGCTTCTTGCGGGAATTCCGATGAGATGCCACATAACCCCAATCTTACTACAGCTGCATTGGTTACCAATTGAGCACCGGATCACTTTCAAAGGGATGGTACTCACCTTTAAGGCCTTGCATGGTCTGGGGCCAATGTATCTGAGGGATCGTCTCACCCCCTACCAACCCCAGAGATCCCTCCGTTCTGAGGACCAAGATCTATTGGAGGTCCCCAGTGTCAAGACCTTGCGTCTAGCGGCAACCAGACGCAGAGCCTTCACAGCAGTGGCGCCATCAGTCTGGAATGCTCTACCACCTGAAGTTCGTGCCCTGCGGGACTTACCAGCTTTCCGCAGGGCATGTAAGACATACCTGTTTCGACAGGCTTTTAATGTTTGATACTGTTGTTTTTAAATTGTTTTAAATTGCTTTTAAACTTTGTTAGATTTTAGCTATTCTTGTAAGCCGCTCCGAGCCCCAGGGGAGTGGCGGCATAGAAGTTTAAATAATAAATAAATAAATAAATAAATAAAATAATCAGTGGTCCACCTCCTCCAAAACGGAACAGGATGTAAAGTGGTTCATGGGGGTTATGTGTGCCAAGTTTGGTCCAGGTCCGTCGCTCATGCAGGTCACAGTGGCCTGTGAAAGTGGCAGCCAATCAGAAAGCTGCCACATACATACACACATACATACAAACATTCACTTTTATTATATACTAGCCGTCCCCTGCCGCGCGTTGCTGTGGCCCAGTCTGTTCATTTAGAAATAAAATAATGAGAACAATTGGTTTCTAATATATGTCATTTCTTCATGCTTGTGGGTAAACATTATTTGTTGTTTCTTTGTCAGTGTTGATGTAGAGATTGTCTGGTTTGCCTACTCTGGAACATGCAACATATAATTGTCCTTCTCTAGGGGTCCCTTTCAAATCTATGATACTATATCTCTCTCTGTGTGTATGAATCATATCTATTTATATCTATGGCTGTATGACCCTTTGTCAGGAGGCCTTTGATTATATTTTCTTGCCCTGGTGAAGGAAGTTGGACTGGATGGCCTTAAGTATTTTCTGTTGGACATGGGGGTTCTGTGTGGGAAGTTTGCACCAATTCTGTTGGTGGAGTTCAGCATGCTCTTTGATTGTAGGTGAACTATAAATCCCAGTAACTACAACTCCCAAATGTCAAAGTTTATGTTCCCTAAACTCTATCTGTTTTCCTATTTGGGCATATGGAACATTTGTGCCAAGTTTGGTCCAGATCCTTCATTGTTCGAGTCCACAGTGCTTTCTGGATGTAGGTGAACTACAACTCCTAAACTCAAGGTCAATGCCCACCAAACCCTTCTAGTGTTTTCTGTTGGTCATGGGAGTTCTGGATGCCACGTTTGACTCAATTCCATCATTGGTGGAGTTCAGAATGCTCTTTGCTTCTAAGTAAAGTATAAATCCCAGCAGCTACAACTCCCAAATGACAAAATCAATTTTTTTTTAGTGAAGGACATACATATTATTTATCGTGTCATCAGCAACCATTGTATTACAATTCTAACAGAGCGAAACAAACACAGAGATTAAAAAGAAAAAGAAAAAAAAGGGAAAAAAACCACACAGATTTTGCAAATTTGGTATTTGGTTAAATGTCCTTTGACCAGTATCTGGCCACTTGGAGTGCCTCTGGGGTTGCCGCAAGGAGGTCCTCCATTGTGCATGTGGCAGGGCTCAGGGTGCATTGCAGCAGGTGGTCAGTGGTTTGTTCTCCGCACTCGTATGCCGAGGATTCCACCCTGTAGCCCCATTTCTTAAGATTGGCTCTGCATCTCGTGGTGCCAGAGCGCAGTCTGTTCAGCGCCTTCCAAGTCGCCCAGTCTTCTGAGTGCCCAGGGGGGAGTCTCTCATCTGGTATCACCCATGATTGAGGTGCTGGGTTTGGGCCTGCCACTTTTGGACTCTCGCTTGCTGAGGTGTTCCAGCGAGTGTCTCTGTAGATCTAAGAAAACTATGTCTTGATTTAAGTCGTTGACGTGCTGGCTGATACCCAAACAGGGGATGAGCTGGAGATGTCTCTGCCTTGGTCCTTTCACTATTGGCTGCTACTTCCCGGCGGATGTCAGGTGGTGGAATACCGGCTAAGCAGTGTAATTTCTCCAGTGGTGTGGGGCGCAGACACCCTGTGATAATGCGGCATGTCTCATTAAGAGCCACATCTACTGTTTTAGTGTGGTGAGATGTCTTCCACACTGGGCATGCATACTCAGCAGCAGAGTAGCATAGCGCAAGGGCAGATGTCTTCACTGTGTCTGGTTGTGATCCCCAGGTTGTGCCAGTCAGCTTTCGTATGATGTTGTTTCTAGCGCCCACTTTTTGTTTGATGTTCAGGCAGTGCTTCTTGTAGGTCAGAGCACGGTCCAAAGTGACTCCCAGGTATTTGGGTGCGCTGCAATGCTCCAGTGGGATTCCTTCCCAGGTGATCCTCAGAGCTCGGGATGCTTGTCTGTTCTTAAGGTGAAAGGCGCATGTCTGTGTTTTAGATGGATTAGGGATCAGCTGGTTTTCCCTGTAATAGGCAGTAAGAGCACCTAGAGCTTCGGAGAGCTTCTGTTCTACCATCTCAAAGCTCCCTGCTTGAGCAGTAATGGCACGATCATCAGCATAGATGAAACTCTCCGTCCCTTCTGGCAGTGGCTGGTCATTTGTGTAGATGTTGAACATGGATGGAGCAAGCACGCTCCCCTGAGGCAGGCCGTTCTTCTGTTTCCGCCATCTGCTTCTCTGGCCCTGGAACTCAACAAAGAAGCTCCTGTTTTGTAGCAGGTTTCCTATGAGGCGGGTGAGGTGGTAGTCCTTTGTGATATTATACATTTTTCTCAGGAGGAGGCGATGGTTCACAGTATCATAGGCTGCTGACAAGTCTATGAAGACAGCTCCTGTGATCTGCTGCCTTTCAAAGCCATCTTCTATGTGCTGAGTCAGGTTCAGCACTTGCGATGTGCAGCTTTTGCCTTTTCTGAAGCCAGCTTGCTGTGGGATCAGACAGGGGTCTATATTTTCCATAATTCTATGCAAAATAAGTCTCTCCAGAACTTTGTAGAGGTGGCACAACAGTGAGATTGGTCTGTAGCTTTTTGGGCATTGGACATTGGTCTGCAGGGCCTCTGTGGACCTGTTGCGGCGACGGGGGTCCACCGCGATCCCGATCATCCGGGCAAACTTCTTGTTGATGCCAGCCATCCGCAATTCCTCCAGGCTGAATCCTCTACCAGCCCAGACTTTAGTATGATACCGAACGGTGGGGCACCTCACGACGGGTCTGATTGTTCCAGATACTGGACGAGGAGCGATCCGAAAGGCCTTTGCCTGCCGTGCTTTCCTCCTGCGGATCTTCCTGGCTGGCTGGTTAAACCAAGTGGCCACCCGTCTTTGCCAGTCTTTGTGGAAGTGGGGCTTCAATATCATGCCATTTCGGCTGGGCGCCATGGTTGCTTATTGCTCTCCTGGGAGGGAAAATGGCCAGCCGGAAAAAGAAAAACATTGGGTTGTTAAGTGTGTGCTGTCCAATTTGGTGCCAATTCGTCCAGGGGTTTTTGAGTTCTGTTAATCCCACAAACGAACATTACATTTTTATTTATATAGATATAGATAGATAGTGTATTTATTGAACTAGACATATAGTGTTCCCTCACTTATCGTGGAGGTCACATTCCAGGACCACCCACGAAAAGTGAAAATCCATGAAGTAGGGATGTCGTATTAATTTTAGTATTTGTACATTATTGGATGTTGTTGGGGCGACATCGGGGCCTCCAGCGGGCTGCATTCCTGCCCGGAACAAAGAGGTGAACAAAGCAAGTCTACTTGCAGCCCGAGCCACCGACGGAATGAACAAAAAAAGAGACAGGACACGAGGGGCCACACACCAGCCTCCCTTTCTGAGGCCCGTTGTAATGTAAATATTTTAAATTCTTTTTTTTAATCCACAAAACAGCGAGTCCACGTAAAGCGAACCGCGAAGTAGCGAGGGAACACTGTACATTTGTGTCTGTTGCATGTATTGTAATATTTTCCAGCTATTTGTGTTTCCTAATCTTTTCTCAAATAATATCTTTTTTTTAAGATGGCAGGGACCTAACAGAAGCTGAAGAGATCAAGAGAAGGTGGCGAGACTATACAGAAGATCTGTATAGGAAGGATAATACTACCGAGGATAGTTTTGAGGGTGTGGTGAGTGAATTAGAACCAGACATCCTGAGGAGTGAGATTGAATGGGCCTTAAGAAGCATTGCTAACAACAAGGCAGCAGGAGACGACGGGATCCCAGCTGAACTGTTTAAAATCTTAAAAGATGATGCTGTCAAGGTGATGCATGCCATATGCCAGCAAATATGGAAAACACAAGAATGGCCATCAGACTGGAAAAAATCAACTTATATTCCCATACCAAAAAAGGGAAATGCGAAAGACTGCTCCAACTTCCGCACAGTGGCCCTTATTTCTCATGCCAGTAAGGTAATGCTCAAGATCCTGCAAGGAAGACTCCAGCAATACATGGAGAGAGAGTTGCCAGATGTTCAAGCTGGGTTTAGAAAAGGCAGAGGAACAAGAGACCAGATTGCCAATATCCGCTGGATAATGGAGAAAGGCAGGGAGTTTCAGAAAAACATCTACTTCTGCTTCATTGACTATTCTAAAGCCTTTGACTGTGTGGATCATAATAAATTGTGGCAAGTTCTTGGTGGGATGGGCATCCCAAGCCACCTTCTCTCTCTCCTGAGGAATCTGTACAAGGACCAAGTAGCAACAGTCAGAACTGACCACGGAACATCAGACTGGTTCAAGATTGGGAAAGGCGTACGGCAAGGCTGCATACTCTCACCCAACCTTTTTAACTTGTATGCAGAACACATCATGCGATGTGCGGGGCTGGATGAATGCAAAGCTGGGGTGAAAATTGCTGGAAGAAACATTAACAACCTCAGATATGCAGATGACACCACTCTGATGGCCGAAAGCGAGGAGGAGCTGAGGAGCCTTCTAATCAAGGTGAAAGAAGAAAGCGCAAAAGCCGGGTTGCAGCTAAACGTCAAAAAAATCAAGATGATGGCAACAAGAATGATTGACAACTGGAAAATAGAGGGAGAAACCGTGGAGGCCGTGACAGACTTTGTATTTCTAGGCAAAGATGACTGCAGATGCAGACTGTGGCCAGGAAATCAGAAGACGCTTACTTCTTGGGAGGAGAGCAATGTCCAGTCTCGATAAAATAGTAAAGAGTAGAGACATCAGAATGGCAACAAAGATCCGCCTAGTCAAAGCCATGGTATTCCCTGTAGTCACCTACGGATGTGAGAGCTGGACCTTAGGGAAGGCTGAGCGAAGGAAGAGAGATGCTTTTGAACTGTGGTGTTGGAGGAAAGTTCTGAGAGTGCCTTGGACTGCGAGAAGATCCAACCAGTCCATCCTCCAGGAAATAAAGCCCGAATGCTCACTGGAGGGAAGGAGAGTAGAGACAAAGTTGAAGTCCTTTGGCCACATCATGAGGAGACAGCAAAGCCTAGAGAAGACAATTATGCTGGGGAAAGTGGAAGGTAAAAGGAAGAGGGGCCGACCAAGGGCAAGATGGATGGATGGCATCCTTGAAGTGACTGGACTGACCTTGAAGGAGCTGGGGGTGGTGACGGCCGACAGGGAGCTCTGGCGTGGGCTGGTCCATGAGGTCACGAAGAGTCGGAGACGACTGAACGAATGAACAACAAAGTCTTCTATTTGAATAGTACATATAAAGGCACCATAGGCTCTAACCATGTTCTGACTTACAAGAAGCACTGATTTACAAGAAGCACAGTATTTGGGTGTGCTGCAATGCTCGAGTGGAATTCCTTCTCAGGTCATCCTCAAAGCTTGAAATGCTTGTCTGTTCTTAAGATGAAAAACACATGTCTGTGTTTTAGCTGGATTAGGAATCAGCTGATTTTCCCTGTAATAGGCAGTAAGAGCACCTAAAGCTTCAGAGTGCTTCTGTTCTACCATCTCAAAGCTCCCTGCTTGAGCGGTGATGGCACGATCGTCAGCATAGATGAAACTCTCTGCCCCTTCTGGCAGTGGCTGATCATTTGTGTAAATGTTAAACATTGATGGAGCAAGCACGCTCACCTGAGGCAGGCTATTCTTCTGTTTCAGCATCTCAATGTAAAACTAAACTTAAAATGTTCATAGGGGAATCCTGTAAGACTGTAGACGAGGAGGAAGCGGATACTTCAATTGGTCCAATGAACAGCAGCCAGACTGCTAACGAGCAGAGATTAACCTCCCCATCTATGTTGATGATCGTGCCATCACTGCTCAAGCAGGGAACTTTGAGGTGGTTGAACAGAAGCTCTACGATGCTTTATTTATTTATTTATTTCAGACACGTCTACCCCGCCCTTCTCACCCCGGGGGGGGGGGGGGGACTCAGAGCGGCTTACAAAGGCACAATTCAATGCCGGCATCAATACAACAATACAGCAATAAAAACAATATAGCAGCAATTAAACAGTTAAAACAATTAAACGGTCGGTTCTCAGTTCTACAACACGTCAATAAACCAGTTTAGCATTCAGCGTTCGCCGTCACATAGTCCATAGTTTCAATTCCACATTGTCAGTCCTATTAATTCTAGTCGTCCATTATCCTTAGCTGCCAGGTTGCCTGAAGGCCTAGTCCCATAACCACGTTTTTAATTTCCTTCTGAAGGAGAGGAGGGATGTTGCTGATCTGATCTCCCCCGGGAGTGAATTCTACATGTGAGGGGCCACCACCGAGAAGGCCCTGCTCCTCGTTCCCACCAGCCTCACTTGTGATAGAGGTGGGGTCGAGAGCAGGGCCTCCCCAGATGATCTCAGATTGCGAGGTGGAACATAGAGGGAGATGCGTTCGGACAAGTACGCCGGACCGGAGCCGTATAGGGTTTTGTAGGTCAAAACCAGCACTTTGAATTGTGCTCGGAACTGGATCGGCAGCCAGTGGAGCTGACATAGCAGGGGGGTGGTATGCTCTCTGTATGACGCTCCAGTGAGTAATCTGGCTGCCGCCTGCTGGACTAACTGAAGTTTCCGAACAGTCTTCAAAGGCAACCCCACGTAGAGTGCGTTGCAGTAATCTATTCGGGATGTAACAAGAGCGTGGACCACCGTGGCCAGATCTGGCTTCCCAAGGTATGGGCGCAACTGGTGCACAAGTTTTAATTGTGCAAAAGCTCTCCCGGCCACCACTGAGACCTGGGGTTCCAAGCTCAGCGATGAGTCCAGGATTACTCCCAAGCTGCGAACCTTTAGGTGCTCTTACTGCCTATTACATGGGAAACCAGAAGGGACAAAGAGTTTCATCTATGCTGACGATCGTGCCATCACCACTCAGGCAGGGAGCTTTGAAATGGTTGACCAGAAGCTCTCTGAAGCTCTAGGTGCTCTTACTGCCTATTACTGAGAAAACCAGCTCATTCCTAATTCATCTAAAACACAGACGTGTGCTTTTCTGAATGTTCTTTGATGGCAGGGGAACTATAAATCCATGCAACTGCATCTCCCAAATGTCAGGGTCTATTTTCCTTAAGCCTCTCCAGTAATTTCTGTCGCTCATGGGAGTTCTGTATGCCAAGTTTTTTTCAATTCCATTGTTGGAGTTCAGAATTCTCTGTGAAGGCAAAGAAACTATAAATCCCAATAACTGAAGCTCCCAAATGTCAAGATCCATTTTCCCTAAACTCCACCATTGTTCAAATTTGGGCATATTGAGTATTCATGCCAAGTTTGGTCCAGATCCATAGTCGTTTGGGTTCACAGCGCTTTCTGGATGTAGGTGAACTACATCTCCCATAAATCACTGTCAATTCCTTCCAATCTCCTCCACTATTTTCCGTTGGTCATGGGAGTTCTGTGTGACAAGTTTGGTCCAGGTCTGTAATTCGTGGGGTTTCAGTGGTCTGTGAAAGTCAGAGCTGAATTGGTTGAAGGTACTGCAGATCCCATCCTCCGTTGTCCATACTCCTCCAAACATATTGTTTTTGTGATTAATCACTATGCTTTAATTATGTTCAATTTGTAACAATGAAAATACATCCTGCATATTAGATATTTGCATTAGAATTCATAAGAGTAGCAAAATTATTTATGAAGTAGCAATGAAAATATGGTTTATTTACATTATTTCTATCCTGTCCATTTCAGCCTGAAGGCGACTCAGAACTCTATGGTTGGGGGTCCCCACAACATGAGGAACTTTATTTAGGGGTCACAGCATTAGAAAGAACCACTCTTCTACACTGTGATTATTGACACATATAATCCACATGATCTTTGAACCGGATTATAGGAGTCTACCCTGTCATATAATCCAGATTATCTGCTTTGAACTGGATTACAGAACTCTACACTATCATATAATCCAGATTATCTACTTTGAACTTGATGATAGGAATCTACATTGGCATATAATCCAGATAATCTGTTTTGAACTGGATTGCAGAACTCTACACTGCCATATAATCCCAGATTATCCTATTTGAACTGGATCATAGGAGTCTACGCTGTCATATAATCCAGATTATCTGCTTTGAACTGGATTACAGAAGTCTACATTATCATATAATCCAGATTATCTGCTTTGAACTTGATTATAGGAGTCTACATTGGCATATAATCCAGATTATCTGTTTTGAACTGGATTGCAGAACTCTACACTGCCATATAATCCAGATTATCCTATTTGAACTGGAGTCTACGCTGTCATATAATCCAGATTATCTGCTTTGAACTGGATTCCAGAACTCTACACTGCCATATAATCCAGATTATCCTATTTGAACTTGATTATAGAAGTCTACGCTGTCATATAATCCAGATTATCTGCTTTGAACTGGATTACAGAACTCTACACTATCATATATTCCAGATTGTCTGCTTTGGACTTGATGATAGGAATCTACATTGGCATATAATCCAGATTATCTGTTTTGAACTGGACTGCAGAACTCTACACTGCCATATAATCCAGATTATCCTATTTGAACTGGATCATAGGAGTCTACGCTGTCATATAATCCAGATTATCTGCTTTGAACTGGATTACAGAACTCTACACTATCATATATTCCAGATTATCTGCTTTGAACTTGATTATAGGAGTCTACATTGGCATATAATCCAGATTATCTGTTTTGAACTGGACTGCAGAACTCTACCCTGCCATATAATCCAGATTATAATTTATTTGAACTGGATCATAGGAGTCTACACTGCCATTTAATCCAGATTATCTGCTTTGAACTGGGTTATAAGAGTCTACACTGTCATATAATCCATTTGATCTGCTTTGAACTGGGTTATAGGAGTCTACACTTCCATATAATCCAGATTACCAAAGCAGATCATCCACATGATCTGCTTTGAATTGAATTATAGGAGTATACATTGGCATAGGATCCAGATCTGTTTCGAATTGGATTATAGGAGTCTACATTGCCCTATAATCAACATGATGTGCTTTGAAATGGCTTACAGGAGTCTACACTGTCATATAATACAGATTATCTGCTTTGGACTTTATAAGAGTCTACATTGGCATATAATCCAGATTATCTGCTTTGAACTTGATTATAGGAGTCTACACTATCATATAATCCAGATTATCTGCTTTGAACTGGATTATAGGAGTCTACATTGACATGTAATCCAGATTATCTGTTTTGAACTGGATTACAGAACTCTACACTGCCATATAATCCAGATTATCCTATTTGAACTGGATTACAGAACTCTACACTATCATATAATCCAGATTATCTGCTTTGAACTGGATTATAAGAGTCTACACTGTCATATAATCCATTTGATCTGCTTTGAACTGGGTTATAGGAGTCTACACTTCCATATAATCCAGATTACCAAAGCAGATCATCCACATGATCTGCTTTGAGTTGAATTATAGGAGTATACATTGGTATAGGATCCAGATCTGTTTCGAATTGGATTATAGGAGTCTACATTGTCATATAATCAACATGATCTGCTTTGAAATGGCTTACAGGAGTCTACACTGTCATATAATCCAGATTATCGGTTTTGAACTGGATTACAGAACTCTACACTATCATATAATCCAGATTATCTGCTTTGAACTTGATTATAGGAGTCTACATTGGCATATAATCCAGATTATCTGTTTTGAACTGGGTTATAGGAGTCTACACTTCCATATAATCCAGATTACCAAAGCAGATCATCCACATGATCTGCTTTGAATTGAATTATAGGAGTATACATTGGCATAGGATCCAGATCTGTTTCGAATTGGATTATAGGAGTCTACATTGCCCTATAATCAACATGATGGCTTACATTGAAATGGCTTACAGGAGTCTACACTGTCATATAATCCAGATTATCGGTTTTGAACTGGATTACACAACTCTACACTATCATATAATCCAGATTATCTGCTTTGAACTTGATTATAGGAGTCTACATTGGCATATAATCCAGATTATTTGTTTTGAACTGGATTGCAGAACTCTACACTATCATATAATCCAGATTATCCTATTTGAACTGGAGTCTACGCTGTCATATAATCCAAATTATCTGCTTTGAACTGGATTACAGAACTCTACACTATCATATAATCCAGATTATCTGCTTTGAACTGGGTTATAGGAGTCTACACTTCCATATAATCCAGATTACCAAAGCAGATCATCCACATGATCTGCTTTGAATTGAATTATAGGAGTATACATTGGCATAGGATCCAGATCTGTTTCGAATTGGATTATAGGAGTCTACATTGCCCTATAATCAACATGATGTGCTTTGAAATGGCTTACAGGAGTCTACACTGTCATATAATCCAGATTATCTGCTTTGGACTTTATAGGAGTCTACATTGGCATATAATCCAGATTATCTGCTTTGAACTTGATTATGGGAGTCTACACTATCATATAATCCAGATTATCTGCTTTGAACTGGATTATAGGAGTCTACATTGACATGTAATCCAGGTTATCTGTTTTGAACGGGATTGCAGAACTCTACACTGCCATATAATCCAGATTATCCAATTTGAACTGGAGTCTATACATTGTCATTGTGTATGGGGGTGTAGAAAGGGGCCTGGCAATATTCCTTTAGTGACCTGGACTGCCTGGTGAAGGCCAGTGCAGGCTCGGAGGGCTTCCCCGGTCCCTCCCCGGGGCGGCTCCTCCTCGGTGCTTCCTCCTCCTCCTCCTCCTCCTCCTCCTGCTGTCACATTCCTGCCGCTTGAGTCAGGCCTGGAGGCGGCGGGACCAGGAAGCAGGAGTCGGGCCTGAACCATGTAACCGGGGCGAAGGGAAGCAGGACGGGAGGAGGAGGAAGGACGGAAGGAAGGAAGGGGCCATGGGCGACGGCGGTGCCGAGGAGGATCTCGTGGAGCTGCCCTTGACTCACGGTAAGCGGCTGCCATTGCAAGCCACGAGAAGGCGGGGGGTCATGTTGCGCAAACGGAACGATGGGCACGGAGCTGTGTTTCCTGGGGGGAGCAAAGAGAGCAGGGGACACGGCTTGTGCTTCACCCCTGCCAGGCCTGGCACCTTTCCTCCAAAAGGGGGCCGCTTATTGTTTGTGCCCCCTCACAAGGCCTGATTTCCCCCCCCCCAATAACGCCCCGCCCTAATTTATGCAGACCACGCCCCTCACACCCTTACTCCTTGCGGCTGCGGGTGGGCGCGCGCTGAATCACCCGCCCCCTCTCGGCTTTGATTGACGGCTCTGCGGACGGAAGGCAGGCGGGGAAGCACAACCTGTGGCCTTCCAGGTGCTCCTTGGGAACTCCAACTCCCAGAAGCCCTCGCCAGCTTAGTCCGATAGCGAGGCATTCTGGGAAGGCCACAGGCTGGACAGGGCCTGTTTGCTGGGCGAGTGGGGACCTGTCTCCTCTCTCTCAGCCACGTTGGGAGGCAGAGCCAGGAACCTGAGGGAAGAGAGTGAAATAAGAACAGAGAAAGAGAACATTTACTCAGGGAAAGGGAAGAAAAAGGGGGCAAGGCTTCTTTGCCTGTTGACTTGTGACAACCTGTGTTTAGATGTGTTTTTAGTCTGTGTATGTGTTGGGTTTTAATGTGTCTATTGTTATGGTTTTCATGAGGCATGGGCAAATTTTGGCCCTCCACGGCAAGCTTTTGCCCCCTTCTCAATATACAGGGCGAGGCAGCATCAGGCTGTAGCGAGGGGGGGGGGTTAGGGGTTCACCCCCCCCCCCGAAATGTTTCAGATTTTTTTTAAAAAAACCTGGTTTACTCATGAATTTTAACTGGTTAACCAAATCCCCATGCTAAGTCTATGAGATGCAAAAAATTCAGAGGCGGCCCTAGGTAATTTTCAATGGTAAGCAAACAGTATTTTGGCACCCCCCCCCCCCCAACCAATCATTGATATATATTTTCTGTTTGTCGTGGGAGTTCTGTGTGCTATATTTGGTTCAATTCCATCATTGGTGGAGTTCAGAATGCTCTTTGATTGTAAGTGAACTATACATCCCAGTAACTACACTTGCCGCATTTGCTCCCTTGCCTGGCCCGCTTTGGGTCCAGAGGCGTGCCTGAAGACCCCGGCGTGTGCACCAAAAGTCACCTCTTCTCCTGACTTTCTCCTCAGCCATTGGGACCGAGAGAGAGAGGTGGAGATGCCCACCTTTCCTGAAGGTAGGCACAAAAACAAAGGAGGGAGGAGGAGGGAGATACCTCCAACTGGAGGGGTTCTCTCTCTCTCTCTCTCTCTTGGTCCCAATGGCTGAAGAGAAAGTCAGGAGAAGAGGCGACTTTTCGTGCGCATGCTGGGGTCTTCAGACACGCCTCTGGACCTGAAGCAGGCTAGGCATGGCAGCTCCGCCCCTTGGCCCACCCGCGGATTGGGGAGAGGAGAGGAGGCGGGTGGAGCGCCGGGGGATCGGGAAAGGGAGCCGGTCATGGGGAAGGGATCGAACGCGGAGAACGATTGAGCGCCGGCTCTGCTCCGCGCACCCGGTGGCCGGGTGGAGCAGGAACGAGAGGGGCAAGAAAGCCGAGGCTCCCCCGGACTGCTAGGGCTGTTGTGAGCTGAGGGGGCGCTCCTCAAGTGGCGGTCGAGGGGCATTTACAGAGGCGCCTCTGCGCCCCTGGCAAAAAAAGTGTTCTGCGACTGCTTACTTCGCGTAATGGACGGCTCGTCCATTACGGCCCCTGGATGCAAGAAATTAAGAGTCCCTCCAGAACTACAAGCACTATCTCAAGCAAATATTTATTTATTTATTTATTATTCGAACTTATATGCCTCCACTCCCCTGGGGCTTGGAGCGGCTTACAAGAACAGGCTAAAATCGAACACAATTTTAAAACAATTTAAAACAATTAGAAACAGCAATATCAGAGATCAAAGGCCCGTCAGAACAGATATGTCTTACATGCCCTGCGGAAAGCTGATAAGTCCCGCAAGGCACGGACTTCAGGTGGCAGATTATTCCAGAGTGATGGGGCCACTGCTGTGAAGGCTCTGCGTCTGGTTGCTGTTAGACGCAAGGTCTCGACACTGGGAATTTCCAATAGATCTTGGTCCTCAGAACGGAGGGATCTTTGGGGTTGGTAGGGGATTCCCGCAAGAAGCCGAGCAGCTGCATTTTGTACCAACTTGAGCTTCCGGATCACCGACAGAGGAAGGCCAATGTAGAGGGCGTTACAGTAGTCCAGTCTTGAGATGACCGTGGCCTGGATCACCGTAGCTAGGTCGTCCCTGGACAGGGAGGGGGCCAGCCGTCTAGCCTGCCGCAGATGAAAAAAAGCGGTTCTGCTAACGGCGGATACCTGGGCCTCCATCGTCAGCAGAGGGTCCAATGATCTCCGTCTTTGCTGGATTCACCCTCAACCTGCTGGCACGCAGCCATCCAGTAACGGCCTCAAGGCATTGATGGAAATTATCAGGTACAGAGTCGGTCGGCCTTCCATAATAATATAGACAGTAAACTAATAAATGGAATAATAATAGAGTGAAAAAATAAATGGAATAACAATCATATAATAAAATAATAAATTTAATTATGACACTGATAAAATAAAATAAATGTAATAATAAAGTAAAATAACTATAATAATAATAAATAGAGTAAAATAATAAATGCAATAATAATAATAATAATAATAATAATAATAATAATTGGAAGGATATGTAAGCACATTTACATTGAAGAAGGTCAGGGCAGTCTTATCTTAAATTACAATTTTATATAAATATTCAAAAACATTTAACCTACTGATGCCTCAATTAGATGGCTCAATTAATGTAATTTTATTGGTATCTATTTTCATTTTGAAATGTACCAGTAGCTTCTGAATTTCTCACCCTCGGCTTATACTTGAGTCAATCCATTTTCCCAGTTTTTATGGTAAAATTAAGTGACTCGGCTTATATTCGGGTCGGCTTATACTCGAGTATATGTGGTATATATAATGTAGGCGCATACCTAAAGTTTTGTTTTACGTAGTTTTGAAGATCAAATTAGGTAGGTGACGTTTACACTGAGTAAACCGATTTCCGGCGTTTGTCATGACTCTTGCCAGCATAGCAGGCGTTATGTTGGCAATTTCTTCCTGGATGTTGGTCTTCAAATCTTGTCAGGTCCTTGGACGGTTCACATAAACACGGGATTTTAAAAAACCCCATAGAAAAAAATCACAAAGGGCCAAATCTGGAAAGCGGGCCGGCCATTCCAAATGCACTCGAAAAGTAGGCCTCAACGGCAAAAGCACGCTCCTCACTGTGATGGCGACTGAACTGTGTCAGGACACTCTCGCCTCTTGAATGAGACCACTCGCGCTCCACTACGTCTTCAACCGACTGAATGGCTCACATTTTTAAAAAAGGAAGTTGTGCTGCCTCACCCTGTATATATAGAGAGAGGGGGGGGGGGGTGGAATTATACTTCAACAATATATCTGGTCCGACTTACAAACAAATTCAACTTTACCATCTGGCCAGCCTCACGTCGATACCAGGCAAGATTCTGGAAAAGATGGTTAAGGAATTGGTCTGCAAACACCTAGAAAGGAATGCGGTCATCGCTAATAGTCAACACGGATTTATCAAAAACAAGTCATGCCAGACTCATCTGATCTCTTTTCTTGATAGAGTTACAAGCTGGGTAGATGCAGGGAATGCCATGGATGGAGCGTATCTGGACTTCAGTAAAGCCTTCGACAAGTTAAACATGAGCCAACAATGTGATACAGCGGCAAAAAATGTCAATGGGATTTTGGCCTTCATCAATAGGAGTCTAGTGTCTAGATCCAGAGAAGTAATGCTCCCCATGCTCTATTCTGCCTTGGTTAGACCACACCTGGAAGATTTTGTCCAATTCTGGGCACCACAATTGCAGGGAGATGTTGACAAGCTGGAAAGTGTTAGTCACAGTAGGGTGACTAAAATGAGAGTGCGGATGATGAGAGTGCGGATGAGCTCCCTCTGTTAGCTCCAGCTCCCCATGCGGGGACACGAGAGAAGCCTCCCACGAGGATGATAAAATATCAAATCCGGGCGTCCCCTGGGCAACGTCTTTGCAGATGGCCAATTCTCTCACACTAGAAGCAACTTACAGTTTCTCAAGTCACTCCTGACACAACAAAAAAAATACTGCTGTGCCCCTTCTTGAGCATTAATGAGGGGTGGGTAACAAATAATAATAATAATAATAATAATAATAATAATAATAATAATAATAAATCTGTGTCTTCTTTCCTGGGAATATGTCCTGATGAATTTCGCAGGGCTTCAATAAAGAGAATTATGGGATGTTTTTTGCACTGGCTTAAGCGTGTAGTGCCAGCTGGATTGTTTAACTGGCAAGTCCTGGATGATTGTCTGTTGTCATTCCTCCTCCTCAGTTAACCATATAATTTTGCCTTGTTCCTTAACAGCAAACTTGACTGGCCATGAGGAGAAAGTTGGAATGGAGAACTTCGAACTGCTCAAAGTCTTGGGCACCGGAGGTAAGCTGAGGGCACAAGGGTTAAAAATAATTTTCTGAAATATTTCTAGCACCATGTGTAATGTCGTGTTATACTATGTTTTTGTATGTGTTGGCATCAAATTGTTGCTCTGAGTCACCTTCTGGGGGTTGAGAAGGACGGGGTATAAATGTTTGAAATAATAAATAAATAAATGTCCAATGCAACAGCCATATGCAAACAAATATACAGGTTAGGAAGCAAAACCCCAACATGTCAACATGTGGTAACGAACAGAACTTCCAACATCTAACCAACAGACTAAAATGAAAATTCACAGCAGTTTAATATTTGGACTAAATTATCAGAATGTGGAGATGAAATTGTAGAATATGGCTACACAATGCTGGTTAAGCAGTCCTTCAAAATTCTCCCAAATCCTCAATTCTCCACCTGGATTATTTGAGATTGTGACACTTTTGTTTTCGGGTGGTTCCATGTCCATAAATTTTGTTTCATGTGCAACATTTATTCTGAAATAAACATTGTCTCTCGCCTCAAACAGTTCTTCCTCTGTACAGGAGGCAGGACATTGTGGACAAGCATACAGGTGCGGAGTTGTCTGTTCTGCTCCACAGTCGCACAAGATGGAGGGTTCTTCTAGGTAGTGCCATTTTGCCATGTTGTCTTTTGATCTTCCCATTCCACTACTGAGTCTGTTCAGGGACTTCCAAGTTGCCCATTCCAGCCTGATGATGCTTTGCTTAACGTGAAAGCTCTCATTCTCTCATTCTATGCAGTATTTTGATTGGTTTGAATAAGGATTTTGGGTTTGCTCCTTTTATTTAATAAAAGTTTGAGATAAATACATTCTGGGATGGTGCCGGGAGAGTTTGCTGCCTGAACAGCAGAGCAGCGAATGGTACTCCCATTTCTCCTAAACCTTTGACACAAGAGGCAGAAAACGGATCTCTCACAGCAAAAATAACTATAGCAACAAAGGAGATAATTAATTTTTTGTTGTTTTTTATGCCCGAGGTGGCTAATGAAATCAATGTAAGGTGGAATAAATCAATACTTTGCACAGCCTTCATTTAGAAAGGGGCCAAAGGGCTACAAACATGGGAAGTAGAAGGGCAAAGGGTAACAAAGAGCAATGTGATGAGTACATACACACATATTAATACATACACACGCACACATATATATACTGTATATACTCGAGTATAAGCCTCATTTTTCAGCCCTTTTTAAGGTTGAGAAACACCCCCCCCCCCTCGGCTTATACTCGAGTCAAGGATATTTATTATTTTACTCTATTATTATTATTATTATTACATGTATTATTTTACTCTATTATCATTAAATTTATAATTTAACTTTATTATTATTGTTGTTATTACATTTATTATTTTAGACTATTATTATTGGAAGGACACAAGCACATTTACACTGAAGAAGATTAGAATAATGGTTTAATTAGAGTTGGGCAGTCTTATCTTAAATTACAGTTTTATGTAAATATTCAAAAACATTTACGCTACTGATGCCTCAATTAATGCAATTTTATTAGTAATCTATTTTTATTTTGAAATTTTCCAGTAGCGGATGCATTTCCCACCCTCGGCTTATACTCGAGTCTATATGTTTTTTCAGCTTTTTATGGTAAAATTAGGTACTTCAGCTTATATTCGGGTCGGCTTATACTCAAGTATATACGGTATATGTGTTTTCTCCATCCTAGCCTATGGAAAAGTGTTCCTGGTGCGGAAGCTCAGCGGCCACGATGCCAACAAGCTCTACGCCATGAAGGTGCTGCGGAAGGCGGCCATTGTGGCCAAGGCTAAGACCACAGAGCACACACGCACGGAGCGGACGGTGCTGGAACATGTGCGCCAGTCACCCTTCCTGGTGACACTCCACTACGCCTTCCAAACCGACTCCAAGCTCCACCTCATCCTAGGTATGGCATGGAAGGGATGGGAAGGAGAATTGGAGGAAAGGCAGACACAGACAGAGTATGGATGGCCTTCTGTCAGGAGGGCTTTGATTGTGCTTTCCCTGCATGGCGGAAGTGGGTGGCCCATGTGATCTCTTCCAGCTCCAAGATTCAATAATAATAATAATAATAATAATAATAATAATAATAATAATATCATCATCTTTGGGTTGTTGTAGGTTTCGGGTCCAACCTATCTTTGAGACCGCATCTTCTTTTCTGAACTGTCACAAACTTTAAGATCTGTCGGGGAGGCTCTCCTCTCAGTCTCATCTCTGTCTCAAGCGGGTTGGTGGGGACGAGAGAGAGGGTCTCGTCGGTGGTAGCACCTTGGCTCTGGAATATCCTCCCAAAAGAGATTAGGTTAGCCCCCACACTTCAATCCTTCAATTCCAACCTGAAAACATGGATGTTCAAACAGGCTTTTGACCTTGAATAGGCGCAGTGGGTTAACTTGCTGATCAAAAGGCTGCAGGTTCAAATCCAGGTAGTGGCATGAGCTACCAGCTTATCTGTCCAAACGTATCTCCTCCTATGAACCACCTAGGAGATTAAGATAATTGGGGGAGGCCCGGCTTTCGGGCCCGCCACCTTTGCAGGTGCATCTGGTGGGAACGAGAGACAGGGTGGCCTTCTCAGTGGTGGCTGTGGAACTTCCTCCCTAGCTTCTGCCAACCTAGCAGTTCAAAAACATGCAAATGTGAGGAGATCAATAGGTACTGCTCCGTCGGGAAGGTAACGGCACTCCTTGCATGATCTTGGAGGTGTCTATAGACAATGCCAGCTCTTCTGCTTGGAAATGGAGATGAGCACCCCACCCCCACCCCAAGTCGGACATGACAGGACTTAATGTCAGGGGAAAACCCTAACCCTTTACTTTAGGCTGAATGGGCCCATTTGAAGTTGACACTTGGCATTTGTGAATTGATAGCAGCTAGTTTTATCTACTGTTGTTTTTAAAATGGTATTATTTTGATTTCATGTTATATG